AGTTGATCTTCATCATTTTTGTAATTCTCCGGTTATTCTCCAGGTATATGTGGACGTTGAAGGGGCACGTTTCAGACACAGCCATTGCAGGTTTTTTCAAACTTTGAATTTTTACGCTGTGTTGTAACCCCACTTTGGAGTTTTTTAGCAGGCTATATATTCCAACTATTCCATAAAAGCATACTATTTCTTAAAGAAGAAATCCCAGGGTATTTCAAAGGGCATATTTTGAACCTTAGCGTGAAATAATTTTTCTGCTAGCTTGTACCAAGTGTAGTGGTAATAAGCATTTTTTCTGCTTTTTTGACACACATAGTGAGTTTGTACAGTATATTTTGCAAACCTTATGTGTGCTACGGCTATATAATACTTCCTATCTTGCTCAGCTATGTCGTCTGAGCACAGCAATATCCCCATATGTACCTTTGCCAGGTATATGCGGACATTGAAGGGGCACATTTGAGACTCAGCCATTTAAGTTTTTTCAAACTTTACATTTTTACGCTGTGTCCACACCCCACTGTGGAGGTTTTTTGTAGGTTAATTATTCTAGCTACTGAGCTACCCCATAAAGGCATACCATTTCTTAAAGAAGACACCCTAGGGTATTTCAAAAGACGTATTTTGAACCTTAGCGTGAAATAATTTTTCCGCTAGCTTGTACCAAGTGTAGTGGTAATAAGCATTTTTTATGCCTTTTTGACATACTCAATGAGTTTGTAATATATATTTTGCAAACCTTATATGTGCTACAGCAGTATAATGCTTCATATGTTGCTCCGCTATGCCATCTGAGTACAGCAATACCCCCGTATGTACCTTTACCAGGTATATGACAACGTTGAAGGGGCACATTTGAGACACAGCCATTTAAGTTAAAACATTTTTACTGGGTCCATGCCCCACTTTGGAATTTTTTTAATAGGTTGTGTTTTCCAATTACTTCCCAAAGGCATACCATTTTCTAAAGAAGACACCCCAGGGTGTTTCAAAAGGCATATTTGAAACCTTAGCATAGTATAATTTTTTCGCTAGCCTGTACCAAGTGTAGAGGTAATACGCATTTTCCCCCTTTTTAAAAAAAGTTTTACAACTTTTTAAAAGTTTGGTTTAAACTTTTCAAAAGTTTTTTTTCACTTTTACCTCTAACTAGCCTAACTGTAAATCCCCAAATTTCCTCACTAACTTCTACCCACCATAGCTAAATAAATAAATAGTTTAAAATATTTAAATTAATTAATTCAATAAATTTAACCCCTGAAGATTAAACAAAAATAAAAGTTAACTCTCTAAAATACTGTGATCTGTATTTTTATCACTGCAGGCAGTGATCAAAGGGCAGGAAGGGGTTAAATTTTATTTGAACGAGGTGAGGGGGGGCTGGGATTTTATTGCTAACACTTTTTTTATTTTATTTTTTACAGGGAGAGACAGATCTCTCTGCAGTTCACAGCTCACAGGGAGCTGCAGGGAAACAGGTTTCACTGCAGCAGGTGTTATCGCTCTGACTCCCGGTAAGAGCGATCACATAGGCTGAATCAGTGAAACTGCCCATGGTAGTGTGCCTCCGATATGGAGACACACTACAGGAAGATTAACCCCACGATTGCCGCGATTGTGGCAAACGGGATGATTTTCATTTTGGATGGAAATTCCGTCCGGCGTCCTTAAGGGGTTAAAAGTAAAATAAAGTACAGTTAAGGTGTTGTTAAGGCACAAAACACATAGTTTTCATTGGCACAGTGCTCCATCCCGTGTTAGTCCAATGATACTTTATATTAAAAAAATAGGAATTTATTTTGTTCTTTTTCGAAAATAAATGTTTTATGTGCTGATTGAGGTGCCTTTCTTCTACGAAGCTCAGCTGTGAAATACCAAGAAAGCCAAGCAAAGCTGAACTAAGCACGAATAGGGATATATACAGTGAAAATAGAGCAGGTTAAAAGGCCCCAGAAATTGGTGACATTACCTCTCCCCAGCTTGTCACTCGCACAGAAAGCAATAAGCGGTGGGGAATAATAAAGAAATTTAAAGTGACAGACATTACATGATTTTAAAAAGCACAACGAGTAATCCTTAGATTGTTGTACTAACTTACTACTCCCAGAAAAAAAAAGAGCTTTTATCAGTCCAATAGTTTAATTTATTTTTTTGCGGGGGATAAAAGCCATTACTAGGGGAACTACTACTATAGAAGACTTTTTGCTATGCTGAATTGTAGAGTCCATATTCCTTTTCTATATTGTTAATTGGCTTCTGGTTAATTGTGTGAGCTGCTGTGTTCCCTCCAGTGTGAGCTTCTGTGATCTCTCCAGTGTGAGCTGCTGTGTTCCCCCCAGTGTGAGTTGCCGTGTTCCTCCCAGTGTGAGCTGCTGTGTTCCCTCCAGTGTGAGCTGCTGTGTTTCCCCCAGTGTGAGCTGCTGTGTTCCTCCCAGTGGGAGCTGCTGTGTTCCCACCAGTGTGAGCTGCGGTGTTCCCCCCAGTGTGAGCTGCTGTGTTCCCCCCACTGTGAGCTGCTGTGTTCCTCCCAGCGTGAGCTGCTGTGTTCCCCCCACTGTGAGCTGCCGTGTTCCTCCCAGCATGAGCTGCTGTGTTCCTCCCAGCGTGAGCTGCTGTGTTCCTCCCAGTGTGAGTTGCTGTGTTCCCCCCCAGTGTGAGCTGCCGTGTTCCCCCAGTGTGAGCTGCCATGTGCCTCCAGTGTGAGCTGCCGTGTTCCCCCCAGTGTGAGCTGCTGTGCTCTCTCCAGTGTGAGCTGCTGTGTTCCCTCCAGTGTGAGCTGCTGTGCTTTCTCCAGTGTGAGCTGCTATGTTTCCCCCAGTGTGAGCTGCTGTGTTCCCTCCAGTGTGAGCTGCTGGGTTCCCTCCAGTGTGAGTTGCTGTGCTTTCTCCAGTGTGAGCTGCCTTGTTACCTCCCAGTGTAAGCTGCTGTGTTCCCCCTCATTGTGAGATGCCGTGTTCCCTCCAGTGTGAGCTGTTGTGCTTTCTCCAGTGTGAGCTGCTGTGTTCCCCCCAGTGTAAGCTGCTGTGTCCCCCCCCATTTTGAGCTGCCGTGTCCCTCCAGTGTGAGCTGCAATGTACCCCCAGTGTGAGCTGCTGTGTTCTGTCCAGTGTGAGTTGCTGTGTTCCCCCCAGTGTGTGCTGCTGTGTTCCCTCCAGTGCAAGCTGTTGTGTCCCCCCCAGTGCGAGCTGCTGTGTTCCCTCCAGTGTCAGCTGCTGTGTTACCCCAGTGTGAGCTGCTGTGTTCCCTCCAGCGTGAGCTGCTGGGTTCCCCCCAGTGTGACCTACTGTGTTCCCCCACTGTGAGCTGCTGTGCTCCCTCCAGTGTGAGTGGCTCTGTTCAAAGTTTGAGCTGCTGTGTCCCCTCCAGTGTGAGCTACTGTGTTCCCTCCAGTGTAAGCTACTGTGTTCCCCCCAGTGTGAGCTACCGTGCTTCCTCCAGTGTGAGCTGCTGTGTTTCCTCCAGTGTGAGCTGCCATGCTCCATCCAGTGTCAACTACTGTGTTCCATCCAGTGTGAGCTGCCATGCTCCCTCCACTGTGAGCTGCTGTGTTCCCCCAATGTGAGCTGCTGTGCGCCCTCCAGTGTGAGTGACTCTGTTCAAAGTTTGAGCTGCTGTGTCCCCTCCAGTGTGAGCTCCTGTGTTCCCTCCAGTGTAAGCTACTGTGTTCCCCCCAGTGTGAGCTACCGTGCTTCCTACAGTGTGAGCTGCTGTGTTTCCTCCAGTGTGAGCTGCCATGCTCCCTCCAGTGTCAACTACTGTGTTCCATCCAGTGTGAGCTGCCATGCTCCCTCCACTGTGAGCTGCTGTGTTCCCCCAATGTGAGCTGCTGTGCACCCTCCAGTGTGAGTGGCTCGGTTCAAAGTTTGAGCTGCTGTGTCCCCTCCAGTGTGAGCTGCTGTGTTCCCCCCCAGTGTAAGCTGCTGTGTTCCCCCTCATTGTGAGATGCCGTGTTCCCTCCAGTGTGAGCTGCTGGGTTCCCTCCAGTATGAGCTGCTGTGCTTTCTCCAGTGTGAGCTGCTGTGTTCCCCCCAGTGTAAGCTGCTGTGTCCCCCCCCCCATTGTGAGCTGCCGTGTCCCTCCAGTGTGAGCTGCCGTGTTCCCCCCAGTGTGAGCTGCTATGTCCCCCCAGTGTGAGCTGCTGTGTTCAGTCCCGTGTGAGTTGCTGTGTTCCCCCCAGTGTGTGCTGCTGTGTTCCCTCCAGTGCAAGCTGTTGTGTCCCCCCCAGTGCGAGCTGCTGTGTTCCCTCCAGTGTCAGCTGCTGTGTTCCCTCCAGTGTGAGCTGCTGGGTTCGCTCCAGTGTGAACTGCTGTGTAAGCCCAGTGTGAGCTGCTGTATTCCCCCCAGTGTGAGCTGCTGTGCTCCCTCCAGTGTGAGTGACTCTGTTCAAAGTGTGAGCTGCTGTGTTCCCTCCAGTGTGAGCTGCTGTATTCCCCCAATGTGAGCTACTGTGCTCCCTCCAGTGTGAGTGACTCTGTTCAAAGTGTGAGCTGCTGTGTTCCCTCTAGTGTGAGCTGCGTGCTCCCTTCAGTGTGAGCTGCTGTGTTACCCCAGTGGGAGCTGCTGTTCTTTTTTTTCCTAGAACTATGAATTATTTTGTGAATGTAATCAATGGTAAAATCAGGTGGAAAAAAGGAAGAAAAACTCAGAAAGAGGAATAACAAGTGACAGGGGAACTGATTCTTTTACAGAAAAGACGGAAAATAAGTCCCCTGTGCAGAAAAGTTAAATATCAGTTTTATGGATAAGGCATTTTTTATAGATAATCCCCTTTCTAAGTAGAAGTTAATATCATCAAAGAAAATGTGACAAAGATTTGTAAAAGTTGGGCAATCACCATGGAAACCAGTGCAACCAGCAATAAGATTCCATTGGTAACACTTTGCTAAATCTCCCCCTTTGCAGTATATGGAAATACTTTAGAAGGAAAAAAATGGGGAACAAAATACAAAAAGCCCCTGAAATATAGAACTGGACACATTTAATCTAATCTGAGAGCAAGCTAATTGGTTAAGCAATGATTTTTATTTCATTTGTAACAATCAGAAAGCATTGAAATCTGAAGAAATAAATAAGCATTTTCACTTCATGACGAGACCAGGAATGAAGGGCTATCATTCATTTTTCATAATATTAACAGGGAAATTATTGAGTTCCGAAGCCCAGCCAGCAGTGAAATGCGTTGGCTGTGTAGTCATGCACTATTAACGTTAGATCATTGATTGGGAGAGTCATTTATCATTATTTGCTTTTATTGCTTATTATAGAATCCCTTTAAGATGCAGAACCTAGTGAATAGTTTAGTATTAAACACCTCGGCATTTATTGTTTGGGTTTCTCTCCTGCAGGTTTTATTGTAGTGTTCTCATGTTTCTTGTGATAGGCGTAAAGTGGTGATAGCGGCCTTTTGGGTAATATATCTCCTATTCGAACAATCTTAGAGAGCGCAACTGCTTCTTTGATATCAGGATTATCAGCTCCAGCATTGCAAAGTAATGACAGATAATACAAGTAAATTGGGGAATCTTCCTGGGTGTAAATCTCTCCATCACATTTATTTCCATCAGAACAGAAAGTGCCTCTTTCTCCCTCATTTCTGCAACGCGTTTTAATATCGTCCTGTTTGTTGGAGTCTTTTCTCTTGTCTTCTGTTCCAGCTCTTGATTTCGAAGGAGCAGGACTTTGCTGTTAAAAATGAAACATCAAAAAATGTAATTTACACTGAGCCACTGTTATAACCACTTTTTACAGAATCTGGTATAAGAGAGTTTATACTCTATACACGTATGCAGCATGGTCAGATCACTATTAATCTCGGGGTCCAGGCAGATCCCTACTCTACGCCACTTGTGCATCAGGGGGTTAATGAAAAGTATAAAATGGGGTCTGCTGCCTTACGAGTTCCTGGCTCCATGTCTTCTGCTTATTGTCCATTGTACTCATTGTCCAGTGTAGCTCTCCTTTACATGGACTACCTGCAGGGCCGATCCTAAGCACCCGAAGGTCGGCCCCGGGCCTGGTGATGTATATACTCACAATACATATGTATCATGTATCTGCTCTGTGAAAATCATAATGAAAGTGACATTACTATCCAAAACTACCTCAAATATATACATGTGGTCACAGCCAAAGGCGCATCTGAAGCTGGTGGGCTGGGGTGCTTAACCCCAAAGGTCTGAATTCCAAACTTACATAGTAAAAACAAAAAGGAATTGGGGGCACACCCGGAATACATGCATTTCACAGGAATGGTGACCAAAATTCATACACAATAAAGATTAAGTTACAACGCACAAATTAACATACATGATTACATTTTACAAGGCTACTTAAAAACACCTATCTCAGCAAACAAATATGGGGATTTAGTTCCACCATACAGCCATATTGTGTGAAGCCCACCACTACCTCACAGTACCCCAATATCGATGGATCCTACACTAATTCAACCGTGAAAGACAATTTAAATACTGCTAGTTTGACGTATGAACCAGTGAAATTTTTTAATTTTGAGTGTTTTATATGAATGATTTCCCACTAAATAAAAATAAAATTTTTCCATTCCGAATTTCATCTGTAAACTATAAATTTTGAGACAAAATTTGTTAAAAAATAATTTAGTTTAGTTTATTAGGATGAAAATAGCACTGCGCATGTGCAAAGAAAAAAAAACAAATAGCAAGGAGGGAGCTGGCAGCGCTACCAACTCCCTCCTTGTAATAAATAACTATTCCTACCCTCCCTGCATTAAAACCTATGGGGGTCACTATGACCCCCATATTAATAAAAGGGAGGTTAAATCCTCCCACATGTCCCTACTGCGGCATGCCAGTGGCTGCTTGCTGTGTTAGCTACAAGATATCCCTCTATCGCAGCGGACGAATATTGCTTGTAAGGTGCTTGCTCACAGACATCCCAATATACCTCCTGCAATTTTAATGGTGTGAGGCTGCAGCCAACAACCCCTGGGCCAATTGTCCATCACCAGCCCTTAATGTATTGTATGTGTTTAGTTGTAAATATTGGGTTTGTTGCTCGAGGCCATTAATTTGTACGTATATAAATATTGGTAGACAGTTTATGGTGTTTGTATTATTAATGGCATTTTAATTCCACTGTTCTCCAATAGAGTGAACGGAATCTTACTGATCATTTTTTACTTTTTCGTGTTGACCGTTGGAACAGCAAAACATCATAAAGTGGCAATGGATATTTCTACTGTTCATCTAGAATTCCACTTGTCTTTATATTACTTTAAAAAAAAAATAATTGTTCTCTTCACTCGTTAATTATTGTGCAAGTGCTCCAGCTGTATAAACGTTAATAATAATATAATCAATGTGCCTGCTAATGTCAACTCCTTACTGTCAGCCCAGTCTGACCTGATTACAAGGCGTTATGTGATTATATCTGTATAATGTTCCAATGGCATTCATAGTCTATGATTATCTTATTACACTGAACAAAATTGTAATCACAACACTTTTGTTTTTGCCCTCATTTTTCATGAGTTGAACTCAAAGATCTAAGACTTTTTCTGTGTACACAGAAATGCCTATTTCTCTCAAATATTTCTCTCAAATATTGTTCACAAATCTGTCTAAATCTGTGCCTGACAGGTGTGGCATATCAAAATGCTGATTAGACAGTATGAATATTGCACAGGTGTGCCTTAGGATGGCCACAATAAAAGGCCACCCTAAAATGTGCAGGTTTATCACACAGCACAATGCCACAGATATAGCAAGTTTTGAGGCATGCTGACTGCAGGAATGTCCACCAGAGCTGCCCGTGAATTGAATGTTGATTTCTCTACCATAAGCCATCTCCAATGGTGTTTCAGAGAATTTGGCAGTACATCCAATCAGCCTCACAACCGCAGACCACGTGTAACCACACCAGCCCAGTACCAGCATCTTCACCTCCAAGATTGTCTGAGACCAGCCACTCAGACAGCTGCAATCGATTTTCATAAAGAATTACTGCACAAACTGTCAGAAACCGTCTCAGGGAAGCTCATCTGCATGCTCGTTGTCCTCATCGGGGTCTCGACCTGACTGCAGTTCGTTGTTGTAACCGACTTGTCTGGGCAGTCATTAGATTGATCTCATGAATAATGGGGGCAAAAACAAAAGTGTTGCATTTATAATTTTGTTCGGTGTATATTCATCTTTGAAAGCATCTTAGCTTAATGTCCTATGTAGAAATTGTTAAATAAATAAATTAGTGTCTACTGTTATTAAGTTTGACCCCCGCTGCTCCTGCAAAGAGAATCCAAATAGCCACACTCAACTAAGATGGGCCACGTTCATTGACTGAGTGCGTCAACACAAAATGGAAAAATAACTGAGTTTAGTCTCTTAATATTTCATGTTATATTGTCATCCTGGCTTGAATGTTTTAACGTTACTTAAAATATTGTTGTATTCTTGACAGAAATTAACAAATAACTTTAATGATGAGATGACGGTAGATTGTTAATGGTGGTAGTTTTGGGGTAACATGTTGTCAATATTTGTTAATGGTGATGTTTGTTCTTCAGGAATCTTATTCTCTTTATCCTTACAATCTTGAGATTCTGGTATGTGATTCTTGTTACCATTTTTTACTTGATCCATTTTGTCGGTTAATGTTGGATTTTGACTTTTAGGTTCTTGTTCCGCAACATTAAGTTCTGTATTATCTAGAGAGGATTTCCATTCTCTTGTCCTGCTCCAGGACATTTCCCTATATACAGTTGCAAGAAAAAGTATGTGAACCCTTTGGAATGATATGGATTTCTGCACAAATTGGTCATAAAATGTGATCTGATCATCATCTAAGTCACAACAATAGACAATCACGCTTAACCCCTTAAGGACCAAACTTCTGGAATAAAAGGGAATCATGACATGTCACACATGTCATGTGTCCTTAAGGGGTTAAACTAATAACACACAAAGAATGAAATTTTGTCATGTTTTTATTGAACACACCATGTAAACATTCACAGTGCAGGTGGAAAAAGTATGTGAACCCCTAGACTAATGACATCTCCAAGAGCTAATTGGAGTGAGATGTCAGCCAACTGGAGTCCAATCAATGAGATGAGATTGGAGGTGTTGGTTACAGATGCCCTGCCCTATAAAAAACACACACCAGTTCTGGGTTTGCTTTTCACAAGAAGCATTGCCTGATGTGAATGATGCCTTGCACAAAAGAGCTCTCAGAAGACCTACGATTAAGAATTGTTGACTTGCATAAACCTGGAAAGGGTTATAAAAGTATCTCCAAAAGCCTTGCTGTTCATCAGTCCACGGTAAGACAAATTGTCTATAAATGGAGAAAGTTCAGCACTGCTGCTACTCTCCCTAGGAGTGGCCGTCCTGTAAAGATGACTGCAAGAACAGCGCAGACTGCTCAATGAGGTGAAGAAGAATTCTAGAGTATCAGCTAAAGACTTACAAAAGTCACTGGCAAATGCTAACATCCCTGTTAGCGAATCTACAATACGTAAAACACTAAACAACAATGGATTTCATGGGAGGATACGACAGAGGAAGCCACTGCTGTCCAAACAAAACATTGCTGCACGTTTACAGTTTGCACAAGAGCACCTGGATGTTCCACAGCAGTACTGGCAAAATATTCTGTGGACAGATGAAACCAAAGTTGAGTTGTTTGGAAGAAACACATAACACTATGTGTGTCGAAAAAGAGGCACAGCACACCAACATCAAAACCTCATCCCAACTCTGAAGTATGGTGGTGGGGGCATCATGGTTTGGGGCTGCTTTGCTGCGTCAGGGCCTGGACGGATTGCTATCATCGAAGGAAAAATGAATTCCCAAGTTTATCAAGACATTTTGCAGGAGAACTTAAGGCCCTCTGTCTACCTGCTGAAGCTCAACACAAGATGGGTGTTGCAACAGGACAATGACCCAAAGCATAGAAGTAAATCAACAACAGAATGGCTTAAACAGAAGAAAATACGCCTTCTGAAGTGGCCCGGTCAGAGTCCTGGCCTCAAACCGATTGAGATGCTGTGTCATGACCTCAAGAAAGCGATTCACACCAGACATCCCAAGAATATTGCTGAACTGAAACAGTTCTGTAAAGAGGAATGGTCAAGAATTATTCCTGACTGTTGTGCACGTCTGATCTGCAACTACAGGAAACATTTGGTTGAAGTTATTGCTGCCAAAGGAGGTTCAACCAGTTATTAAATCCAAGGGTTCACATACTTTTTCCACCTGCACTGTGAATGTTTACATGGTGTGTTCAATAAAAACATGGCAACATTTCATTCTTTGTGTGTTATTAGTTTAAGCATACTGTGATTGTCTATTGTTGTGACTTAGATGATGATCAGATCACATTTTATGACCAATTTGTGCAGAAATCCATATCATTCCAAAGGGTTCACATACTTTTTCTTGTATCTCTATATGATCATATGTCCCACCTCCCTGTCTCACTTCCCACTACCTCTTCTCCTCGCCATGTAATGTTCTGAGCCAGGTAAAGGGTCCAATCAAAGGCTTCAAATGTCAGGAGGGGGAATGGTTAACAACCTCAGGAGCATCACCCTGTAATGGGTTTCAGGTAACTTAAACTTATTTTATTACTTATTTGTAGCATTTGGGAATAATGTCCAACGCAACATTGTTTATTTTTCATTTGATTTAGTTGTAAGTGCTGGAGTAAACCTTTAAAACAAGAATGTAAAAATTCTGACATGAGTTTGATGGAGCACAAGTGACAGTCCAGTACAACACTGATGTTACAATGAATAAAAACAGAATTTCTCGTGTCTTGAAATGAATGGTTTATTGAGGCTGGTGGACAGCCTTGAATTAAAAGGGAAACTCTATGCTACACAGCCAGTACAGCTTATTGTAATGGTAATAGTGCACGGAGTCTGGGTTCAATTGCTCAGAATTTTGTCAAGCTGTTTTGAATGGTTTGAAAAAAAACATTGAGTCCTGGCACTCAAAGCCCCTGTGCTACCACTGCCATAATGTGTAGGTTTCACTGTCCCATGATCTGTACAAACAGTTACTAATTTACGTGAGAGAATGAGGTTGTGAGTGCTGGGGAAGTTTTAACCCAATTTACGAGACAATTATTATTGTCCAAACGTCCTCAGACAGATTTGCATGGATAATGATCTGTTTCAAAAGAACCCGGTTTGTCAAAGCACTCAGAACACAAGTATGGAACAGCGTATAACTGCCTAGAGTGATTCCAGATTACTGCTACCCAAACATGGATGGATCTAGAGGACAGCGCTCACAGGCTGATTGCACCATAACCACTTTTAATAGATGCAGTGCTTAGAATTCTTGGAATACCCCTTTGATAAAAAATATTTAAGACTGACTTTTTTCTTTACATAGAAATCATCAATTTAATTATTCTACCCAGGTGAGAAATGTGTTAAAAGAAGAGAAGCAAAACAAATATATATTTGCAAGATATAATAACTAATTCTAGAGGTATGTTATTATCAGCTAATTAAACCCTACATTAATTGGCCTGACATAGCCATGGGTCACATGTCTTTGGGATTAGCATTTCCCGCACTATGTGATGATATCATGAGATAATTACAACTAGTCTAGACTGGAGCAATGCGTACTTTGATACTTTTATTGACTCACGGGTTGGACATTCTGAAGGAGGCCATTCAAGACTGTGATTCCTCGGGATGAATGTCTAATACTAAGTTTCCTATTTTTTTAATACAATTATGATTCACTCATAACTATAAAGTTTCAGGTTGATTACTAGGCATTGTAAATATCCTCAATGTTGTTTCTTAATATTCTCCAATACCCCACAATTTGGGCCTTTGTACTATTAATTACCATATCTCAAAATATAGGGATTATGATGATAAACTTATATAATTCATGTTGAAGGGTGTAGAGTAGCTTCTCACTCACAACTATTTCTCAGTCGACTTGACATTCTACCTGCTGTAATGTGGGGCAACAATGGGGGGGAAATCTGTCCACGTCTTAGCTAACCTACATATGGTTGGAGGAGAACCACATTTTTGCAAGTTGGATAGCCAGGTTACGGCAGAACACACGCTTTACACTTGGAATTTACTATTTTGGTCACCTTTACTAAAGAAGGATATTATGGCACTGGAAAGAGTGCAGAGACAGGATACAAAATTAATAAAAGGAATGGAACACTTTCCGTTTACAAATGTTTTTTTTTTGTCTTCTATTAGATCAAGAGCAAAAAACAGATGTGAGGACGGCTGAACTTGATGGACATATGTCTCTTTTAGCCTATGTAACTATGTAACTATGTAACTATGAATTGGTTGATAATTTGGTGCTAATTGTGACGGAACGCTGGCACTCCGACTGAGTACCTCCGCCAATCGATGCGCCTAGTGCTCGCTGAGGACTCCAAGCACTCCAACCGACACCATCAGCACTGCAGACCCCACTTCCAGCAATACAGCTGCGCCGGGGTCTCGCCGTCTCCACCCACCCTGGATCCACGACCAGGATCCAGCTCCCAGTGGGTGAACCTCTCCTAAATCCAGAGAGCGTAGCAGGAACAAATCAAGCTATTGCAAGAGTTTACTCTGGGGAGTAAGTGATTATAGCAATCCCCAGAGTGTAGTTTTCCAATCCCCCAAACATGAGCCAAGGCTTAATGCTGGAACAAGACTTTACTGGAAGTAACAACATACAGTTTCTTTTATGCCTTGCTCCCATGCAGGGGAGGGACACACACGTTATCTACAGTAGCCAATAAAACAGAGGTTACAGCCCACACAAAATCCTCCCCTCTGCCTGTGATTCAATTATCTTATACAATAGAAGATCAATTATCACAGGTAGGAAAAATACAGTTTTTACAGCATATTCATAACTTCTAAAATATACATCACATTCACATAAAAAATATATATTCACAATCAATCCATTCAGGGAAACAACATATCAAAAAATGGCATGAATCAGGGGTTCAGAAGTTAGTAAAGTATCTTTTGGGCCCTGGCTGACAGCATGGCTATCTGGCCCAAACAGGTTTTACAGAGCCCTCTATCCTGGAGACAATGGGGAAAATAATCTAATTATCCAGGGATAGAGGCAGACTCCATTGAGCACATGTTCCCAGTAAAACACAAAAGGATACAAAAATACATAACTCCTATCATTCTGAATTGAACGGGCCAAATCACAGGGCAAGAGGCGGGCAAACAGTCCTCTCCAGGCACAAGTGGCGAAGGGCACTTCGTCACAGTAATAAATCCATGGATAAAGTAGCAGGGAGGGAAAGTACCGAATGAATGGAGGGGGATTCTTCACACTAATCAATTACATTTTTCATTTGCAGTGATCTTTCTGTGCAATGTATTGGTGTGTAATTTTGGAGAAAGTACCATTTTAAGAATGTTCCATAAGTCTTGTAGTGGGATTCCAGAATATGGGAACAATCCTATCGTCTCTAATAAATCATTAGAACTGTTCCCATTCTTCAGTTCCTTTATATTCACGTGAACTGTCCATTATTTTGCAACTTTCTTACTGATTATTGTAATTCTTCTGGAATAAGACATCGTTTTGTAAAAAATATTGTGAATTTAAAAAGTATGATGATGCGTCAGTTTTTGCCACAACTTACAGTGCTTGATTTCATCAAAATAAAATATTATTAATAGGTTTTTACCTGTTTTGTACAGCGATAATAAACTTTGTCATATAGCTAAAAAATATGCCGAGCAATAGCTAAAAGAGTTCCCACTTGCGGGTCCATCATTTCCCCTCTGTATTTTTTATCTGGGTTTCTAATTCTAATCTTACTTGGTTGGACCTTAAAGGTAACTATATAAATGGAGTCAAACCTTATATAAACTGTACATATCTTACAGTAGGGAACCATTTTACAAACTATGTGACCAGGGCCGCCATCAGAAATTTTAGGGGCCCCTGACAAAGCACAAGGTCTGCCCCCCCCACTCTGTTCCTCCCTCCCGGGCCCGCCCACGCCCTACCTAGTCCGCTCACAATGATGCAGGACTGAATGTGGTGTGTGTATAGTGGAAGTGAATTAGAATGTGTGTAATGGATGTAGTGTTTGTGTGTATTAGATACTGTTTGTGCAATGAATGCAGAGTGTGTGGTGTAGTGGATGCAGTGTGTATAGTGAACGCAGAGTGTGTTTGAGTAGTGGATGTAGTGTGTGTACAGTGATGTAGTGTGTGTTTGTGTAGTGGATGTAGTGTGTGTATGTACTAGATGAAATGTGTTTAGTGGATGCTGTGTCTGTAGTGGATGTAGTGTGTGTATTAGACGCAGTGTCTGTGTATAGTGAATGCAGAGTGTTTCAATTTGTGGTGGATGTAGTGTGTGTACTGTGAATACAGGATGTTTGTGTAGTGGATGCTGTGTGTACAGTTAAGGCAGAGTGTATGTTAATGTAGTGAATGCAGAGTGTGTGTCAGTATAGTGAATCCAGAATGTGTGCATACTTTAGTGAATGCAGAGTGTGTGTTAGTGTGTAATGAATGCAGAGTGTGTGTTAGTGTGTAGTGAATCCAGAGTGTGTGTACATTTGTAGTGAATGCAGAGTGTGTGTTAATGTGTAGTGAATGCAGAGAGTGTGTTAGTGTGTAGCGGATGCAGAGTGTATGTTAGTGTAGTGAATGCAGAGTGTTAATGTGTAGTGAATGCAGAGAGTGTGTTAGTATGTAGCGGAACCAGAGTGTGTGTCAGTATAGTGGATGCAGTGAGTGTGTTAGTGTGTAGTATATGCAGAGTGTATGTTGTATTAGTGTATGCAGTGTGTGTATTGTATTAGTGTATTAGTGTATGCAGTATGTGTGTTGTATTAGTGTATGCGGTGTGTGTGTTAGTGTATGCAGAGTGTGTGTTGTGTTAGTGTATTAGTGTATGCAGTATGTGTGTTGTATTAGTGTATGCGGTGTGTGTGTTAGTGTATGCAGAGTGTGTGTTGTGTTAGTATATGCAGTGTGTGTGTGTGTTGTGTTAGTGTATGCAGTGTGTGTGTTGTGTTAGTGTATGCAGTGTGTGTGTGTTGTGTTAGTGTACCATGGCAACGCTCCGCGGGTTTCGCGAGAGTTATTAGAAGAGAGAAGAGAGGAGAAGCTGTGTGCTGCCTCGGCCCCCTCTGAGGTAACAGGGAGCTGGGGGCCCGCAGCTGCACACATAGATCGCGATATTCGCTATCTATGTGTGCAGAGAAAGAAAGTGGAGCCCAGAACTGCCAGAGCAGTCCGGGCCCCTCAGGACCGCCAGGCCCGTGACAACAGTCATGGTTGTCACTCCCTGATGGCGGCCCTGTATGTGACTGGTGAGGCTTATAACAATACACGATATATTAACTGTAACAGTTAACTATAATGTTATTTATCTACTTGTACTAAATGTTACAAACAGTACATTGGACAAACTGCCAGAATGCTGATGAATAGACTAAGGAACCATATTAACTCTATCACCTACTCCTATCGCTAATGCTTCCATGAATGCAATGGTGCTAAGTTCTGAAAGATACAAGTAATTGAAAGATTTATACCTTAAAGGCACTATAGTCACCTGAACAACTTTAGCTTAATGAAGCAGTTTTGGTGCATAGAACATGCCCCTGCAGCCTCACTGCTCAATCCTCTGCCATTTAGGAGTTAAATCCCTTTGTTTATGAACCCTAGTCACACCTCCCTGCATGTGACTTGCACAGCCTTCCATAAACACTTCCTGTAAAGAGAGCCCTATTTAGGCTTTCTTTATTGCAGGTTCTGTTTAATTAAGATTTTCTTATCCCCTGCTATGTTAATAGCTTGCTAGACCCTGCAAGAGCCTCCTGTATGTGATTAAAGTTCAATTTAGAGATTGAGATACAATTATTTAAGGTAAATTACATCTGTTTGAAAGTGAAACCAGTTTTTTTTTCATGCAGGCTCTGTCAATCATAGCCAGGGGAGGTGTGGCTAGGGCTGCATAAACAGAAACAAAGTGATTTAACTCCTAAATGACAGTGAATTGAGCTGTGAAATTGCAGGGGAATGATCTATACACTAAAACTGCTTTATTTAGGTAAAGTAATTTAGGTGACTATAGTGTTCCTTTAAGCCTTGCAGAGAGGATTTAGCAAAACTTCATCCAAATGGACATATTACCCAGCAACATGTACACCGCAGGGTCTTAGTTCAATTTATTTTGTATCTTGTTTCGTATAGTAATAGACTTTCTTCACTAATATGTTTTTATTTCATGTGTATACAGTATCTCACAAAAGTTAGTACACCCCTCACATTTTTGTAAATATTTTATTATAACTTTTTATGTGACAACACTGAAGAAATTACACTCTGCTACAATGTAAAGTAGTAAGTGTACAGCCTGTATAACAGGGTAAATTTGCTGTCCCCTCAAAATAACTCAACACACAGCCATTAATGTCTAAACCGTTGGCCACAAAAGTGAGTACACCCCTAAATGGAAATGTCCAAATTGAGCCCAATTAGCCATTTTCCCTCCTTGGTGTCATGTGACTCGTTAGTGTTACAAGGTCTCAGGTGTGAATGGGGAGCAGGTGTGTTAAATTTGGTGTTATCGCTCTCACACTCTCTCATACTGGTCTCTGGAAGTTCAACATGGCACCTCATGGCAAAGAACTCCCTGAGGATCTAAAAAAAAGAATTGTTGCTCTACATAAAGATGGCCTAGGATGTAAGAAGATTGCCAAGACCCTGAAACTGAGCTGCAGCGCGGTGGGCAGGACCATGCAGGGGTTTCACAGGACAGTTCCACTCAGAACAGGCCTCACCATGGTCGACCAAAGAAGTTGAGTGCACGTGCTCAGCGTCATACCCAGAGGTTGTCTTTACGAAATAGACGTATGAGTGCTGCCAGCATTGCTGCAGAGGTTGATGGGGTGAGGGGTCAGCCTGTCAGTGCTCAGACCATATGCCGCATCCTGCATCAGATTGGTCTGCATGGCTGTCGTCCCAGAAGGAAGCCTCTTCTAAAGATGATGCACACCAAAGCAAGTCCAAACAGTTTACTGAAGACAAGCAGACTAAGGACATGGATTACTGGAACCATGTCCTGTGGTCCGATGAGACCAAAATAAACTTATTTGGTTCAGATGGTGTCAAGTGTGTGTGTGGCGGCAACCAGGTGAGGAGTACAAAGACAAGTGTGTCTTGCCTACAGTCAAGCATGGTGGTGGGAGTGTCATGGTCTGGGCTTGCACGAGTGCTGCCGGCACTGGGGAGCTACAGTTCATTGAGGGAACCATGAATGCCAACATATACTGTGACATCCCAAACGGTAGGATAATATTGAATAATATGTATATATTTTACAGTATTCTGTGATTGACCAATTTGTGAACTATTTTGGTTCATCCGAATCGTTTTCTCAAAAACGATCGCATGGACAAGAATTATCCACCTGAAATGCCACATGGATGAAACCTGGATAACCTGAAACTAATTTTTTTTTCAAGATGAATTGATTCAAATTAACCAATTTTGTTTTCACTGCACAAGTCTAACAGCAAGTATTGTCCTCACAATTATAGCTGCAGGCAGCAACACATCTCTGCTTTAGCTATAAACAGTGCAAAAAGGTTATTGTTAAGATCTGTGAACTCATAGCAGGTAGAGAGATAGGTCTGATTGGCTCTCTTAGCTGATAGAACTAATTTAGTATCTCCAGTTAAAATGAGTAATATATAAAAAAAAAATGAATGGGGTCCCTTTGAACACCGCAAAATCGGATAGGCAGGAGACACCCAGCCCTTGTGACCAATAGGTAGGTGTCCGCAAGCCCCTAGCAACCCCCCGTAATATTTCTCTACTCATTCACACTAGTAATCTTGAGGAGATAACAATTTTAAAATAAGACACTTTAAAAGTATTGTTATATATACCATTTTACATTTCCTTATTTTAATCTTCTTTCTTTGACCCCTCAATCTCCGCCCCTTCCCCCAAAAAAATCCCAAACATAACTTATTAAAAACACACAAAATCACACTTGCAAAAAAAAAGAAAGAAACTTAAAATCCACGAGGACTGACCATTCAAGAAAGAAACTGCCTTTATTAAGGCCTTCCCACATATTGAATTTCAGTTAGAACTCTGCAACTGGTTGACGTGGAGGCCAGCCTATCGCAGTGCTCTGATGGGCAAGTATTTTTTTTTTAAACAGTTTCATCAGATTGTAATGGTTTGTAATATATATATTTTTTTTGAGGATTAACAAAGAAGATCAAAAAGAGAAGACGTAGAGAGGTGAAATCCTATAGTGAGACCTTACGTTTGGTTTCAATAACCGGGCTAGTGAATTTCAAATTCAAATAATCTAACTAGTTATACTGGAAGTCAGGTGATGCTTTCAGTGTGACGACTCTTGCCTTAAGTTTGAAATTAACTTAGACTTCTCACTTTCGTAAATGACCTTGTAACTGTGGCATTTCTGCCAGTAAAAGGACTTTTCTTTTTGAGCCTTTGTTATTGTGACACCTGTTAAGACACTCCCGGCATTAATTACCGAAACCGCCGTTTAGTAGATCTTCCCCCTTTTAGAGAAGATCTAAAAGTTACTGTAGACGCCAAACTCCCGAACGGAATACAAGGGAATGCTCCAAACTCCCGAACGGAGAATCATGCGAACTCCTTCTCTGCTGGAACAGGCAAAAGAATACTCCAAAGTAGCAATCCCCCCAAACACGAGACCAAGCTCCGTCTTGAGGGTAAAACAGGAATCTGATTTATTGAGGGCTACATGCCCGGTATTTATGCAGGTCTCCCACCTGGTGGACACTCCCCTAGGGGACCAGATGAAAGACTGGGACAAGTATGGTACATTAGCCAATCACAGTGGCTCAGGCATAAACCCTCCCCTTGGTACAAGCAAACCCCTCCTCTCTATCCTGGAGATATTGTGAAGAAATCCAATTATCTCCATGGATAGGGGCAAAACACCATTTTAAATGATACAGTAAAAATACATAAAACAGATAGCCTAGATCTGAGCGCACATTATTACAGAATGGCGCTCAGATCCAATACACACAGTTCAATCGCCATGGAGTCAAAGTCTTTCACACTGTTCTTTCGGTATACGAAGGGCTCCATGGGTTGGCTATCTGGGTGAAGTCCATTCATGAAATAAAAGTCCCGAACGGACCGGTGTTCGTATGCCGGATGACAAAGAATAGAGGTCGGCGGTTTCAGCGGTGGGAGAAAAAGTGTCCATTTTGAGTTCCATCAGTTTGTTGACTAACACCGCTGTGTATTCGTGCATCTAAGATGGCCTTGTGGTCGACATACGAACGACGACCACCCAGCATACGGTTTCAATTAAGGGGTGTCTGCGGTTTACCACAACGTTCGAATTGGGGCCAATAGGTTAACCAGCAGCACACTCCTCTTCTGGGTGGCCGGCCATTCGGCAGTTAGTTCGGTAGATTAAAAAATAAACGAACGGGGAAGTACGGACAGGCAATTACACGAATCCACACAAATCCACCGGGAAAGCACTATAGTTCCAAGACAGCGGAATCTGTCACAAAACCATTTATTGATTAGTAAATGTCTTTGTGGATTTCAAAATGTTGCACTCCACCCAGGATCCAATATTAATTTGCTTTGTAGTAAAGTTACACCAGTTATTAAATAGCAATTTCGGCTTAACTTTACTGCAACACCGATGGTAGGCTCTATTAAATTGAGCTGTAAAGGTCTACATTTTTGCAGATCTGGTTATCACTTCAATTCACCCATATCAGCAGGGATTACAGTTTTGTGGAAGTGGGATCAAATTAGGGCATTCGATTGAGTATCATTTAAAAGTCAAGCATGATTTAGGACTGTTTTCACCATAGTTCCATCCCTCTTGTGTTCCACCTCTAGCGGTGAGATACCCAGCAGGCAATATACAGCTGACACAATGTGTGTTGGATGGTATCTGGCCCACTTTCTGCTAGAACGTAACATTCAGTTATAACACCATCACCTGCCACCCCCTCTATTCCTAAAACATATGACTTAACCGATCATAGGAAAATCTTTGCGTTTTCACATATTTAGGCAGATTTATTGTTAATAAATATCAGTTTATTTACATTTGTTTTATAATAATCAAACAGCTTTTCGCATTAGAAAATCTAACAAAGGGAGAACCACAATAAGTCCATGGAGAATATAAACTAGAATTAGAGATCTTGATTTCTCTGGAATTACACAATTTAAGTCAGCTATTACCGCCATACAATTAAATCAGCGAACGGGTCTGATTAACATCTTTGTTCCTTCTCGATCCTTTCTGTGTTTGTTTCCTGGATTTGTGGTCATGTTCCCATCGTGGTTCGATGTAGATTGCATTTGACGGCACTAAAAGAAAGTAAAAGCAGAGATATGTTAGAACAGATAAATAAAGACCTCGTTAAGAGCCATATCGATTATTAAGATCCAAGAGATTCGGCTTAAATTGTGGCCCAGCTATGGGTCTGAAGAGGACTAGGCCGGCGTGTTATATGATGTGGAGGTTACTTCAATGACTTAAACCCTAAGCAGTACAACTTCAAAGCATATACAGAAATAAATGAAACGGCTCAATTAATGATTATTAGGGCGTGCGCCCAGCAGCTGGCCTTAGGAAGGCAAAGAGAGAAGAAGCGGCAGTCCGCCTGATCGGGATGGCTTGCAATCCAACAGTGGAATGTCTGAGCTTTCATCGCTCTGGTTTACAGTTCTAGTAGTTGTGAATCTATGTCACATGGAAATGATTACAACCTATAGTGGCATTCCTAATATGGGTCAATCCTTTATTCTGGAATTATTGGGGGAAATCATTAAAATCATTTAACTTTGTTTAAAAAAATCTTTGTGTTCAGTAGAAATAAAATGATCTTTCAACGGTCAAATTGACTGGTGACACATATTAAAATCTGTCACTTCTCTGGAATTTACATCACTTAATAAAACATTAGCAATTAGCTAGAACTGTGTTCATCTTTTTTGTTTTTATGAGATGCTCCATATTCTTTTAAATTTATAGATTTAACAAATGACATTATAATTCAATAAGGCAAAACTATGGCAAACTTGGCAAATGGTGAGGAGAAATGTAAACGTTTCATTTCTTCTCTTTTCTGTATGTTGTTTCTATGCTGACCGATAGGTGCAAAGGGCAGATGATTGACAGGGAGCTAAGATGGAGGCATTCAGCTCCAGGAGAGAGAGGTGTAAATTACTTCATTTAATTCTATTTTTGGGGGGTTTTTTTGTTCTCACAAATGCATACTTGAAAAATGCAGGTGATAAAGGAACTCAGTTCCCCTTTAAGATTAGGCAATTTTGCCATTGGTGTGTGCATGGGGGGAGGGGAGGGTGACAGTGTGTGTGGTGGTGGTGACAATGTGTTGAGGGGTCAGAATGTGTAGGTTAAGTGACAGTGTGTGGGGAGTGACAGTGTGTAGGGGGTGACAGTGTGCTGGCAAGAGCTCGCCGGGTCCTCTCCTGCCTCCCTCCCTGCCTGTGGGTCAGTGAGGGAGATCTTTGATCTCCCTCACCTGCCCACGGAAGGAGGCACATAGTGCGTGCCGCAGGAATTAGGGTGTGCCTAGGCACACCTGGCACACCCCGTGCGCACGCCTATGGTGACAGTGTTTAGGTAGAGTGACAGTGTGTAGGGGGTGGCAGTGTGTGGGGAGTGACAGTGTGTGGGGGTGACAGCATGTAAGTGGGTGAAAATGTGTAGGGGGTAACAGTGTGTATGGGCTGACAGTGTGTGGGGGTGACAATGTGTGGAGGGGTGACAGTGTATAGGGGTGACAGTGTGTGGAGGGGGAGCCAGTGTGTGTGAGAGGTGCACTGTCAGGCAGGGTTTTTCTGTATTCTCCCTGGTGGTCCAATGTTCTCCCTGGTGGTCTGGCTTGCCAGACGCAGAGTTGCAGTCCATGAGGTAGCTGTCTTGCGAACTTGTAGTGTCAGAGAGGTAAAGTGGTAACCCACAGCAACGTTCTGGTTGTCTGGTGCTCATTAAAGAATACTTATGATCTGCAACTCTGCTCCCAGCAGAGCTGCAGACCAAAGTCGCTGGGCTCTTTCTCCCCTGGGCAGACTACAAGAAGGGGCTCAGCACCAGGCAACACTATGCCACTATGCTCCTTTCCAGTGTCGGTCCCTCAATCATGGAATGAGAGTCAGATTAATTATCCTGTCCTCAAGCGAATTAGGGGGCAAGAGGCCCCTGGCAACCACCTAACTCATCTAACCAGTAACTGCTTCTGATGTCAGATACCTTCGATATTGTCAAAAATATCTCTAAAAGAGGGGTGATATAAGAGTCCTCTCAACAGCACTTTGAAGTGGAGATTACAATTGCTGTCCTTGCACCCTCCATTGCCAGTAGTTTTGTTATGATTTTTACTCACAGTACTCCGGTCGCTGCTCCTGGCCTTCACAACATCAGTCAGAGGGCTGAAAGCATTCTGTCCGAGCTAAGCCTGGCGATGCAGGGTTTAGGAGAGACAATGCAAGCTCCCAAGCAGAAGCTTCTGGGTGTCTTGGTGAAGTATTGGAGGCAGGGACTCTATGTAAGAAGTCAAACTATTTCCAATGGAGGAGTGTCAAAGTACTTCGGCCAACATATCCACTGTAGTGCTTGGAGAGTTTCTTTAAACACTATTTATTATCAAACTACTTAAAAATACGGACAATGCGCCTCTAGAATGCAGCACCATAACCAACACAATGAGCTGCGGTATTACTGATGTAAATGGCTGCTAACTCCCAAAAATGATGGTGGTTTTTAAAGAAAAGTAAAATCTCTTCCCAGATCAGATCTGGAGAATTGCACATTGATATACGAAGAATGTAACAGTATTAAACAAAACAACTATTCTTAAGTACACTTCCTGGAACAATTCTTAAGAAAGTGGTTGTTGCAACTTTGGAAATTCCGCAACTCTTCTTAAAAACTGTAATTCCAAATTCATTCTCCCTGAACACACGTTCAGCCTAAAACCTGAACTATAACCTAAAATTCAATCATCTCATATCTGAGATTTCAAGCAGAAAGAAAAACAACATAAATAATTGTATTTAGTATTTCTAAATACGAGTTTCTTCTCACGTGTCCGTATATTATAGATTAACACAGTCTACATTCCTGGTTAGCCAGATTCTGGGTCTCAGTCTAGTGAGATTATTCTCTTACAAGATCATCAACTTTATTCATTAAACAGTGGGCTTTGCCGATTTAAAACGACAAACACACTAACAAACAATCTAACTCCTAACTGGATGAAACAACCAGTCTCTGCTGAATTTAAGATTTTCTACAACTATACATTTTTGGCCTAAATCTACATTCCGCTCTCAGGCCACGGGTGAGGTCACGGAACTCTGCTGTTTTCTGAATAAAGTCGATGTATAGCTTTTCAGACAGTCTCACATCAATGAACATCCATGGACTCATATGTGGATGAGGGGTTCTTCTTCGTAATATTTCATTGTCTCACAAAAAAATTACACGGTTCATGAACTTTTGCAACAAATTAGCTGACCTACAACACTGCACTATATAAGCCAAGTCTCCAAACTATCATCAATGCCAAGACCAATTGTGCGGCCTTGTACAGCAGAGCATGGCTTTTAGGTCAGAGCCTCTTTCTGTCATGTAACGTGAGTGGAAACTCCACCTTCCAGCAGTTTGGACGTAACGCTGGATTGAGAGTCTCAAGTGGAATCAAAGCTATTGAGGACTGAGGCCCACCTGCCTAATTCTCCCAGACACAATCACACCTGTCCACAGCTACACAGAAATACTACCTGCCAGACACGCATACACACACACACACACTTACACTTTCATATGCATTCAGACATGCATTCTCACGTACAGAAATACACTGCCAGACACACACCAATATTTACTGATAGGAATATACACTCACACATGGATACTTACTGCCAGACATACACTCAGATACACATTCTCAATTCTCACACACTAACACGACCACACACAAATACACACTGCCAGACACACACGCAAACACAAATTCTTTCAGATGGGAATTCACATTCAGGAATGGATGCTTGCTATCAGTTATAGAATCATGTGCACACTGCCAGACAGACACCCTTACAAACAAATTGATATAAATTGCTAGACACACACACTCACACCAACATATTGAGATACATATTTGTTTTAGTTTCTCCACTTGGCTACTTTTTCCCTCAGAATGGTTGCTTCCCAAGTGTTTGTGGGCAAGGCAGTCTTTAATACGGGGTGAATGGGGCAGCCTCTGGCCCTGTTACTCTGGGGGGCCTGTAACGGATCGACGGGTACACTGACTGGGTACCTCCGTTGAAGGATGCTCCTAGCACTTCCTGAGGGCTCCAAGCACTCCAGCAGACACCATAACCACCATAGACTCCTTCAAAGAGCAAAACAGGAACAAGCTCTTAAAAGAGGTTAGTAGTGATTATAGCAAGAGAGTATGGTGAGCATAGCAATCCCTAGTATCACATTCCCCCAATAAGAGACAGGACTCCAAATTGAGGGTGAAGTAGAACTGGAGCTTTAATCCAACACTCTGCTTTTATGCACATTCTACAAACATAGTACTGCCCACAGGGTTTTGCAGGACAACAATCAATACGTACAATACACTCAGGCACTCCCAGCAATTACACACAAAATCGTCCCCTCTGCCTGTGCTATAATTACTGAACACAATGGGTTAATGTAATTATCACAGGCAGAGAAATACAGTTTTTACACATGTACTATAACCTTAAAACTATACATTCAATATTCATAAAAACAACATATTAATACTCAGCTCACTTTAATTACACACATATCCAAAATTCAGGTGATTTCTTCCAGGGGTTAAAAAGTTAGCTGGAAGTCCTTTGTGACTGACCACAAGCACATTTTCATGCCCAAATCAGTTCCATAGATTTGGGCTGTGCCGTCGGTCGATTTCACACTGTAAAAATGAACCGAACGGGACTTAGTCTCTGGGGCTGAAAACTCAGTGTAGGAGATGGTAAGGGTCAACGGTGTTCGTGGAACTGTGTAGCCAATTTCAGTTCCATGAATTTGGCTACACACACCACTGACCGCGTTTGGTAGAATAAAGATGGCCGTTTGTACGAACGGCGGCCCCCCAGCGGTCAGCAATTTACCTACAGCAGGCTCCCCACTTGGGAGGTAAATTGCCTGCACGCTTCCATTTCTGGGATGTCCGCCTGTGTGGTACATGGTTCAGTAAGCCCAATTTACTGAATCAAGTGGGAGAAAGCCAGGAACGCAGTATATTAACAGTCTGGGGACACTGCGGACACCGTCTTAAAGGGGCATTGTCCCCAACAAGTATGGGGACACTGGGGACACAGTCTTAAAGGGGCATTGTCCCAAAAAGTCTCAATATGCCCATACACAGTTCTTAAAGGTCCATACACAGTCCAATAGAAGTCCATATGCTGTGCTTAAAGGGCCAGTAGCAGCAAAATAAAAAAATCCATTATGCCCAAATGATGTCTTTAAAGGGCAATATCCCGAGGGCCGTAGTCACAGGGCAGGAGGCGGGCAAGCAGCCCCCTCCAAAAACTCATGGCAACCTCCCTTGAAGGGGTGAGTTTGCTACAAGGCCCAAAGCAACTGTCCCAAGGGCTCCACTGCCCTCAACTACTAATTTTTTCCCCCATGCACTATGGGGCACCCAGTGGGCATTTGTAAGCAGGTGCGCAGTCATGTGCTGTGGCCTTTTAAGAGAACGACCGGGCCTCTTGCTTTTTGGCAGCCTGGAAAGAAGTGACAGCCACACGCCACTTCTTCCCAGTGAAAACACAGAGTCACCTGGGAGAGACCAAAGAGGCAGCGAGGAGGGGGCTGGACCGGGAGAGCCAATCCCTAACTCCCAACAGCCATAGACACCACTTTGGACACCCTTCAAGGATGGAAATGAGAGGTGGGTTTAAAAGTGTAAATTAAGCGTGTGTGTGAATGTGGGCCAGTTTGTCTGTCAGTGTGTGTGTGAGTGTCATTATGTCTTGTCAATTATGTGTCTTTGTCAGTATGCCTGTTAGTGTATGTGTGTGTCAGTATGTCTGTTAATGTATGTCTGTGTGTTTGTCAGTATGTCTGTCAGTTATGTGTCTGTGTGTGTCAGTATGTCTATCAGGGGATGTGTCTGTGTGTCGGCATGTCTGACAGTGTGTGTGTGTCAGTATGTCTGTCAGTATATGTGTGTGTGTCAGCATGTCTGTCAGGGTATGTGTCTGTGTGTATCCATATGTCTGTCAGTGCATATATGTGTGTCAGTATGTTTGTTTGTGTGTGTGTATGAGTCAGTATGTCTGTCAGTGAAAATATGTGTGTCAGTATGTTTGTTTGTGTGTGTATGAGTTTGTATGTCTGTCAGTGTATATGTCTGTGTAAGTATGTCTTACACCATTTTACTTTATTTCCCTCACTGCATTGGGGTGAAATGCATGATTGCATTTGTGGGAAGGACAGGGACCAGGGGGCCCAAGAAATTGCTTTTCCCAGGGTCCTATTGATATTATAGACAGACCTGTTTGTGGGGAGTATTCAAATGTTATTGCAGGTTGCCCCATCACTCATTAGAGTACGGTGACAGCCCATCCTCACCCCAGCACTGCCACACAGGAGAGCAGAATGTGTTGTTAAGAGATGATTTGCTAGTAGTCTGGTGAAGGGCGATATTTATATCTTCTCGATCGTCAAACATAACTTATCTCAGTGACCTATAGTCCTTTGATGTTGGCCCAATTAATATCACTATGTTGAAGTAATCTTGTAGAAGCGTGAGAAAAATCATCTTCTGACTTCATACGTATGAATTATATTGTTTATTTATTTATAAAACATGTATTTCCAATGCATTTATCTATTTATGTATTTTATTTTATTTTGGAAATAGTCACTTTTTTTTATTGGTACAAATTTGTCTGCAACTGTAAATAAAATCAATCAGTTAAATCAACCCATTACTTATTGCATGGAGGCTGCGTGATATTAAATCAGTGTTGCTGGGATCCAGGGAGTAGGGATATTATACAGCCAAGACATGCTATCTTTTTTGGTACTTTTAGTGGAAGTATCCTGTTCTGCTTGCTCAGCTGTGTTACATTGAACCGACTTTCAACCTGGAAAAGAGAAGGTCCCCAATCTATTATAAGAAAACTCTGTAGCATTATTGAGATACATTGCATTAATATTTCTAAAGTTTTTTTACCATAATATTAACCTTTGGAAATCAATACAGTTGTAACTTGGTGTCTGTGGCCCTGTCCTCTCATGGTTCTAGTCCTATCTCTCCCAATGCTCATTCAATGTCTCATTTTCTAATGATACCTCCTCCCCACGTCCTGTCTCGGTCCTCCTCTTAAACCTTGTCTTTTGCTCTCCCTGCAAGTTGATGGTACCTGCATCAGCCCATCCTTGCAAGCCCACTGTCTTGGTGTTATCTTTGATTCTGACCTCATATCCAGTCTGTTGCAAAATCCTGCTAATTCCACCTTAAAAATATTGTCCGCAACCGCCACTTTCTTACGTTAAATTCTAAAATGTTTGTTCAAGCTCTAGTAACTTCTGTAATTATCTCCTAATTTGTCTCCCCAGAAGCCATACTGCCTCACTATAGTCAGGTATCAATGCTTCTGCTAGGCTGATCTTTCACTCCTCTCATCCATCGCCCCTCTATCAATCCTTAGACTGGCTTCCTGTACCCTGTAGGAGTTAATTCAAAATACTAAGCCTTACCTATAAAGCTCTAACCAACTCTATACCCCATTACATTTCTTCACTAATTCGTAGGTATGCACCTTCTATGTCTCTCCATTCTGCCGGTGACCTTCACCTGCCTGCAGGACTTCCTTTCCTTTGGAAAAGCCTACCTAGTCCCATCAGACTCTCCCATAGTCTTCAATCATGTATGATGTCCCTCAAAGTCCATCTTTTCAGAAACTCTTATGGCCTCCCAGAGTTACTTCTATTTCACAAACCTGTCTCATGCTCTTCATTAACGGAACACAACCCACTCTCACCTTCCTGTTCTACTTTCCCACCCTGTCACTCGGTTGCTGTCCTCCAGGAACACTGTTGTGTTAAATATCCAAACCTGTATTCCTAATGCTATGGTGTTAAGGTACCTATTTAGATTATCAGGCTTTTCCTGTGTGCGTTAGCCCTTCCAATACCCACATTGAGTATACCTTTTTTCTTATTTCGTATGTATGTTTCAGTGTTCATAAAGCCTTACTCACTCACATATATACTCTAGTTATGATTGCCAGCCTGTAGAGAAACACATTTCTCTGTCATAAGCCACAAGTCATTGATATAATGCCTGTAAATTTGCTGAAAATGTAAGCTCACCGCCTGCTTCAAAACATTACAGGAAGTTTGAATGGATCATATTATTCCTACAGGGAGAGTGGGTGAGTGAATGGTCTCTATTTCACTGTCAGCATTACATTAGCATTTCAGATTGATAATAATTTCTATAGCAGTTTTAAACTCTTATATTTTAGAAGTATATAATTAAACTATATTTACTGTATGTGGTCAATATGCTCAAATACAAACGTTCTTTTTACATAATGTCATTTTTAGTAAGCTGTACTGCTTGTTATGCCTTCAGGGGTGTTACAAATACATATAAGCAAGTTATTTAACCATTTTTACTTATATATTTTTGTCACACCTTCTGTATGTGAGAATAAATTGCATTTTTACTCGTCTACTAACATTTCAGACCCTCTGTGAAATATTACAAGGTAAAGGACACTGTATAATGACACTTTTAAGTTCACAAATACTGTTTTTATAAAGGATGAACAAATAAGTGAAAATACAAATTGTGTAACTTAATAATTTAAATGTTTAAGTTTGTCTGCAAAGTGTTCTATTCACAATATTGCTGTGTTATGATATGTGGAAGAAAGGAGATTTCATCTAAGGCAAAGAAAAGGTTTTTTTTACAGTAAGAACAATACGGATATGGAATTCTCTGTCTGAAGAGGTGGTTTTATCAGAGTCTATACAGATGTTTAAACTGAAATTGGATAAATACTTACAAAAACATAACATACAGGGATATCATTTCTAATTAGTGGGGTAATAGCTGCTTGATCCAAGGAGACATCTGACTGCTATTTTGGGGTCAAGAAGGAATTTTTTCCTAGTTTGTGGCAAAATTGGAAGCGCTTCAGACCAGGTTTTTTGCCTTCTTTTGGATCAACAGCAACAACATTTGTGAGGAAGGCTGAACTTGATGGATGCAGTCTCTTTTCAGCTATGTAACTATGTAACTATGTAACTATGTTTATATGCTAGCTATGCGAGCTATGCAAGCTATGCAAAAGTGATTGCCACAGTGGCAGCTACTAGAGTTGGCATTAGGCAGCAGTGTAAATGCTGTCATTTCTCAGAAAAGGCAGTGTTTACAGTGCTGATTATGCAGGGCCAGGCTTGCATTGGGCTGTAGCGGTTCTGGTGCATTTAGGAAGATGTAACTTGACTTGTACACCAGGGCAGCCAGGCCACTACTAATAATGACATGAGTTTTTTAAAGCCTCATCCTTTCTATGGATTTTGAAACAGATCAACAGGACCTGAAAGTAAATATATAGAATACAAAGAATTATACTGTCTGGCCCTAACGCAAACAGCAACATTTATGTAAAAGATGTTTGCAGCGTATAAATCACAGATCTTGCACAACTGAAACTAAAACAATACTGTGACATTAATGTTGCAAAATGATTCCTTTTACTTTGTGATTAGCAAATTCTCTAATGTGATGAAATTACCCTTCAGAATTCAATTTAAAAAGCTGACAGAGCCTTCAACGTATTTAAAGGGACACAATAGACACCAAAACCACTCCATCTCAATGAAGTGTTCTGTGTGCAGTGCCTCTGGCATTTTGCTCCCACAATGTAAAACACTGTCGTTTGGTTCTTGATTGTTGCCGTACTCATGCATTGCATGAGGACAATGAAGTTCAATCAATGCTTCTCGTAGATTAGGGTAGGCAACCTTCAGGACTGCAGATGTTTTGGACTAGGGATCGACTGATTATCGGTTTTACTGACATTATCGGCCGATATTCGGTATTATCGGCAATATCGGTATTGGCCAATATAGATACCGATATTGCCGATAATACCTCCTAGGACCGCCGGGCTCATTACAAGCCTGGCGGTCCTGGGGGGGCCCTCAGGAAGCTGTTTCTTACCTTTCTTGCAGCCCCTCCAGCTCCCCAGTGCAAATCTTGTGGGTTACCATGGCAACGCTCCTTGCGGCACTTAAGGCCACGAGATTTACACAGGGGAGTTGCAGGAGCTGCAAGAAAGGTAAGAAACAGCTTCCTGCGGCCCCCCCCCCAGTACTTAACAAGCCACCGGACCATCAGGGAATACTATATCCCCCCTCCCTGGTAAGACGCAGGGAGGGGGGACTAAACAAACAAAAACAAATTTCAAAAAAATAACTAGAATAAAAAATGCCCTCCCATTTTACACAAATTACATCACTACACAAACACACACACACACTGCATTATACACACACAACACACAAACACACACTGCATTATATACACACACACTACACTAACACACACTCTGCATTATATACACACACACTACACAAACACACACTCTGCATTATATACACACACACTACACTAACACACACTCTGCATTATATACACACACACTACACAAACACACACTCTGCTTTATATACACACACAATACACTAACACACACTCTGCATTATATACACACACACTACACAAACACACACTGCATTATATACACACACACTACACAAACACACACTCTGCATTATATACACACACACTACACTAACACACACTCTGCATTATATACACACACACTACACAAACACACACACTGCATTATATACACACACACTACACAAACACACACTCTGCATTATATACACACACACTACACTAACACACACTCTGCATTATATACACACACACTACACAAACACACATTGCATTATATACACACACTACACAAACACCCACACTGCATTATACACACACAACACACAAACACACACACTGCATTATACACACACACTACACAAACACACACACTGCATTATATACACACACACTACACTAACACACACTCTGCATTATATACACACACACTACACAAACACACACTGCATTATATACACACACACTACACACATTGCATTATATACACACACTACACAAACACACACACTGCATTATACACACACAACACACAAACACACACACTGCATTATACACACACACTACACAAACACACACACTGCATTATACACACAACACACAAACACACACTGCATTATACACACAACACACAAACACACACTCTGCATTAAATACACACACTACACAAACACACAAACTGCATTATATACATACACACACTACACACACTGCATTATATACACACACTACACAAACACACACTGCATTATATACACAATCTACACAAACACACAAACTGCATTATATACACACACACACTACACAAACACACACTGCATTATATACACAATCTACACAAACACACAAACTGCATTATATAAACACACAACACACAAACACACACACTCATTATATACACACTACACACTGCATTATATATACACTACACACACACTGCATTATATACACACACAATGCATTCACTTTACCCACACCCCACACTGCATTCATTATACACACTACGCAAACACACACTCTGCATTCACACTACACTCTACACAAACACTCACTGCATCCACTACACACACACTACACAAACACTCACTGCATCCACTACACACACACTACACAAACACACACAGCTCCCTTGTCTAAACACACTTCATCCACTACATGTGGCATGTATATTTTGTGCATTTACCTTTAGAATTAGTTTATTTTTTCAAAATGGTAAATGTATAGAATATCGGCAAGTTATCGGCTAACAGCCTGAAAGTTCACTGATTATCGGTATCGCTCAAAAAAAATCAATATCGGTCGATCCCTATTTTGGACTACATCTCACATCATTATAGCCATATTTATGGTAAAGCATTATGGAAGATGTAGTCCACAACATCTGGAGTGCCAAAGGTTGTCTAACCTCATCATGGATCATTTTTAGCAACGTGGTATATGAAGAATTCTTCTAATTATTATAAATGCTGCTTTATGTAAACATACCTTATCAGGTCCGTTGCCCACTGAATCAGACATAGTCTCACAACGTACATTGGAGGCCACACTAAGATCACTCTTATCAATAGATACAATGCATTCCCTTACTTCCTACAGAACAGAAGAAATTAGACATAGATTATGTCACGAAACGGCTTTTCAATCCTGGACATAAAATAACTGAAAATGTTGTATTTTAAATTTTAAATGCAAATTATCAAAGAATCAAAAACAAAAGAAAATTCCTAGAACAAAATTTTCATCAAAATGTAGAAACATCTAGATAACAGTGATAGATTTAAACTTATGTTACGCCTAGTGCAGTATGCTGGGAGCATGCCTATTCTTTCTCTTTAGCTGGTCGGGTGACTGGTGTTCTGTGTCTGTGAATTCATTTAGTAGCTTTGATGGAAGGATTCATTTATTTAATCTAAGTGAATCTCTTGGGGTCATTCCTGGTCACTGAGTGCACAGACTAAGAATCCATAAAATGACATAATAACACTTGCCTTGCACAGAATGCAATGTATCTTTCTTATAAAATATAAACAATGCTAAATACTCACTCCGCCGTTTTTAAAAGGACAGCTTTCACGGCTCAGATACTGTGACTTCAAACATACAGTCTCTTGGATTACAATAATGATTGTTTCAATTTTCTTTGAATGATTCTGAAAGATAAATGTCATGAGTCATATCTGAATTGACTTATTGGGCATGATGCATAATATTACTTAAACTACTTTTTTTCTATAATTAACTTTATTATTTTAAAATAAATACTAAAAAACTCTTGCTCCAGATTTACATTAAAGGGATACTATAGTCACCAGAAAAATTACAGCTTAATGTATAGTACACAGCTTAATGTATCGTACTCAGCTTAATGTATAGTATACAGCTTAATGTATGGTATACAGCTTAATGTATCGTACACAGCTTAATGTATGGTATACAGCTTAATGTATGGTATACAGCTTAATGTATAGTATGCAGCTTAATGTATAGTATGCAGCTTAATGTATAGTACACAGCTTAATGTATAGTATAGTATGCAGCTTAATGTATGGTATACAGCTTAATGTATAGTATGCAGCTTAATGTATCGTACACAGCTTAATGTATGGTATACAGCTTAATGTATAGTATGCAGCTTAATGTATAGTATGCAGCTTAATGTATAGTACACAGCTTAATGTATCGTACACAGCTTAATGTATAGTATACAGCTTAATGTATAGTATAGTATACAGCTTAATGTATGGTATACAGCTTAATGTATAGTATAGTATAGTATACAGCTTAATGTATGGTATAGTATACAGCTTAATGTATCATACACAGCTTAATGTATCGTACACAGCTTAATGTATAGTATACAGGTTAATGTATAGTATGCAGCTTAATGTATAGTATACAGCTTAATGTATCGTACACAGCTTAATGTATAATATACAGCTTAATGTATAGTACACAGCTTAATGTATAGTATAGTATACAGCTTAATGTATGGTATACAGCTTAATGTATAGTATACAGCTTAATGTATCGTACACAGCTTAATGTATAATATACAGCTTAATGTATAGTCTAGTATACAGCTTAATGTATGGCATACAGCTTAATGTATAATATACAGCTTAATGTATCGTATAGTATGCAGCTTAATGTATCGTAAACACCTGTTTAATGTATAGTATACAGCTTAATGTATAGTATAGTATAGTATACAGCTTAATGTATGGTATAGTATACAGCTTAATGTATAGTATAGTATACAGCTTAATGTATCGTATAGTATAGTATACAGCTTAATGTATGGTATAGTATACAGCTTAATGTATAGTATAGTATACAGCTTAATGTATCGTACACAGCTTAATGCATGATATACAGCTTAATGTATAGTATACAGCTTAATGCATGATATACAGCTTAATGTATAATATACAGCTTAATGTATCGTATAGTATGCAGCTTAATGTATCGTAAACACCTGTTTAATGTATAGTATACAGCTTAATGTATAGTATACAGCTTAATGTATAGTATAGTATAGTATACAGCTTAATGTATGGTATAGTATACAGCTTAATGTATAGTATAGTATACAGCTTAATGTATAGTATAGTATACAGCTTAATGTATAGTATAGTATAGTATACAGCTTAATGTATCGTATAGTATACAGCTTAATGTATAGTATAGTATACAGCTTAATGTATCGTATAGTATACAGCTTAATGTATCGTACACAGCTTAATGTATAGTATACAGCTTAATGCATGATATACAGCTTAATGTAGTTCTAGTGAATATAGTCAGTCCTTGCAGGCTTTTACTTGGTGCTGCCTAGGGTCACCTCCAGTGGTAGTTAGACAGACAGCCGCTAGAGGTGCTTCCTGGGTCAGTACTGCACAATGTGCAGCACTGATGTTTAGTGTCTCCACACTGGAGATGCTGAACATTCCTCATGGAAGTGCATTAATTCAATACATCTTTATGAGGAGATGTTAAATTATGGCAACGCGGCATTGGCCACTGCACTGCCGCCATGGCTGAGATCATCGGAATCGACAGTCTAAGGCAATCCCAATCCGTCAATTCTGAAATTCTGATGATCTCAGCCAAGAAGGCCGCAATAAAGGAACAAAAGTAAGTTTATTACCTTTTTAAGGGGGGTGGGGGGTAGCTTTTTATAGGTTTTAACACAATGGGATCCGGGATATACATTTGTGGTTCTGACCCTAGTATTCCTTTAAAGAAAATGTCTATCCATTTTTATTTAAGGGTGAATAATATATTATTTATTTCTTATCTGTGTAAAGATTTGTAACTTTTTTTATACATTTTATTTCTGCTAGATAGAGGAAGATGATGTAAGGGGGCTTTATGGACTACATATCACTTTGCAAAGCATATAAAGTAAAATACATGAATACATATTTTTGGCTGTGAAGAGGTTAAAGAGATGTTTTGTAAGGAACATTATTTACATTATTCTCTCCTCACTTGTAGACATAAAAAGCCAATAATGTAATTTCTACAGATAAATAAAATATATTCAATTAAAATGTAAATACTTTATGATGGTATTTAGTTTTTTTCAACCATAAAAAGTTACGTTTAATAGTTATAATCCAAAATATATCAACATAACAGCTTTAAATGAGAAATGGCAATTATATTCCACGTATTTAACAGCAAAGCAACCTGTTCTACTGTCGTACATTCTTGTAACGCAGCGTTCCTCTTCTATTAAGTAACCCTCATTGAAATGTACCTCCAAAATTCCCAGTTATAATTACACATATCAAGATACAATGATTGCGCAAATAATACATTATGAAAATCATTTATTGTGTTGAAAAGAATAATTTAGCTGAGCTGTTAATTCCAGGGAGTATTCACTTATTACTGCTTCGATTCCCGGAAAATGTAATGTAAGATTACACAATGTAAGCAGAACCTGTTTGTTAAAGGAAAATAAAAACATATAAAAGGTAATCACATAATTGCAAAATGTCACGAAGTAAAAGTGAAATCGAAAGATTTCCCCTAGTCAGCTGTATCCTCTGTTCTGCTGTTCTGATCTGAAATGTTATATTTATGAAAAAACCTTGAAGTAGTTTGTTTGTGAACAATAAGTCTAATATTCAACTTACTTGTAGACATGATCACACAGAAGAAAAAATAATTACCAAATAAATACATGAAAATGGCAGTATATATTGTTATGTATAGAAAGGTTAAAGGGGCACGATAGTCACTAAAACAACTTTAGCTTAATGAAGCAGTTTTGGTGTATAGAACATGCCCCTGCAGCCTCACTGCTCAATCCTCTGCCATTTAGGAGTTAAATCACTTTTGTTTCTCTTTAAAGATCCCTAGCCACACCTCCCCTGGCTGTGACTGACAGCATGCATGAAAACAAAATGGCTTCACTTTCAGTCAGATGTTAACCCCTTAAGGAAGCATGATGGACCCAGTCCGTCATGCTGGGGGCGCACTTAACGATGCATGATGGACTGGGTCCGTCATGCTCTAAAATTAACCCCAGATCGCTGCGAGCGTGGTATTCGAGACAGACCGGGAGCACATGTGCTGCAGGGACTTCTGATCCGCCTCACTGCTCTTCCACAGGTGGAAGTGCAGGGAGACGGATCAGTGATGATTCTCTTCGCCCTGTTAAAAAAAGAAATTCAAGTTAAATCCCACCCCCTCTTTCATCTGCTTTAATAAAATTAACCCCTTCCCTGCCAATGATCACTAACTACAGTGATCAATTGTCAAGGACTACATTTTACTGTGATCTGATTTTTTTTTTAACCCCTGAGTGTAAAATTATTTTTTTTAACCCTCAGGGTTTAAATTTATTTTATTAACTAATTAAAATATTTAAAAATTATATATTTAGCTAGATGGGGTGGGTGGAAGTTAGTGGGGAATTGGGGAATTTGGTGTTAGGCTAGCTAGTGGTTAACTTTAAAAAAGTTTTTAAAAAAAGCTTTCAAAAGTTTCATAACGTTTTAAAAAGTAAACGTCTCCTTTACCCAGTCCTAATAAAAATTAACCCCTTCCCTGCCAGTTGATTATTGCCTACAGTGATCAAAATACAGATCACAGTATTATACTGTGATCTTATTTTTATTTTAACCCCTGAGGGTTAACTTTTATTTATTTTTTTCACCCTAAGGGGTTCAACTTATTCAATTATTTAATTTAAATAATTTAAAATGATATATTTTGCTAGCTGGGGTGGGTCGGTGGGTGGGTGTTATGGGAAATAGGGGAATTTACTTTTAGTGCTGCTTACTGCTAGTTAGGGGTTAACAGTAAAAAAAAGTTTATAAAAATTTTAAACGTGTATAAGTTAAAAAAATAGTAAGTAAACAAAACAGTTTAAAAACAAGTTTTAAAAAGTGAAAAAAAGTTAAAACAGTTAAAAAATACATTTAAAAAATGTGCATTACCACTACACCTGGAACAAACTAGCAAAAAAATTATCCCACGGTAAGGTTCAAAATATGCCTTTTGAATTACACTGGGTTGTATTCTTTAATAAATAGTATGTGCTTGTGGGGAAGTTTGAATAACCAACCAGCTAAACTACTCCAAATTGGAACATGGACACAGCGTAAAACTTCAAAGTTAGAAAAAAACTGAATGGCTGCAACTTCAACATCCACATATACCTGGCAAAGGTACGTACGGGGGTATTGCTGTACTCAGCCGACATAGCTGAGCAACATATGAAGTATTATACAGTCGTAGCACACATAAGGTTTGCAAAATATACTGTGCAAACTAGCTTTGTGTGTCAAAAAGGCTTATTACCACTACACTTGGTACAAGTACCAGGTACCAGTGGAAAAATGATCCCACGCTAAGATTCAAAATATGCCTTTTGAAATACCCTGGGATGTCTTCTTTAAGAAATGGTATGCCATTATGGGGTAGTTGGATTATATAGCCTGGTAAAATACTCTAAAATGGGACCTAGACACAGCGTAAAAATTCAAAAGTTTGAAAAAAACTGTAATGGCTGTGTCTCAAATGTGCCCCTTCAATAAGTTCAGGCAGAAGGCTCCTGCAGGGTCTAGCAAGCTATTAACAGAGCAGTAGATAAGAAATTTAAAATGAAACAGAATTTGTAATAAAGTAAGTGTAAACATTAGATCAATTTATACTGGAAGTTTTTAGGAAGGCTGTGTCATCAAAATATATCCCTTCTTTTAAAGCATTATTTAGATAGTGCATCCATATTAAATAATAATAATACAAAAATTAAGAGACATAAAAAAATTAAAAGAAAAATATCTTAACAATTCGCAACTAAGAACAGGCTTTGCAAGTCAGAAGCCTCATATTCTGTCCTATGGATTCTGATATTTTACCAATAACCTCTGTCCGGAAAGGGTTTACCTTCAGCCAAAATTTGCATCATCACCGGGAAAAGTGCTTTATAAACAGATACACCCTGTTCCAAATTATTCAGCAAATTCTATTTAAGTGTCACAAAGATTAAATATTTTGCTTTTCAGTTTAACTCATGGATGGCATTGTGTCTCAGGGCTCTTTTGATCACTGATAACAATCTCAGACACCTGTGATAATTAGATTGCCAGGTGAGCCCAAATTAAGGAAAAACTACTAAAGGAGGGTGTTGCACATTATTAAGCAGAGCACCATTTTCTTGCAATATGGGGAAGAAAAAGGATCTCTCTGCTGCCGAAAAGAGTGAAATAGTTCAATGCCTTGGATGAGGTATGAAAACCATAAATATTTCACGAAAACTTAAGCATAATCATTGCCCTATTAAGAGATTTGTGGCTGATTCAGAGCGCAAACGGGTTCGTGCAGATAAAGGCACATTGAGGAAGATTTCTGCCAGATCCATGCATCGGATCAAGAGAGCAGCTGCTAAAATACCATTACATAGCAGCAAACAGATTTTTGAAGCTGCTGGTGCCTCTGGAGTCCCACGGGCATCAAGGTGTAGAGTCTTCCAGAGTCTTGCAACTGTGCATAAACCTTCTATTTGGCCACCACTAACCAATGCTCACAAGCAGAAATGGCTGCATTGGGCAGAAAAATACATGAAGACTAATTTTCAAACAGTCCTGTTCACTGATGAGTGCCGTGAATGGTCCAGATGGATGGAGTAGTGGATGGTTGGTGGACAGCCACCCTGTTCCAACAAAGGCTGCTTCGTCAGCAAGGCGGTGGTGGAGTCATGTTTTGGGCCGGAATCATGGCAAGAGAGTTTCTGACTGACCACATTCTTCCCTGGTACAGAAGAACTATGCTTTCCGTAATAAAATCATCTTCATGCATGACAATGCACCATCTCATGCTGCAAAGAATACCTCTGCATCAATGGTTGCTATGGGGATAAATGGAGAGAAAGTCATGGTGTGGCCTCCATCCTCCCCTGACCTCAATCCTATTGAGAACCTTTGGAGCATCCTCAAGCAAAAGATCTATGAGGGTGGGAGGCAGTTTACAACCAAACAGCAGCTCTGGGAGGCTATTCTGACATATTGCAAACAAATTCAAGCAGAAACTGTCCAAAAACTCACAAGTTCAATGGATGCAAGAATTGTGAAGCTGCTATCAAATAAGGGTTCCTATGTTAAAATGTAACGTGACCTGTTAAAATGTTTAAAAAGTTAAAATGTTGTTATAAGTCTGATTGAAATAGCTTTTGATTTCAGTAAATAAATCACAAACACAACAAATGACAATTTTCAGTTCTTTACAACCTATAAAGTGTTTTGAAACTTACTGTGTGTAATAATTTGGAACAGTGCATTGTAAGTTTATGTTTAAAAAAAATACTGTTATCATTCGGAGGTTTGTTCAATAAAATTTGAATTGTACTCTTAATAGTTGATAACATGAGAATTATGCTGAGTGTTATTTACATCAATTATTTAGGTAAATGAGAAAAATATCATTTGCATAATAATTTGGAACAGGGTGTAGAAGTCAAAGCATGGATACTCTCTGCGCCATAACCTTTGCATTAATTCAAAGTTGTTATGGTGCTCAGAAAGACATAAAAATGTACGACTGATTTCCTAAAAAATTCAAAGATCCCAGACACAGTTCCAACCCTTAAAAGCAAATTGTTCAAAAGAAAACATGTATCCATATAAATCACAAATGTCTTCGTAATGCGCCTAAAAAGCTCTATTAGAACACGATATGAGATAGTTAATAATTTACGTTTCGACTGTTTAATAACTTACGTTGCGATGAATGTATTATATATTTAATATAATCTCATTGCCAAAAGGAGTGTAAATTATATATAATTAGCAGTAAAAATAATAAAAATTAAATTGTGTAGCGGCATTTTCAAATAGATTTATTGTACAAATTTGTATTTAAACGAAGCCACAAATAATATAATTTAATCTTTTATTTGTTGTATAAATTGATTTTACAGATAGACACCTACATAGATTAAATACTTTTTTATGGTTTACATGGTGCTATGGCAACATGCCCCTGTTTTCACAACATAATGTGTAAATAATTTAACTATGTGTCACCTCCGAGGTGTACAGACCATTTAATAATGTCATGAAGGTTTGCCCTGCCCTCGGTATGTTAAGAATAAGAACTTTATATGTCTTACAGTATATTAGCCAGATGAAAACACAATACTGCCTGATGAGTCATTACATATTACTGAATTATGGTGATGCAAAACTCTTCAAGTTTATATAAGAATGTATTATTAATAATATAAACATAACCAATATAACTAACTGTAACCTAACCTACACAGTGCATCTAACGTGTGTGGGAGCCTGGAGTGTCCCTTTAATAATATAAACCCACCCGGTATAACTAACTGTAACCTAACGTACACAGTGCATCTAACATGTGTGGGAGCCTGGAGTGTCCCTTTAATAATATAACTAACTGTAACCTAATCTACACAGTGCACATAATGTGTGTGGGAGCCTGGAGTGTCCCTTTAGTAATATAAACCCTCCCAGTATAATTAACTGTAACCTAACCTACACCGTGCACCTAACGGGTGTGGGAGTCTGGAGTGTCCCTTTATTAATATAAACCCACCCAGTATAACCAACTGTAACCAAACCTACACAGTGCACCTAACGTGTGGGAGTCTGGGGTGTCCCTTTAATTATATAAACCTACACAGTATAACTAACTGTAACCTAACCTACACAGTGCACCTAACGTGTGTGGGAGCCTGGAATGTCCCTTTAATAATATAAACCCACCCAGTATAACTAACTGTAACCTAACCTACACAGTGCATCTAACGTGTGTGGGAGCCTGGAGTGTCCCTTTAATAATATAAACCCACCCAGTATAACTAACTGTAACCTAACCTACACAGTGCACTTAACGTGTGTGGGAGCCTGGAGTGTCCCTTTAATAATATAAACCCATCCAGTATAACTGTAACCTAACCTACACGGTGCACCTGACATGTGTGGGAGCCTGGAGTGTCCCTTTAATAATGTAAACCCACCCAATATAACTAACTGTAAGCTAACCAACACAGTGCACCTAACGTGTGTGAGCCTGGAGTGTACTTTTAAATAAACATATTTGCTTCCATAAGCCCACCACTTTGTCCATTTTTCTCCAGTTGTATTTTTGCTTTAATAAACCTATGCAGCAGGGATTTATAGGGATTCTCCAGTGCCAGGAAAACATATTCGTTTTCCTGGCACTGCAGGACCCTGTAGTGCCCCTCTCCCTGCACCGCCCACCCCTTCAATGACTTACCGGAGTCCAGCGCTGATGTCCCTCGGCTGCGCACGTGCATTAGACCTCCCCATAGGAAAGCATTGAATAATGCTTTCAATGCTTTCCTATGGGGATTTCGGTGATGCTGGAGGACCTCAGATAGCGTGAGGACGTCCAGCGTCGCTGAAAACACTTTTCGTGTCCTATGAACACGGAAGTCCCTCTGGTGGATGTCTAGTAGACAGCCACTCGAGGAGGACTTAACCCTGCAGTGTAAATATTGCAGTTTATGAAAACTGCAATATTTACAGTTGCAGGGTTAAGGGTAGTGGGAGTTGGCACCCAGACCACTCCAATGGGCAGAAGTGGTGTGGGTGCCTGGAGTGTCCCTTTAATGATTTTATTTCAAGTTTCTATATTCACCACATTTTCCAATTTATGGAATGTGCTGGTCTGTAATACATAGATTGGTATGTATAGATCACTGATAGCTAACTTTGACACCATAAATTGTTTCTGTACCACATTTCCCATGATGCTCAGCTAGCTTTTACAGTCTAAAAGCTAGCTAAGCATCATGGAAAACGTAGTCCAGAAACAATTTATGGTGACAAGGTTAGCCATGGTATAGCACAGTATAGAAGCTACGAGAGACAGTGCATTTGGCATTCCTCTACACTGATTAGCCCAAATCCTTCTGTCCTATCTTCCTTTTACATGCTACAAGGCAGCTCTTTTCATGCATTGCCCTACAGTATGTTGATGTGATATTTGACCAGTTCATTGCTGCGGAGTATGGGATTAATAATAATGCTAATAATATAAGCAATACATGAAATTATAAATTATAAACATATATTTATTCTTCAGAATTAGCCTGACACCTACCAGATTGTTTATATCTTTATCCTCAAGAAGTTTAAATAGAGATTTTGATTCCGATTCCATGTTGTAGTAATTTATGGCATCTGTGATTTTATCTGTGAAGTCGTTTGGAATAAAGGGAGCCGCATCAACCATCATGGCGAGACCAACCAGGAGAGAAACCTCCAACAGGTACTCCATACTAATGTCTTCTGCGGCCGAGGCTAGATCTGGACAAGAATTCCTATCTCCCTCTTCACTGGTCGGAGAGTCACTTTATAAAGATTAAGGAGTGTTAATTCCCAGCAACACGTTTCGCAATCAATAAACATGTTGTCCTTAAAGGCACACAGACATGGAGGTCTTCTAGTGCCAGTCTCTTAAACCTGCACCACGTTCCATTCAACCCTGAACACAGTGAGGATTAGTCAGTAACCAGCAAATCGTAGCAAACTGAAAAAAAATGCAAAACCTTTACAAAAATGGCTGATTGGGATTTCAGTGATGGGGTATTAATATCGCTATAGGAATGCAGTATTAATGTCTCTCTATAGGAATGCAGTGATGGGGTATTAATGTCTATAGGAACACAGTGATGGGGTATTAATGTCTCTCTATAGGAATGCAGTGATGGGGTATTAATGTCTATAGGAATGCAGTGATGGGTGTAATAATATCTCTTTTTAGGAATGCATTGATAGGGTATTAATGTCTCTCTGTGGGAATGTAGTGATGGGGTATTAATGTCTATAGGAATGCAGTGATGGGTGTAATAATATCTCTTTTTAGGAATGCATTGATAGGGTATTAATGTCTCTCTGTGGGAATGTAGTGATGGGGTATTAATGTCTATAGGAATGCAGTGATGGGTGTAATAATATCTCAGTGATGGGGTATTAATGTCTCTCTGTGGGAATGTAGTGATGGGGTATTAATGTCTCTCTATAGGAATGCAGTGATGGGGTATTAATGTCTATAGGAATGCAGTGATGGGTGTATTAATATCTCTCTATCGGAATGCATTGATGGGGTATTAATATCTTTCTATAGGAATGTGGTGATGGGGTATTAATGTCTCTCTATAGGAATGCAGTGATGGGGTATTAATGTCTCTCTATAGGAACACAGTGATGGGGTATTTATGTCTCTCTATAGGAATGCAGTGATGGGGTATTAATGTCTATAGGAATGCAGTGATGGGTGTATTAATATCTCTCTATCGGAATGCATTGATGGGGTATTAATATCTTTCTATAGGAATGTGGTGATGCAGTATTAATGTCTCTCTATAGGAATGCATTGATGGGGTATTAATGTCTCTCTGTGGGAATGCAGTGATGGGGTATTAATGTCTCTCTGTGGGAATGCAGTGATGGGGTATTAATGTCTCTCTGTGGGAATGCAGTGATGGGGTATTAATGTCTCTATATAGGAATGCAGTGATGGGGTATTAATGTCTCTCTATAGGAATGCAGTGATGGGTGTATTAATATCTCTCTATCGGAATGCATTGATGGGGTATTAATATCTTTCTATAGGAATGTGGTGATGCGGTATTAATGTCTCTCTATAGGAATGCAGTGATGGGGTATTAATGTCTCTCTATAGGAACACAGTGATGGGGTATTAATGTCTCTCTATAGGAATGCAGTGATGAAGTATTAATGTCTCTCTACAGCAGTTGTGGGGAACCTTCGGCCCTCCAGATGTTTTGGACAACAATTCCCATAATGCTCTTACGATGTGTGGGCCAACCGCGTTGATGGAGAATGTGGATATTAAGGCTGCGTTTCGGCTGCTGCTGGTTCACCTGGCATGTCATCATTTGCTGGGCTGTTTCTTCGAGGGGTACTTTGTGGATCTTTGCCTCCCAATGGGCTGCTCCATCTCTTGCTCCTATTTTGAGACATTTAGCATGTTCCTGGAATGGGTGGTTGACACGGAGGCGGAGAGCCATTCGGTAGTGAGCTACCTGGACGATTTCTTATGTGTGGGTCCAGCAGGCTCGCCGTTGTACCACTATTTGCTTCGGATGCTGGAATGAAGGGCTGAGGTGTTTGGGATGCCCTTGGTAGAGGGCAAGACAGAGGGGCCAACTGATTGTCTAAGCTTCTTGGGTTTGGAAATTGACTTGGCTAGGGGCGAGTGTCGACTCCCACGGGACAAACTTCTGGGGCTGTGGGGGAGGTGTGTTGTCTCGGAAGGTTACTTTGAAGTAGTTGCAGTTGTTGATCGAGAAGCTTAACTTTGCTTGTCGGGTCATCCACATGGGTAGGGTTTTCAGCTGTAGTCTGTGTCGGGTGATGGCCGATATATGGTCGCCGCACCACTTTCTTCGAGTCACCCCCATCTATGAAGGCGGACTTGGGGGTCTGGGACAGGTTCCTGGCTTATTTTAATGGCACAGTGATATTTCGGAAGGCATCAGTGTTGGCAGAGGAGCTGGAGTTGTACACTGACGCAGTATATAGGTATGCAGTTCTACTCAATCTACCCCCAGCTGGTTATGGGATATTTCTTAGTGAGGATGTAATAGTCGTTGTATTACAAGCATTCCAGTGTGTAATCTGAAAACATATATTTAGTATTTGGGATTTGCTTTGCCATTTCCACTTGGAAAGCCCAAAATATGTTATTATCATCCACAAGGTTTATCATCCACATCTACAATCATCTTTATTGTATTACTGTATGTGGAATGTATGTTCTAGGTATGAATTATAATGTTCTAGTTATTGTTAAAGGCATTGTGTCATTACATTTAATGTTTGACATAAGAGACGCTGCTATTTGTACATTTTCATTTATTAATCTGTGTCTCTTTCCTACTGTTACAACACATGCTACCTCTATTGTCTTGCTTTGCAAACTATTATTTTTACTCCGAATAAAATTAATTTGAAAAAAAAACTAAACCCTCCAAACAATCTTTGCAGTCTCCCCATCTCCCCCTATCACCAGAAACAGAGAAATATCTGAATACTGCCTATCAGTGAATACAAAATGCACATTGGTCATATCTGAGCATGCACATACGACATATGTGACATCATGCAAATTTGCAAGTGGTATTCATGACATCCTGAGTAGGCACGTTTACCAAATGTAGACTGGAGAGGAGAGATGTGGAGTAGGCAAAACCCATGGTATGTGGGACCAGATTCAGCAGTCCGTGTCCTCCTTGGATTAATAATGCTGATCATCGAGTTGCATTAGAAGTGGGATACATCTAAAAACCTTGGCAAGAGTTTTATAGTTAGCGTGTTTCACTAATAACAGTACCTATAATACACCCAAACACACAATGTCAGTCACTCCTGGCATTAAATGTGCCAAGTTTGCCAACGATGCTTCCATAATTTACAATTATCTGTCCATCCTTCCATCTGCCTACCTACCTTTTTGTCTGTCTCTCTGTGAGTCCCTCTATCCATCCATCATCCGTCCATCCATCCATCCATCCTTGCCCTCTCCCGTAGCAAATAGTTGACGTACAGTTTTAAACAAATTACATTTCAATTTACAATGGACATTTCTACAGAAATTGCCTCAATGGAAAAAGAATTCTACAATGAGATTTAAAGTAGATAACTAGAAGAATCGTAATAATTTCTCCCTCTCGACTATTCCTTGGAACTCATTTAGCTGTATATTGTCAGTAAGGTTTTGTGCATTGCTAATTCTTATCATTTTTTTTTATTTCCAGAATTAAATGAAAATAACAAAAAATAAGCACAGAGCCAGGGAGGAAATGACATACCGACATACCTACTTACACCAGTTACCCCGGCTTAAAGGACAACTGTCATCAATTTTCCACTTCTCATTTTTTATATCTCTGTAATAATTATGTATATTGATTGATGTATGTCACTTTTTATCTGGCTGAGCGGCCATGTTGGGTCAGACTCTGCTGGTATCATTTTCATTAAATATAATAAAGTTTTAAAAAACAAGATGTGAAAATTTGATGAGTCATCCCTGAAAATGGTCAAAAACATTGAGGCTCACTCTGTGGACATTTTTGTAACACAACTATTTCTTGCTCATCTCATATTTTGTGATGCAGGAGCTCTGTAGCCACTGGATGGGCAGAGTCACCTGTGTTAATTTTGATAAAACATTAGGGGTTCCTTAATGGAATTAGATGAATGTTATATTGAACAGATTATTGCAGGACAACGATCAGTAGTGAGGATAGAACAGGGGAATGAGGAGCCTGAGACATCTAGTATCTGGTGGATCCCAACCATCCATCATCTGACATAGGTTATCACTCCCTGGTCTTCCAATGCACTTTCACGCCACAGAGCAGCCACCTTTGAACATGCTTCTTGTGAATACTTAACTTCTTTTCACCTTAGAACTTGCTAGGTTTATCCAGCCTTTGGCCTTGACAGAGTTTCTGTTGTGTAGAGAGACTACTAGGTGACAAGCAGTACCACCACTACTGCAGGAGATTCCTACTAACAATGAGGGGTTTATGGCGCTTCAGCCAAAGAAATCCCAGGAGAGACACAGAGTAATAAAGATGCTGAGGTGTTGTTTCAGAGCGTTGTTTTGAATAAACCAATTAATCACCACTTAAAGGACCGTAATAATGCCAGGAAAACATACTCGTTTTCCTGGCACTATAGTGCCCTGAGGGTGCACCCACCATCAGGGACCCCCTCCCGCCGGGCTGGATGGAGAGGAAGGGGTTAAACTTACCTCTTTCTCCAGCACAGGGCGGGGAGCTCTCCTCTTCCTCTCTGCCTCCTCTCCTCATCTTCGGCTGAATGCGCATGCGCAGCAGGAGCCGCGCGCGCATTCAGCCGTGCGTGCAATCAGCCAGTCCGTAGGAAAGCATTCACAATGCTTTCCTATGGACGCCAGTGGCGGATCCAGGTGGGGGGGCAACGGGGCAATTGCCCCCCCCGAGAAATCCGCCGGTCTCCCTCTCCCTCCCCTGCCAGCATGGCAGGCACTGTGCTGGCGGCCGGCGGCGGAGGGAGTGAGAGAGAGGACCCGGAGCTCAGTCTGCAGCTCCTCAGGGTCCTCCTCTCGCGTGATTTGAAGCGTTGTCGCGGTTACCACGGCAACGCTCCAAATCTCGCGAGAGTGAACTCTAGCCCTGGAGCGTGGGCTAGAGTTCACTCTCCCCACTGGACCACCAGGGAATCCCCACTGGGACCACCAGGGATCGAAATATGTCCCCCCTCCTCCTCCTCAATAAAGGTAAGAAGGGGACAGATTTCGGATAAATAATTAAATAAAAAAATTAAATTTGAATTAAATAAAAAAAAATATATATTATAAAAAAAAAGCCACAGACACATTGCCCCCAATACTGCCCCCTCATTCACACAAACTGCCCCGCCATACACACAAACTGCCCCCCCATTCACACAAACTGCCCCCCCATACACACAAACTGCCCCCCCATACACACACACTGCCCCCATTCACACAAACTGCCCCTCCATACACACACACACTGCCCCCATACACACAAACTGCCCCCATACACACAAACTGCCCCCTATACACACAAACTACCCCCCATTCACACAAACTGCCCCCCATACACACAACTGCCCCTCATACACACGACTGCCCCCACATACACACACTGCTCCCCATACACACATACTGCTCCCCCATACACACATACTGCCCCCATTCACACAAACTGCCCCCATACACACACACTGCCCCCATACACACATACTGCTCCCCATACACACATACTGCCCCCATTCACACATACATACACATACTGCCCCACATACACACATACACACACACACTGCCCCCCATATACACACACACACACACTGCTCCCCATACACACAAACTGCACACACAAACACATACACACAAACTGCCCTCACTTGCCCCCCATACACACACTGCCCCCCCATTCACACAAACTGCCCCCCCATTCACACAAACTGCCCCACATACACACACACTGCCCCACATACACACACACTGCCCCCCATACACACACACTGCCCCCCATACACACACACTGCAACTGTTACACACACATACTGTCCCACACATACACTGCATCCCTGACATGCACTGCCGCCCTCACTCACACACTACAACCTTCACACACCACTGCTCCTATGCCCTACTACAGCCCCATTTCCCAGCAGATCTCAGGTAAGTTGTCAAACTGTTCGACTACTTACTGTGGGAGGGGGTCCCGGCACTATTGACACCATAACCACTACACTGAGCTGTAGTGGTTATTGTGTCTTGATTATTTCTTTAAATAATCTACAAGTGCCCCTCCCGAGATCAGGCTCTGGATCCGCCACTGATGGACGCTGGCGTCTTCTCACTGTAATTTTCACAGTGAGAAGCGCGGAAGCCCTCTAGCGGCTGTCAATGAGACAGCCACTAGAGGCTGGATTAACCCATTTATAAACATAGCAGTTTCTCTGAAACTGCTATGTTTATAAAAAAAGGGTTAACCCTAGATGGACCAGGCACCCAGACCACCTTATTAAGCTGAAGTGGTCTGGGTGCCTAGAGTGGTCCTTTAATTTGGAGAGCAGAAACAACAAGCTGTCAGTTTACGTGAAAACCGTGACTTTAAATTTTGTAGAGCTACCATGATGGATTAATTGAGGGCATAGAACCTAAGCACTGAGGAGGGCTGGAATTTATTTATTTGTGTCTGTAGCTGGTTATTAGACAAGGATGGGGACTCCCTCTGGAAAGATGTCTATCTTTTATCTACTGAACAATAAAAACAAAACAGCAAGTCAGTGCCAAGTGAGATCCAAGAATGTGTCAGTGATGTGCGTGCTGAGTTACAGACTTTGCATGACATTCTGGATGAGGTTAGTGAAACCATCTTTCTGGTGCTGTGACCCTATAGATGTACTACAGGGGTATATTGGAGAATTTAACACCATTTAGTATTTGATTTCATTTTATTGGTTAAAGTACAAAAAAATATTACCAATCATGATAAAAAAAACAAAAAACACGTCTTTAAGTGTTGCTTTGAAACAATTTAAGCTTTGGGTTTGGTACCCAAAATATCAAAAATGCACGTCAAGCAGGAAGCTTGGGAATATGCACCAAGGCTGCTCTCATTGATGGCCCTCTTCTTATGGAATAGTTCGAAGCTGCGCAATTTCTCCCGTCTGTCTCGTTTCTTCCCGATTTTCTGCGTCCCATTTTCATCTTCTAAATTATGGTATGACAGCATGCTCTGTGGATATAATATCATGGCTTTAATTTATTGAGGTCTATACACTAATAAGACTACTTATCTACCGCTCTATTCATGTATTACAAGTCCAATTCAGAATTCACAAGAACAATGAGAACAGACATTAAGATCAATTAGTTCTGGATTTAGTTAGTCCACACTTGGCTATCGCACAGATTTAACTCCCTTGTGCTAGAGCCAATCTGGAGCTGATTCCATTAGTGTATCAGAGTGATAGCACTCACAAGCACAGTCTGATCTGGAATTATGTTAAGGTGTTATCGTCATTGAATAGGTCTGTATGAAGTAATAATAATAATAATAATAATATTAAAGGATTTCACCAGAAATAGCATCTGATATGTTTCAGGTGCATCCCAGAATCTGGTTATTGCTTTGGTCCAACTCAATGGATCTGTGTTCTACCTCTATTTATAAACATATACTAGGACTGATCATGTGTTATCTATATACAGATGTGAACAGATGTGCCGGGGAGTAATTTTTTTTCTTCTCTGCAGCATAATTGACCTTGAATCAGGTTTAAGTTACTCGGTATAATTACTATAAATAATAATTTCAGTAAAGTACAAAGAACAGAAAAGGTCAGCTACTGAATTCAAGCTTTTATCTTACAGGATTTGGTTAATTATTCTTATAATCTTTTATATTGTGAAATAGAAAAATTATTATTTTCGTAACTCACTCTATAAACTTCGACATTTGGAGCGGGTTTGTTCTTATTGAATTTTGGTGACTTGAGATTCAGCCTTTAAAATGTATACATGTAGAAAGTGGAAAGGTTCATCCAAAATTACCAGAGTTAACAGAGCGCAGATTAACCTCCAGATAGTATTCCCCAAAACTAAAACCCAAATAATGGTACTTTATTCATTTAATAAAGGGGAAATAGGCTGTTCAACGGGATTCATGCCGTCTAAAGGTTGCAGAGCAGTCAATGTGCGTTTCATCCTTATGGGTTTATCATTAAGAGTGCGCCAAGTCCGATCTCCCCATACACCGTTCAATTTATTTTTTGAGAGATCGACGTTGGATTTGCGCTTATTGAATCATTGACCCCAATAAAGGCAGCTCATAGCTGGATGTAGGGCACTACGTTCTCTATTTAAATTGTGGTTAGGGCTGAGATTTGATGTATTTGAAGTAATATTTACTTTAATATATAATAATTCTATGACATTGGCAAATTGTAAGACATTAGTCCCATATATCACGGTTTGCTTTAATACTTCGGAGAGCTGTAGAGCCTTAATCCTGTAGTTTTAAGAGATGGATTCAGATTGAAGGACACAGATGTGGAGCCATATAGTGACACCTAGTGGCCATTCTTCTAAAGTTGTACTTATATTCTATTTAATATTCTATTTTAATAGTGTGTGATCTAGTGTTCCCTTTCAGTCACTTTTGACTTCTCTTTAATAAAAGTTAAAGTTTGCCTCATTTTTCTTTCACACAACAATTTATTTTATCATCATTATTTTGGGTCATACTTTGAAAGTGTCACTGACTGTCACATTGCGGCACACAGGTCTAACACACCATTAACTGAACATCACTCATCCCAATTCACATCTTTAGTAAAATTGCAATTTGCTAACCAGAAATCTGCTTATTTCATACAATACAGTGGGCATTTCCAAAAATGCACAAGGGTTGGCTGTACCTTTCTGAATTCAGTCTCCTGTCTTCCTGTCCTGAGCTAAGAGGAAAGAGACTGCCTTCCAATCAGCATAAAATGAGTGCAGGAAAAAAACACACTCACACACTGCAAAGTGCTATCAGGGCAGGGCAATAAAGGGACACCGTAGGTACTGTAACTGCTTCAGCTCATTGAAGTGGTTACAGTGTCTGGAGCCCCCTGGAAGCTTCCTTCCATTCAGCATTAAGCATTTTTTGTTTTAATGCTAAAAGAGAGTCTCCAGTAACCAACCCCCTCTGTGCTGCTTGGACTAATGAGGAATAATTAACCTGAGGAGTAGTGAGTGGCTGTGATTGGCTGAGAGAAACAGCTTACTGCTTTCAGCCTATCACAGCACCCATTGCTGGTATGAGTTGGTATAGCTAGAAGGAAAGTGTGTAATCTCTGCGTTAGCCACACCTCCAGATGGACAGAGCTGTGGGTGGCCAGGGACTCTTATTAAGTGTTAAACTAGTTTTAAAATGTTTAACTGTGAATAGAGGGGCAGTGCCAGAGACTTTGACACTGTAACCACTTTAAGAGTAAAATGGTTATAGTGTGTTTAAACCCATGCCCAGAGCATTTCAAAAGCATTCTGTTCCTGTGCTGCCTTTAGCGGAGCTATACAGACAGATGTAACACCATTAATAATTTGTATGAACCAATAGGCATTTCTCCATAGTCTCGCCCAGTCCCCAATTTTACATCAATTCTAAAAAGGTATGATGACAAAATGTGGGCAATCATTGCTGTGCACTATATGACCACCTCTGTCTCTCTGAAAATCCACCAGGATTATTCATTAAACTGGAAATTTATGTAAATTCAACAGAAAATGTTACATTTCAGGCATGACATTTCCTATTTAGCTATTTTGGCCTTTAATTTAAAATTTCTGAAAATGCACAGTTTAGTTTAGTTCGTAGATTAGAATATATTCTGTCACCAAGCACCGGGATACTCTTCATATAGTGGTTGCTTTCCAATACTCCTGTTTCATTATTAGGTTTAATATTGTTGCAAAGTCAGACTGTTTGTCCCCTGACATTACCAAAAAGATACATTGTTTCCATTTTCTTAATTCTGTTATTTAAGTGAACAAAACCCAGTTTCTAATGTTTCCTACATCTCCCGTAACATCACCTGTACCCTCCCTTATCTAACTTTGCTTCTCCCGAGCCTCCATTTCCTCCCCATAAACAGCCCCGTTGCCTCCAGCAGACTACTGATTTTCACAGCGTGACTGGCATTTTTATAACACTAAAAAAGTTTTTAAAGGCTAGAATGTTTTATAAAATATTTACCTGTAATCAAACCAATAACAAATCAAGTGACCTGTTCCGTACCGAACCAATTCTTGTTGTAAAAAATATTAGCATAAGATTGATTTGAAACATGTGATGCAGAGCTAGCACATCGATGAATGATAAAAAAATATATAAAAAAATGTAAACTTATACAATTTGTATTTTTCATTTATTTGTTCATCCTTTCTAGAAATATTGGGCAAATTAAAAGCATCAGACAATATAGAGATTCTTGCAATATGCCCTGTTTGTATGTATTTGTAAGGACCCTGAAGACATTACCAGCAGTAAGGATTACTCAAACAGAAACAAAATGTAAAAGGAATGTCTCTATATGAGCATAATGCTACTTCAGCGAATACAGTCACATCAGATATTTCTAAAATATAACAAAAAATAGAAATCTCTGTACTGCTAATAGGGATATGAGAACCTCTTTTAATCCCAGAAATGGCTGGTTTAGTGACTATAGGAGGGGTCTGATCTTTGAAGCTTTCTTTACTGCTTGGAAGGACAAGGCTGGTATTCTCAGCCCATTCCCTGACATTATATTGGTGGTACATGATCTTATCATCAGTATAAATGTTAGTATGGGAGGTGTTAGGGGCCACGTTTTATTTTGCAAACCAAATGAAAGTAATATAATTTGTATACGTGTTTTGGCAGTGAAGGTGTTAATACTCAGAATTCTCATGGTTAATAAATGAAACCTACCGCTTCCGTGAAAGTGTCGCATTTTACCACAATGTCTCCTTCTTCGGATCTATCAATGATTGCTGTGCAGTTTTTTACCACCTGGGAAACAAACGTTATTAGATTAAATGGCATTATTCACGAAATACTGAATTGTAATGGCTCAAAAAACAACATGAAAATTTCAGACAAATAGTGCTCATTTGGAAAAATATCATCTCTGGAGTAACACTATTCAGTGAATAACCACAATATTCCCAAATAATTCATATCTTTTTACACACAAAGATTTGGCTTTTTTTTTTTTTTTTAACAATTCTAATTTGATTAAATACAATTGTTTTAAATTAATTTTACCCAATTTCCTCTTGGGTGCAGTTGATACAATAGACAATAAGGCAACAGCTACAATTCTTGTTTTGGAATCTGTAATGTTTTTTGTTTTTTTAATTCTTTATTATTGTAGTGTCGTGAGATATACATTATATATCTGTAGTGCCGTGAGATATACATTCTATATCTGTAGTGCAGTGAGATATACATGATATATTTGTAGTGCAGTGAGATATACATTATATATCTGTAGTGCCGTGAGATATACATTCTATATCTGTAGTGCAGTGAGATATACATTATATATTTGTAGTGCAGTGAGATATACATGATATATTTGTAGTGAGCCATGAGATATACATTCTATATCTGTAGTGCCGTGAGATATACATTCTATATCTGTAGTGCAGTGAGATATACATTATATATTTGTAGTGCAGTGAGATATACATGATATATTTGTAGTGCCATGAGATATACATTCTATATCTGTAGTGCAGTGAGATATACATTATATGACAGTGACATACGATGCATTGCAAAACAAATGAATACAGGCTTAGGGTTAGAGCACAAAATGTCAAGAGGAACTGCAATTTTTTTAAGTAGGTAGGTATGTAAAGCAGTAACAGTCATGTTGGGCAAATATATATTGCTACAAATGAGGAGCCCGGCATACGGAAAACATAAGACCTGTTAAGATTGGTTATATATGTGAGTAATCATATTTGGTTAACTATTGTGGTATAGTGAGGTCTCATTGTAAATTAAACTAAAATGAGATAACATGAAATAAAAAGAATAGCAGTGCATTTTGTATAAACCACATGAAACAAGGTCGAGCTATTGTTGTACATTTAACTTACTGTAGAGGGGATTAAATTCCAGCATGCTTTTACCACTGGAACTGCGTCTGCCAGTATCATAAACACAAGAGTGTATGAACGTGAGAAGACATATGCCAAAATGAATAAAGGTAAGTAAAGTAAACTTGCATGGCTGAATGGAGGTCCCTAAAACCAAAAATCAGGGCTTCTCAAGAAAAGGCCCATTGTATGAGACCTCCTCACCCAATTCCTAGTGCTGGGAGGCAGTTGGTCTCAGCAGGGGGGTGTAGCAGAAGTGGTACGATAATAGAGTTCAATGGGGGCTTCCTTAGAGTTATGGCTGAGCAGGGCTTTCCTCTGGCCTAAGGCATGTGTCAAGGCTGGCATCAGTTGACCACGATCTTTGGTGCCCTTTGGGGTCAAGTCCGTTACTCGTCCAAGGTGATAAGAGAGTCGAGATGGTGGGCTCTTGCGCCGGTCGTGGCCGTCGATCTTGCGTTTGAGTCAGCGGACGGCCCTGCCATTGTTGCAGCGGGTGATCCTCCACTGGTGTGGCCGATGCAGGGGGGCAGTGCCTTGAGAGGCTCTTGGCCCAGAAGGGTGTGGAAATGCTTGTGTGGCTCCCTTACCCAAAGGGTTCCTGTCTCGTCCCAGCAGCACACTGCATCCGGATTCCCCCAGCTGCTGCTGCTGCTCGGTAGCTTGTGCTCTGTCCTGGAGCTTCAGCCAGAAATCCTGAAACAGCTTGTCCAGTTTCCTCATGGTAAGTTTCAGGGGATTGCGAGGAAGATCATGAGGCAGACATAGGCCTTGTTCGTCAGAGTAACATATAGCCTCCATTTTAGTGACTTGCTGCAGGCACAAAGACACCAGCGATATGCTGTGTTGTCTTCAGTAGTGGCATGCGACAGTCCAGCGGGGACCGGAATAATCCCCACCAGTCCAAAGGGGGTGGAGGGGGGTAGGAGGATGGATAGCTGTAACTTCAAGCAGGCAAGAGAAGGAGGAGAGCAGCTGCCTCAAAAAACACAGGCCACCACAATGCACCCGGGGCTCTCGTCACATAAAGATCTGAGTAAGGAAGTGCTCACTGAGAGCTGGGGGGAGGAGGGACACATTGAGGGGCTGGGGGGAGAGTCACATGGAGAGGCTGGGGTTAGGGAATGGGACACATGGAGGGGATTTGGGGGGAAATGAGACACATGGAGGGGCTAGGATGGAAATGAGACACAAGGTGGGGTTCAGATGAAAATAAGACAAAAGGAAACGCTGGAGGGAGGTAATGGGAGACTTGGAGGGAATGAAACACATGGAGGGGCTGGCAGGGAATAAGACACATGTAGGGGCTGGGGAAGGAATGAGACACATGGAGGGATGAGGAGGAAGAAATGAGACACATGGGGCACCTGGGGGGAATGAGACACATGGGGGGCCCAGGGCAGTTTTTGCACCGGGGCCCGGTGGTTTCTAGTTACGCCTCTGTGTCACATGATTGTGACAAGTATGGATTGCTGGGAATACTACATGAATCCAAAGTGAATTTTACATTTTAAACAAAAATTTTCCAATTTGCGTATTTTGTCCCAAAATTTGGATTTGGATTTTCTAGGAATTGCCAACAATGTACATTTTCGTGGATAACACAGTTTGTTTGAAATTCAGTATAATTCAGTGTTTGGTGTCTAAGTTGACAGTCCTGAAAGACAAACACGTGGGCTTGTCTGTAAAGTGTCCATATCTGTATCTTCCATGTCTATAACCGTGTTCACCATGTCTATAACTGTATATCTGTACCTCATGTGTCCATATCTGTATCTCCTATGTCTATAACCGTACCTACCGTGTCCATATCCACAGAGAAATGTTAAACAATATCTTTAAAATAACAAGCGATCCTTTATACTTACACCTTGCTCTTTAAATGCACATTTAGTGAGGTCTTGCAGAGTGGATTTTGTACAAACTGTTTCTTTGATTTTGAAAGTCAGTACATTGCTGGACTGTGAATCAGTCTATAAAATAAAGAAGGGAAAATATTTAATATTAAATCATAAAATTCTTTACATTTACCAATGTATCTTGCACGGATATTGAAAGGGACACTCCAGTGCAGGTCCCCTCTCCCTCCCACCCCCCATCCCCGATTGCTGAAGGGGTGAAAACCCCTTCAGTCACTTACCTGAGACCCCGCCGATGTCACTCGGCGGTGGTTTCTGCTCCCGCCGCTCCTCCTCTTCCTTACGTCAGCCGGTGGGCGAGACTGATCCCGCCCGCCGGCTGAGGAAACCTAATGCGCATTCGCGGCAATGCCACACACGCGCATTAGAGCTCTCCATAGGAAACCATTGAAAATGCTTTCAATGCTTTCCTATTGGGAATTGAGTGAAGCTGGAGGTCCTCACACAGCGTGAGGACGTCCAGCGATGCTCTAGCACAGAAAACCTATGCTATAGACACAGGAGTTAACCCTGCAAGGTAATTATTGCAGTTTATAAAAAATTGCAATAATTACACTTGCAGGGTTACGTAGTTACATAGCTGAAAAGAGACTTGCATCCATCAAGTTCAGCCTTCCTCACATTTGTTTTTTGCTGTTGATCCAAAAGAAGGCAAAAAAACAGTTTGAAGCACAATTTTGCAACAAGCTAGGAAAAAAATTCCTTCTTGACCCCAGAATGGCAGTCAGATTTATCCTTGGATCAAGCAGTTATTACCCTGGATTGAAAGATTATATCCTGGAATATTCTGTTTTTGCACGTATGCATCTAGTAGCTGTTTGAACATCTGTATGGACTCTGATAAAACCACTTCAGGCAGAGAATTCCATATCCTGATTGTTCTTACAGTAAAAAAACCTTTCCTTTGCCTTAGACAAAATCTTCTTTCTAAGGGTAGTGGGAGTTGGCACCCAGACCACTCCAATGGGCAGTCTGTGTGCCTGCAGTTCCCTTTAACAATTATATAAGTGGGGGAGGTTTATAACTGCTTTCAACTTTGAGAAATTGTTGTGGAAACCAATGAAGTCCAATTGGTCCCCTTGTGATTGCTCAATAATAAAAACTTTGCTCCACCATTTTATTAGCCCCACTTTTACAAATCTCTCCTATTTTGTGTTGGAGCTTGTATGGGACTTTCTAATGATGCCGTGATTGTCGTCTCTAAGACAGAGCGTGATCAGATTGCTCAATTATTTACTTTGCACTCTGTGTTCAAAGATGTCTAAATTATACCCGGGAATAAAATGGGACACTTTTACAATTTTTTTCAAATTTGACATGGGTTGGAAGAAAGCTACAATTCAATAAAGGGATGTTAAAATGGTTCACATTTGTTTCTTTTTAAAAAATCTGTGACAAATAAGTAATAATTTGGTAATTTTTTTATTAGGTAGCACCTGGAGCAGAGGAATGTATTTTTGACGGAAATCTTTTTATATCTAAGAGCCCACTCTAAATGTGCCTCAATCACAATACGTTTCTCACGGAAAACCATTTTATATTATCGGGGTTTGTTCACTGAGCTGTGACTTGTAGCAAATCAAAAACCAGTTTGCAAAACTCAGACAAAAATAGCTTTTTGACTATAGCGGAGATAGATAATTACTACAAAACAGCTCTGTTTAAGCATGTTTTGTGTTTTGGTTATCAATTTCCAGCAATTTGCTATTGAGCGAACAAATCCTCCAAAAAGGTACTTTTTCTATAGGATAACTGCGTAACACAATGAAAATAATACATTTAGCCAATGCTACATTTTTCTATTTGCAACCAGTAGACTGGAACATGGGGTAAAGGTTGCTCAAAGTGTTAAAATGGCCATGATATACCCTCCTCTCCCCTTATGATCTTCTCAACAGATATCAAACAAGTAAAAGATCTACACAGCATTGACAATAGTAGGTAATCAGGCACTTGGCGTAGAGGCAGGTCTGGTGTATAAATTGTGGAATATTAACAATAGATTCAAAACCAACAATTTCAAAACACATAGAACAGCTGTAATGCTCCATTCACTAATATCACATTATCTTATATTATTATCTACATATGCATACTAAGAGTCCAACATGACTCCTTTTTAATCCAATAATAGACAGTACTTGTGGTTGTAGCTATTCCATAGTATTGGGCCGCTGAATGTCCTGCTGTATATAAATGTTTAGGGGCTGGATTCTCTTAGAATAAGGGTTTACTATAGTAACTGTTGGTATTATTTGTGTAGACTTAAGGGAACTCTATAGGGTCAGGAACACAAACATCTATTCCTCACCCTATGGTGTTAAAAACACTGTCTAGCCCCCTTACCCCCTAAATATAGTAAAATCTTACCTTTATTTCAGTCTGCTGCTGCTCGCTCTGCCCCTGATCTGTCTTCCTGGCTGATATCATCAGAAGTAAAAAGGCATTGTGATTGGCTGAGACTGTCAAGGAGGCAGATCAGGGGCAGAGACAGCACAAGCCATCAATATCTCCTCATAGAGATACATTGAATCAATGCATCTCTATGAGGAAAGTTTAGTGTCTCCATGCAGAGGGGGGAGGCACAGGAAGCAGCTCGAGTAGTCTGAGGAGTGGCCTGGAAGTTAACCCTAGGCTGTATTGTAAACATTGCATTTTCTCTGAAAAAAACAGTATATACTGCAAAAAGCCTGAAGGGAATAATTATACTCCGAAGAATAAATACAATGAGCTGTAGTTGTTCTGGTGACTATAGTGTCCATTTAAATTGAGGAACTGCTATCCAGTTAGTAGGTTGGAGTTTGGTGAATAAGTGAGATTAGAATATAAGACCAGGCCAAAAGGTATGCCTCCATTTCATGTAGAACCTGTGATGCTGGTAAAACATCATGGCAGTTAGATATTTTCATCTCTCAAAAACCTGACTTCCCTGGTTAAACCCGTCTGCACTTCCTATTATTATTTCCTTCAACAATATTTCATTAATTTACTCCTAATTAAAGCACTCGCTAATTACCAGTAAAGTGCTGATTGGAGCATAGAAAATAGAACGTACAACTCACTATGTAATAATGACAACTGGAATAACAAGTTAATTGTTTATTTTTTTTGTTATAGGTTAATGCTAGAATAGTTTCCCCATCAACGGGGAATATAAGTATTGCTCACATTTTAATAGCAGATACCCCTGTTTTACCAAGAAAATGGAAATCTCCGGTGACTCCCACTAAAAATGGGACTGTTTAAATTAATTCCCAATATAGTTAATAATAATATAATAATATTAAAAATATAATGTATCTAATAACTCCCACTAAATTAATTATTTCATTGGTCCTTGAAAACAAGGGCTTTGAATGGCAATCAGACAATTTTGGGAAGATAACATAAAAAAAGGAATATTGGGTAAATGTGGTTAACAATGTTATAATATTTATTCCCTGAATAGCGTTATGGTATTCAGGTTATAATAATAATAATTAGGTCATTATTGCAGGTTATTTAACAAATTGTGTGTATAGGTCAATGTAATTATATTTGGATTGGACTCAACAATAAATTGGTCAGAAACATGCATGATTAATCCTTATTCCCCCTTTCTTTACCTTGTTCTCCCTTGATGTTTATTTTGGGAATTTTTGATTATTACATTTATTATGTTGATGTTGACAAAATTCTACAAAACTTTCAATAAAAGGATTTGAAAAGAACATGCAGCCATATGGTAAACAATAATGTGAGCTTCTAGCTCCTGTGTTATAGAAATAAGGATTATGGCAACTCCCATCACTATTAGCGAGTAACAACAGGTTAAGAGTCATAAAGAGTTTTACATGTATGAGAGTCATAGGAATGGTAGTCCACGCTAATAAGACCAGACCAGACCAGACCACGTTTAAAGGCTTTAAGGATAAACGTGGCTGAGGGTCATGTGAATCATATTCCACAGTAACAGGAGTTCCAGTTACATTGAGCTGGGCCGCCCACACCTGCCTATCTGATTCCAGTCTAGGCCCACATACCTGCTCGTCCTGTGATCCACGTGGCAGGGATCTGAATAGAAAGGGGGTGCTTTGTTCTTTGTTGTATTGTTCTACAGCCCTCTGTACGGTATCACAGTCCAAAGAACTCTGCAGCAAGAGGGGGACAGATGCCGAGTACAACAGAGAGGTTACTGCACAAACTAAAAACAGCTGCAACTTGCTCTCCATCCTCCAATGTCCTGGTCACTCCTGGGGCTCTGGAACTGATTGGTTTAATTAATCCTCTGACATTCGAGTGAGCGGTTATTCGAATAATAAATAAAGATCTCAGTTTGGTCAAATTGCTGCGTTTCTTCGAATCCTCTGAGTTGGGAGAAGAACTGAAGAGTTGGGCCACTTCCCATTCATTTAACTGTGAACTGACAGAGGTGTTGGGCAAGTTCCCAGCTTCTTATATTTTACAATAAGCTCAGCCCCGTCTCCTTCTAATAGATGGTTTGAATTCAGGTTTTGTGTTAGTGTTACGACATTATCTGAAATGTTTAACAAGGAAATAGACCGAGCACAGGAAATGTCTGACCAACCAATGTATTTACTCTGCATTTTCTTAAATGCAAAAAAAACAATTAAAAAATAATTTGACGTAAACAGTTAATACACAGTGAGGCTGCTGTCTGGGCTATTTACTGGGGTCTGAATATCCTCCAGGTTTCCTGATCAGCTTATTTCATATTATTCATTGTGAGTGCAGCGAATGTGCACATCCGGCAATTAGGAAGATTCGGCAGAGAATAGGTGTAAATCCCATATTGCTCAATTCATCGATCCCTATCATACCTGGGGCTCCCCTCTGTCAGATAGTGGTCAGAATGGCACAGATATTCACTAAGGTGGGAACTGCTGGGAATTCAAAATAAATCACCAAAACTCAACAGAGAATGCCATCCGTAAACATGTCCAGGCCTAAATGTTTAAATTCATATTGAATTCCTGGCAAATCTCACTATAGTAAATAACACAGACAGGGATAGTTACTAAAGGGAATTGTCGGAAATTCATGGTGAATTCAAAGGGAACTTCAAATTTAAAGCCAAAAATAGCCAAAGTGGGAAAATTATTACATTCAGCAATGCTTCCAGTTCACTTACTGTGGAGTATTTATGAAGTATTATTATTATTATTATTATTATTGCCATTTATAAGTAATATAAGTTACTCTGTATATCTATCAGTAGAGTATTTATATAAAGTAATATGAGTTACTCTGTATATCTATCAGTAGAGTATTTATGAAGTAATATAAGTTACTCTGTATATCTATCAGGGGAGTATTTATGAAGTAATATGAGTTACTCTGTATATCTATCAGTAAAGTATTTATGATGTAATATAAGTTACTCTCTATATCTATCAGTAGAGTATTTATATAAAGTAATATGAGTTACTCTGTATATCTATCAGTAGAGTATTTATGATGTAATATAAGTTACTCTGTATATCTATCAGTAGAGTATTTATATAAAGTAATATGAGTTACTCTGTATATCAATCAGTTAAGTATTTGTCAAGTAATGTACGTGAAAGGGACTCTCCAGCTAACCCGTTTTACTCACCTGGTTCCAGCGCCGGGAGCCTCGTGAAGCCGCGCCCCCTTTTTAGTCAAAATGACCAGCAGGGATCAATCAGACGCTTCCATTTCAAGTCATTGCTCCCTTGTGCGCATGCGCGGTTTCACCGCACATGCGCACATACTTCTGAAGTCCTGAGCGCACTACCGCGCTGACTGACAACTCAGCTCGCAGTCTTTGCCCGCCCCCTCTCCTCGGCTGACAGGCAGAAGAGAGAAGGCGCGCACACAGTGCCTTCTCTCTCCTGCACATGTCAGACGTATTTTAATACGTCTGACGTGTACAGGGCCTTTTTAGGGCCATACATGATAGGAAGTCCCTCTGGTGGCCGTCTGAGTGACGGCCACTGGAGGTATTCCTACCAATCAATGTAAACACTGTATTTTCTCTGAAAATACAGTGTTTACATCAGATTGCCTGCAGGGAGCTATAGTTCTCACCTGAACAACTACATTAAGCTGTAGTTGTTCAGGTGACTATAGTGTCCCTTTAAGTTAAAGTAAAGTTTTATATTTATCAGCTGAGTATTTATGAAGTAATATAAGTTACTCTGTATATTTATCAGTGGAGTATTTATGAAGTAATGTACGTTTAGTTGTATATTTATCTATGAAGTATTTATGAAACTTTTATTAATCTACTTTCTCTCCTGCGTTAAGTTTTAGACAAACATTGCAAGAAGAGCTTAGCTGTTCTACCTGCATTGACCGTAATAACAGATTACATAATCTGATTAGCGGGTTACATAACTAGTGAAAGCTCAGGACACAGTATACTCAATACAGACTCTTATCAAGCGGCTAAGGAATAATTACACACATTGTGTCCATGTTTATGTGTCCCTATGTGTATACTGATGTGTGAGTGTGTATTGGCTAAAAGCAGGTTTATGTAGGACGTCCTGGCTTCTGACTATTCAACATATTCAACGTATTAAACATTCAGTACAAACTATTACTGGGACATATTATTAACCTCAAATAAGCCAATGGTCTCTCCTCTCCCCCACACAATGTCAGTTAACTCCATACTCTAAAGTGTGAAATGGGTTGTATTGGAGCCTGTGCTGGGGATTTACTCTGAAAACCTGCTAGACTGAGATGATAAGATTTCAGTTTTACAAATTTTAACTTAAATTAAAATGCATGCATGCACAGACTTATATTCACTACTTTGTTATACAATGTATGTGATTACTAGACTGTAATCAATGCATCTCTACGAGGAGGGTGGAGACACTGAATGTCAGTCACACTGTGCAGCACTGCCCCAGGAAGCACCATCTAGCTGCCATCTGAGGAGTGGCCAGTGAAGTTATCACTAGGCTGTAATGTAGAGCTGCCTTTTCTTTGACAAAACAGTGTTTACTGCAAAGAGCCTGAAGGGAATGACTTTACCCACCAGAACAAATACAATAAGCTGTATACCCCACATTAAGCTGTAATTGTTATTGTGACTATAGTTTCCCTTTAATAAAATAAAATAAAAAAAATGAGGGAGCATAAAGGTAAAAATAATATATATACACATTAGAAATATGGTTCCTTTGAAAATGAAATTCATCACAATAACAATAACATCAGGGTGAATAAAAAATACACATAAAGCTATAAGTGGCCACTAGTGCTATAGATAAAACCAAAACCGTGTCATGTAATCTTGAACAAAGCATTAGCACTCACACATTCTGAAATATCCCAGAAATGGCAGAGGAAGCCGGCTGAGTAAAGAATACTTCCAAACAAGACGCAATGTAACTGATATAACAAACCATGTTGCAAACTCCCAGCAAAAAACAAACAAACAGTATAGTGTCAGCTTGTAAAAAAATATCCACTGACATAAAAGAGCTGGATAGAGAGTCCCAGTAAGGAAGTATTTCCCAAGTAATCTCATAAAGGCAGGCATTAGGCTGTTAGAGTAGGACCTGCCAAAGACGGGGTACATTGACAGGGGGGATATGATAGAAACATTTAAATACATAAAGGGAATCAACACAGTAAAGGAGGAGACTATATTTAAAAGAAGAAAAACTACCACAACAAGAGGACATAGTCTTAAATTAGAGGGGCAAAGGTTTAAAAATGATATCAGGAAGTATTACTTTACTGAGAGGGTAGTGGATGCATGGAATAGCCTTCCAGCTGAAGTGGTAGGTGGACACAGTAAAGGAGTTTAAGCATGCGTGGGATAGGCATAAGGCTATCCTAACTATAAGATAAGGCCAGGGACTAATGAAAGTATTTAGAAAATTGGGCAGACTAGATGGGCCGAATGGTTCTTATCTGCCGTCACATTCTATGTTTCTATTGACGTTGTGGCAGGCTTATGCAATGTATGATCATATAATGTAACTAATCCCCATCATTTTTTGCCTAGGTGAGGTGTTTTTAAATAAAACTATTACAATCTCTAACATTTGAAAATAATGATAGCTCCCCTCTGCAGGCTAATAGGACACTGGACTGGTCTGTAATTATGAGAACTCACCATCATGGGATTTAAATGGTTAAAAAAATCCACAAGTATAGTGTGCTTCAACTCTGCACTAATCAAATGTGTGAGTGTGATAGACTGGATTCTGTATTATGTGTGTCCGTGAATGGAATGAACTCCAAAACAGTAGTGCACGTTAGATCAAAACGAGATACGGAGTTCTATCAGACAGATAAGAGCAACTCTCACCTCCTCCCATATGGATCTTTGCCCAGCTACTGCAGAAGTATATTTGACCCCAGGAAGAGAAATGGGTCCATTTCACATTTTAGAGCACTTGGACAAATAAAAACATATGATATAAATTCAGTTGAGTGGCACAAAAATAGTAGAATGAATGGCAATAAATTCAGGTCCACACGTTTTTATCCATTTCTTGGACTTTCTCAACACCAATTTAATCTCACAGTGACTACCCTGGGAGTTTCCTTATAAGAGGCTATCCATCTCATAATTATTAGGAAAACCTAGGTATCTTAAAGAATATAGCTAGAGAGGAGTAACAACATTGGACAGGTATTAGCATACAGATGAAATAAGCTAATCATACAGATATATCATTAATAGTAACAAGTTAAATAAAACACAAGGGAACTGTATACATACATAAACAAACTAACAAATATAATTACACAGATGGAATTGAATATAAGAAGATAGTTTTGTTAATTTAATTTCAGTGGTCTTATGTTAACGTTCCTTATTATGGGGAAGGTAAAAAAAAAAATCACAAAACATAATCTAATTCTTCATTGAGTTCTTTTGGTCTTCAATCTAAATATCAAGTAAGTCTCCTTATCCAGCAATCTGCCAATATTATCTTGGGTACCAAAAATGTCAACCTCTAAACCACAATGTGTAGAACTTCCAATCCTTTGGAGTCAGAGTTGTGGAAACTCTTAAAGTGCCTCGACAAGGAGGTGTTGGACTTAATATTAATCACTGAATACCTGTGTTTCCTAAAATGGAGCTTCAGGGTACTTGTTATCTGTCCAAAAATCTGAGTCCCAGAAGGACAGTTCAACATATATAAAACATCAGTGCGTTCACAAGTAAATAATGATCTCATCTGGATTCCGGAACCATTGCTATGAGAAGAAAATATGATTCTATGAGGTTTAATGTGTTGGCTAATTCTACATTCTGTTCTTCCACATTGGAAATGATCACAGTTATCCTTACTCAATAGGGTACTGCTAGTTGGAATGTTGGAATGTTATGAACATTATCATTGTTTAAAACAGGTTTTAATCTTGCAGGTCCAAATATATTTTTGGAATTCATGGCCCTGGTGCATGTAACTTTTGGTATGAAGGTAACTTATATTTTAACCCAGGGTCTTCAAAGAGTATAAATGTTTTTTCAAAAATATTAATGATGTCTACATATTTGGAATTGAACCTGATCACTAAAACTGGGCCTGCACTCTCATCTATATTCTTTGCACTAATTCTATGAACTAAATGTTCATGCTTATTATATTTTAGGTGAATTTCAAGTTTTTTTGTTTATTAAATAAAAAATGTAATTCTCCCTAATAGCTGAGGCAATTCCTGTACAATTGTGTTTCTATAAGTAAGTTAAACACTTATTGTCAGTAAATATGAGACACCTTCTATTCATAACTCTGACCTAAATAAATTGTCTGGTGCGTAACTCTTCTCAAAAAACGGATAATCAACCTAAGAGCCTCTTTGTCATAATCTAATAAGGTTGCAAAATATAACACTACCCTCACCTCTGCCTTGAACGTTGCAGCCCCGCTCCAAACATGCACCTCGAGGAGGACACGCCCTCAACTGTGGCATACTAAATCAACACGCTATCTGCAAAGATGCTCCTGTTGTGCTGAACGCTCCTGGAGGAAGTCTTGCACCCAGTCAGACTTTCTCCATTATAGATTTATATTGTGTTCATACAGCACAGCCCTTGTCCTCGCTAAACCATTAATTTTTCCTCTCTCATTAGTTCATGGTCCTGCAATCCTAGGCATCCCTTTGACACCTTTAACTCTCTTCTTCACCCTGCTGTGGCCACTTCTCAAACTAACCTTTCAGCCGATAGCTTTGCATGCTACTTTACCGACAAGATTGAACAGCTAAGGTAAGAATTCTCCCCACCTTGCCGTTCTCTTTCTCAACCACCCATAGATCATGCCTTTCCTACCCTTCAGACTTTCTCCCCGGCTACTGAACAAGGGGTGGCTGCACTTCTCCTTTATTCTCGCCCCACCACTTGCCCGGTTGATCCTTTCCCATCTCATCTTATCAGATCTCTTTCCCCTTGTCTCGTGCCTGTCTTAAGACACATCTTCAACTGCTCTCTCTCTTCTGGCGTTGTCCCTGCTGGCCTTAAACATGCCACTGTAGTACCCATCCTGAAAAAAACATCTCTCAACCCGTCCTCCCCCTCTAACTATCGTCCCATATCCCTGCTCCCTTTTTCCTCAAAGCTTCTGGAAAGACTTGTCTTTACCCGTATGTCTCACTTCCTCAATTCCAACTCTCTCCTTGACTCTCTTCTATCTGGCTTCCGCCTCCTCCACTCTGCTGAGACTGCTCATATCAAAGTTACCAACAACCTAATTGCAGCTAAATCCAAAGGCCCCTACTCCATACTAATTCTTCTTGACCTCTCTGCTGCCTTTGACATTGTTGATCGTGCTCTCCTTCTTCAAACTCTTCAATCATTAGGTCTCTGTGTCCTCTTGTGGTTTTCCTCTTATCTCTACCAACGCTCATTCAGTGTCTCCTTTTCTAATGACATCTCCTCCCCTCGTCCTGTCTTGGTTGGAGTCCCACAAGGTTCTGTCCTTGGTCCCCTTCTATTTTCTCTCTATACTGCCTCTCTTGGCAACCTTATTACCTCTTATGGATTCCACTACCACCTGTACACTGATGACACCCAAATATACCTCTCCTCCCCTGACCTCTCCCCTGCCATCCTGCAACGTGTCACTAATTGCCTTTCTTCCATCTCTGACTGGATGTCCTCCCGCTTTCTGAAACTCAATCTCTCTAAAACTGAGCTCCTTGTCTTTCCTCCTCCTAATACTGATCCTCCTCTTTCTCTCTCCCTTTAAATTAGTGGTATCCACATCAGTCCATCCTTGCAAGCACGCTGTCTTGGTGTCATACGTGATTCTGGCAATAAAAATAGAAAATCCAGCGCACTCCATTATCCCCTGGACAGCAACTTCAGTGCTCACAGATTTAGTTAGTTGCTGTTCAGGGGATAATGGAGTGCGCTGGATTTTTTTTTTTTATTGCCAGAATCACATATGACACCAAGACAGCGCACTTGCAAGGATGGACTGATGTGGATACCACTAATTTAAAGGGAGAGAGAAAGAGGAGGATCGGTATTAGGAGGAGGAAAGACAAGGAGCTCAGTTTTAGAGAGATTGAGTTTCAGAAAGCGGGAGGACATCCAGTCAGAGATGGAAGAAAGGCAAGCAGCACCCTATTTATGCAAATTCAGGTGAATACAGCCAGCCCCCTGTTTTCTCATATATATACTTAATTCTGGCCTCACCTTTGAGCCTCACTTCCAGCATGTTACCAAGTCCTGTAGATTCCATCTTAAAAACACAGCCCACATCCGGCCCTCTCTTATGCAAGATGCTACCAAGGAGCTTGTCCATGTTTTAGTAATTTCCCACATGGATTATTGTAACCCTTTCCGAATTGGTCTTCCCAAAAACCGTATTGAATGCTGCCGCCAGACTGATTTTCCTCTCTAGTCGGTCCTCTCACACCTCACCCCTCTGTCAGTCCTTATATTGGCTTCCTGTATCCTATAGGAGTCAATTCAAAGTACTAATTCACACCTATAAAGCAGAAAGATAAGTCCTGCGCTCACTCCCATCACTTGGCGGCAGCAATGACTACAGTACACATCAGCCCCAATATATAGCAAAAACCAAAGAAAAACAAATTACCTGCACTCTCTCCTTAATCCCTATGTATTTTTAAACAAATGGAGGTCTTTTTAGTTATTTCCAATGGCCATGAGAGGATAAGCCCACCTGCCAACGTCAAGGCAGACGCCCCCAGGTGGGTCTTAACTCTAACCATTCACCTTGCTTTCTTGAGCTGCAGCCACCCATCCCAGGTGTTCCCTATTAAGGGTTAATAATCGTTTAAGAAGTGCCTTAAAGCCCATCTCTTTAGAAAAGCTTATGACCTCCCAGAGTAACCTCTACCTCACATACCTGTCCCTTGCTCTCTCCTAAAGGGCAGCACTCTGCTCTCTCCTCCAGCTCTGCTTCACTCCCACCTTATTTGATTGCTATTTCCTGTCCTATTGTGTTTTATACCCCACCTCCTATAGACTGTAAGCTCGTTTGAGCAGGGTTCTCTTCAACCGATCGTTCCTCTAAGTTTTCTTGTAATTGTCCTATTTATAGTTTTTTTTATTTTTTTTATTTGCAATTTTGGGTTATTATAGCGGTACAGCGTTATTCATGCGGTTAAGTATATTCTTACAAGTTTTTCATCAACATTCTCAGGAACATTTGTATACAAGTTGTTGTTCATACATTTAATGTTACATTTCACATAGTGAAATCTTTTGCTTGTATTCCACCCGCTACACATAAGTGCTTTGATTTCTAATTGTGCTGCGCCCTGCACACTTTTTTGAAGTCCTATTTATAGTTTAATCCCCCATCTCATAATATTGTAAAGCACTACAGAATCTTTTGGCGCTATATAAATGGCAATAATAATAATAATAATAATTGCGGGGGGTGTGCACTTGAAGCTGACAGATGTCCATTGACGTCTACAATTTTATAATACGTTTTTGTCATAACTATAGTAGCCCATTAGGGTCCCAAAGAAATCTCTCTCTGATTTTTCAGTGCTAGAGTTAAAAGCAATTCCCAGGTCATTATCACTGATATATGAGAGAAGCTGAGCCACAGCAGTTGGGTTATCTTGGGATAAGCTCTTTGGATGAAACATTGCACCACATGCCGTAATGCAATGCTGAGGATTCTATCCAAACTCTGCCTGGGCTTTTCTTGTGAATTGTCTTGGAGTAGAGTTGCTCCAGGCTGGTGGCACTTGGATTTTATTTTATTTAAATGTCTTCCAATTTTCTCTTTTCAGCTATTATATATTTCTGTAACCTTCATCAGTATTACAACATTCACACAGTGTAGTAAGTTAATCTGTGCAAAGTGTAAGAGTCACAGACCACCATGTGGTCACTGGCAAACACCTCCAGAGACATCACACGTACTTATTGTAGTTTGTCAGATACCGTAATCCACCGGGAAATATCCCAGTGGGCCAGTCCAAGCCTGGAGGGCATTGAGAGCACAGGACACCAGCACAATTACAAACCTACACCGTGCTGGGCTAGGAAAGGTCTCCACAATTTTCTTCCCTGCCTGCTGCTTCACCCCGGCACAACTGTGCAAACAGACACCCCAGCACATCTACTGCTATTTTCATTTTCTAAAGAATTGTTTGAGACTATAGCCCCGATCACTCTAGCCAGCCCTCCCATGCTAGTGGCATTAGCCTCCCTGCCCCACTTGGCAGCTCTCCGATGTCAACAACACTTGTTTTTGGAAAGGGAGCAGTGTGAACTAAACAGGAAAACCAAGAGATGTTGTAGAACTGTTTGATAAAAGCGAGATGTTGGATAGTTAAAGAAGGAGACAGAAAGGTAAAGAAAGTGAGAGATAGAAATAAAGGGTGAGGACTCCAGGGAGAGGGTGTGCGCGATGGGAAAAGTACTCACAATATGTTTTGTTATATTTATTAATTGTAAAAAAAATAAAAAATAAAGCCATTTTTAGTAAATAGTAATCCCCTTAATACAAAATCAAGAAATCTATGCAATTCTTATTCAAACCAAACGATGGAGGACATTAAACTTGTATTGTTCTTCTGACTGAATTTGTGTAAATATACCCAATGTTGCTATAGAAACCCATAGTTACCAGGACATGTACAATCAGTCTTTGTTTGTAGAACTCATTAGAGGATTAGCCCATTTTCCGTGTATTCCATTGGATTTCTAATAACTTTTAAATATATCCTGGATCATCTAAATAAAACGGTCTCTCAAAGCTGTCACTATCCTGGGACTCGGCTCTCCATAGTGTGTCTACGGCTGCGTAAAGGAATCCTGCGTGTCATATAACTATTATTATTATTATTATTATATTACTATAACGTAATATACATATTATAAATAAATCAATCCTACACAAACAACATATAGGAAGGCTTTATTTCATCAATATATCAATACATCTGCCAATGTTATGACACCGTCCTTTATAGATTACTGTCTATTATTGTGTAAATGTAAAGCTACATATGTTGCTCATATCACTGTAGATGGATGTGTTTAGGTAACTTATTGTAGAACTATAATAACAAAAATCTATTTCTTTAAATAAGATCACCATCCACTTGTCGTGGTATATAAAGCATGGGTCACTTTCTTCACCAGGACTGTCCGTATCAAGCTACATGACACAATTACATGTGTTGTAAACTCCATAGCATCACCAAGAGGGATGGGGGGATAGGGTTATGGTGTTTATAGGGGCTTTTGGGTGTCTCCTGCTAATATTTGCAAAGGGTTAATTAACTTATTTAGGATTTGTTGAGGAATGCAGTGGCAGCACTAACAGACAGAATACATTTAAAATTCTAGATAAAAACAAAACATGATGCAAGCCCCCATTTAATCAGACTACATCGCTGCATTCTGTCATACAGATATTTAAACTACGAGACAATAAACTACTAAACTTACGTCTCCTCACTATGACTCTTATTGTTCTGACTAATATTTATTAATAACAACCATTTCATCTTAGAGAATTATTCCGGCCAGGTCAAGAGCAGCCAGTTTTATCTCATTAAAAAACCAAAAACACAGAGTTATACATGTACGCCTTAGATGTAGTTAAAAGGTGCGTTCCACTTTCGACTAAGGAGGTCTTAAACTAATTTTAGCGTATTTGTGCCTTTGTAGATTTAACCTGTTTCCTAAACAAACCAGAGTAGTCCCATCCACAGAGCCGGTCCAGAACTGGTAGGACAGGCAGAGCTTCTCTGAATGGGAGATACAGCAAACCAAGCTAATTGTTTCAGCCTAACTCTAGAGATGGATAGACTGAAGCCACGGACGGAGAAGTTGTTGGAGCTTAGAGGAGCAGTGACTGACAGATGCACCTGGCGTGCTATGGTCCATATTGTCACGGAGAGTCAGACACGACTGAACGACGAAACAACAGCAACTCTGGAGTTAGCATATCCCAAAGGACAAGCTATTGACATTTACGTTTATAATATCATCCATCTTTAATCTAAATGTCTTCTTCTCTCTCCTGATTTCTGTTTGTTATAAGGTAACGATTCATGATCAGATTACATGTTGCTTCATACTAATCCAATGATGGAATGTATGCAATCCTAGATTTGTCAGCATTGTGATGTTTAAGATAACAAATATTTTTCTCTTTATTTTTCTTCACGTAGGAGAAAAACATTGTTACCAAATGATAAATCAGCATAGCATGAAGGAGGTGACTTGTTCGAGGACACATGGGAGATATACAATGTTGTGAAATTTGAAGGGTGTAGAATATGATGGATTTTTTTTGTAGAAATTCTTTTATTTGAAGGTATTTGTATAATGATACATAAAGTTAAAAAAAAATATTACACATCTATTTTATCATGTAAATTGTGTTATTTGTTAATAAAGTTACTTCAAAATGTTTCATTATAACTAAATACAACTTGGGGGCATTTTGAAAAACTCTTTGTTAAATTTGAAAGTGATAAAGCAGATTCTAGCTCTCACAAATTGTTTTATTTGTTTCCAGTAAAAACAGAATTGTAGTGAATAAAAACGAATTTCAACATTTAAGAAAAAACACAGATTTGAGAAAATCTATATTTAGTCTGAATTAGTGCTAGTTTTAGGCCTACATGGGCTTAGGAAATGTGACCACTTAATGACAAAACTTGAATTTTAATTTCCGGTGCCAGTGATTATGGGAAACATATAGTGAACCTATTACTGGTCCCCACGGGTTTGTACTCTCTCTTTGCCGTGTGATTGAGATCTTACTTACATGGCTTAGAGGCTGTGCACACAACATGAAACCCCGCCATGGCCACAGTACAGACTGAGGGCTGGGAAGCTATTAACAAATCTAACAAGACAGTGTAATAGGAGCAGAGCACCAATACAGTGGTTGCAGACTTTATCATTATACATTTATACATTTAAAAAGCCCCTATGTTTATTTCACACTCGCCTTAATTTTCTAGTTTAGTTTTCAATTCGTTACCATTTAATAATTAGTTAATAAGCCCCATTTCATACTAGTTTGTGTTATTAATGCCTCCAGGAACTCATTCTGTGGTTAAATTTACAGAATTTTGGCAATATTTGGGTAAAAACATGCTAAATAGTTAGGTGTGATTCACCTCCTTGATTTTGATAAAAGATTCTTGTCGACATGAGCTTTCTTTAAATAACCCACAGGGAGAGTTAATGACTAAAGTAGGACTTTCTGATAAGTCGAAGTGTATTCAAAGTGGGTTTCAAAGTTTTGACCAACATGACCCAAACTAGAAACATTTTCCAAGACATTGAAGTTTTCCATTGGTCTATATTTTCAGGTTGGGATATGAATGTTGTGACTCTTGTTTTCTTAATAGAAGTCAGTGCTTTGGAGTATCAATGCATTACAGATCTGTTTGACTTTTTAGTCTTGTGTAAACAGGACATCAGTCTGATGACAGCAGTGCCTTAGTAACCAATCCCCAGATTAAAACATTGAAATTTCTTGTACTCACCGCATGATTGCTTTTAAACAATTTGAAAATCATAGCACTGTTTGTCCTGACGTTGTAGACAGAAACAGCCTTTGTGACAAAAGCAGCCTGTTGATGTCTCCATGCCACGCCGGTTTCGGAGATCGATTTACATGCTACCAATGGAATGAAAAAAAATACCATCAAATGAGACTGTAACCAGAAACGCATTGTACAAACGGGGAGATGTTAATGATATCACTTGGAGCACAGCTTCAATACTGACAGTCTCCTTATATTCATTCGTACATTCACCACGAGGATTGCATTACTCAGCATTCAAACATTGCTGGCTATATAATTTGTTTGGTGGAAATTACCCAACACGTGCAGTAAGAATGTAATTAAACCTCTGAATAATTATCGATCTCTGTGTGTTAATATACTCAGCAATTTATTTTTTTAGTAACACACGTCAAACCTGGCTCCACTCAGTTTCCAGGACTTGAGACAACGATGCATTAAATTGCTTCATGTGTTTTGTGACAATAATAAATCATTTTTTCTAATGTTCAAAGATCACGTACAGCACAACAGCATTTCATAAAATTGTTCAATAAAATGTCTGATCCTTCAGATAGCTTTAAAGATATTTATCAATTGAGAAATTATTTTAACGACAAATCTTAGGAGATGTCTGATGTTTTCAAGAAAATCATGGAAACGTTGTGTCACATAATGTAACGTATATTGTGCAATTGTACAAATGTGACAGTAAACACAGGACTGGTCCAATCCTAACTGTAATTATTATACGAGGCGGACCTTGTTACAAGTGGATGGGGATACAAAGTATCAAAGAAAAGACAACTCTGGATTTATTATGAAGAAGTCTATCAAGGATAATTTCCTGGTAGTTATTAATATTATTTGCTTTACATTACCCAAGTGATGAACCATATGATTAAATTAAGATAATATGCGGAAACAAATTATTATTTAGATGCATTTAACATAATGTGAGAATGTTTTTATATCTTAATAGAGGCTACTGTTGTGTTTTTTTTTTTGGTTAATAGAACTCCTTCCAGTGTGAGCTGCTGTGTTCCCCCCAGTGTGAGCTGCCGTGTTCCCCCCAGTGTGAGCTGCTCTGTTCCCCAGTGTGAGCTGCTGTGTTCCCCCCAGTATGAGCTGCTGTATTCTTCCCAGTGTGAGCTGCCATGTTCCCCCCAGTGTGAGCTGCTGTGTTCCCCCCATTGTGAGCTGCTTTGTTCCCCCCACTGTGAGCTGCCATGTTCTGCCCCCACTGTGAGCTGCTGTGTTCCCCCCAGTGTGAGCTGCTGTGTTCCCCAGTGTGAGCTGCTGTGTTTCCCAGTGTGTTCCCCAGTGTTCCCCCAGTGTGAGCTGCTGTGTTCCCCAGTATGAGCTGCTGTATTCCTCCCAGTGTGAGCTGCCATGTCCCCCCAGTGTGAGCTGCTGTGTTCCCCCCAGTGTGAGCTGCTGTGTTCCCCCCAGTGTGAGCTGCTGTGTTCCCCCAAGTGTGAGCTGCTGTGTTCCCCAGTGTGAGCTGCTGTGTTCCCCCCAGTATGAGCTGCTATATTCCTCCCAGTGTGAGCTGCCATGTTCCCCCCAGTGTGAGTGTAAAAAATGTAGATGAATGGATGTTCAATGTTGATGATTCTTAATTTCTTCTTATCTTCAGTTGATTGATATATATACGTCTTTTGTATATATATTCTTGGGCCAAATGCTCGCCACAATAATATATGTCTATATTATTGAAAAGTAGTAATACGCAATCTGACTTACGGTTTCTTCAGGTTTATTCTTTGTTACGGATACATAATAAAACATAAAGGATGTTACAGGATTATGGACATTCAACAGCAGATGGTAATTGCTGGACTTCTGATGGGAGAGTTACATCGTTGTACAGAGCCAAGACTAAGACTGAGAGACCTCGTGTCCCTCTGTTACTATATAGAAGTGCTAATACTAACGTCAGCATATAACTCTAGCCATATAAGGACAAAACCCCCGAATCCACATTCCAGAGCTCTCGGACAAAGAAAGCCTTGTGACTTATTGATACCATCTGTTACTTATGTCAATCCACACATCCATATATATAATCAATAGAAAGATAGAATATGCAATATTCTACATTCCCTCTGTTTATGGTTTGTTTTAAAACCATAACACAATGTCACTAGCCTGTCCATTCATACATCACTTGTATCACATTCATTGAGCATAGAACAAGATGTAGTCACAATTTTCTATTATATGAGAGTTCTTAGAAGGTCGAGTTTCTATTCCTCATACTGCTTACTTTACTTCAAAACTCCCTTTGTTTCAGCTATGTATTGATATCCATATCCATGTTACATCATAACTACTTGAACATAATATATACATATAATGATAAATGAATAAAATAAAATATTTACAAATGTTTATCCAATAAACAATAAAGCAATCAAAAATATCTACCTGCTCAGGTACAGTCATGTCTTTGTAGATAACAAAATCCAAGATCGTAACTTTCTAAATAATAATAACTGTGTAACACTATCATATTCCTACAGACACATATAGCATAGTATTTTCATTCTCAATACCTGATATTACTTAAGTACTAATACATGTATTACTATAATATCCTGTCCAATTATATTTCCATGAATCGTATGGTTTCTAGCAACTTAAAATCTTTATCATTTGTATTCATGAATTACATTCCTATACCATTAATACCACCTAGTGATGATTGTATCAGTACTTTACAATCATAGTATTTAATTTGTATATTCAGTAGGCTCTCACTACCTGAAATATACCAACACTACTTATAAGACTCATTCAAAGGATGTGTTATCAACCATGAAGTTCTATAATAATTCTTCAAATAATGTTCATGGTGTTGACAATACTTATTGTTCTAGAAATTCTCCACCCAGAAATCTTTCTTTTATAGATTTGTTTTTGTTTACATAATTATAATTTTCACTAAAATTCCACCTTGTAGTAACAAACCTTTCATTCAACAGAAACATAGTTTACTTTAAAAGAACTTGGAAAGAATAATTTTAATTAATTATCATCACTCTCTTCATTAGCTTCGTGATGACTTATTAATGTAATACATCTTAAAAGCAGGATTGTCCTAATGTTCTGGCCAATCCGTATTCCTTAGTACACTTCAACTGACTAAAATAAAATAAAATAAACAAAACTTGGGGTCATACTGCCCAGAAACTCTTATTCCTAGTCTGTGTCTTACAAACTCAGGGAAATCTTAACAACGTATTCATTGGATACCGTCATATCCAGAAACCTATTCTCCCTAGTCCATACCTTTATAGACTTAGGTCAAATATAATTGTGTACTATACTCTTTCAATTAAATTCCTCTTGGATATCTGAACTCTTTAATGTATATAATTACTTAATATTAATCAATATAAATTATCCTTCCTTAGTTTTCTTCCTTATGTTACCATTGTTTGTTTTACTTCACCTCGATATAAACAAATTACTCATTATAGTTAATCTATGAGATACTATTGCACTCAATCTTTGTGGTATTAAGTAACCATGATCCTTATTTTATCAACTTCATATTTTATCTACCTCTGATACTTCTCATTCTATGTATAGGTAATAATGTAATAGTTCTCTTCATAATACTATCCTTTTGTAATTGTACTCCATGTGTTATATAGCTATAAGTAGTCTCTCTTGGTATTAATACTCATAACTGTTAAATAACTTTTCATTGTCTGTTTTCTTCTTCATTAATATTTAGGAATATATATGTATGTTAGTGTCAATCTTTTATTTCTTTGTAAGTCTGTTAATCTTCTGAATCGAATGAACTCTGTAGAATCTTCCATCACAGTTTGCAGATCAGATGAAAAGTCTCTTTCCAGCAGTCGATGTCCAGTTGTCTGAAGGAATGCTTTCCTGATTTATTGCCACATGGATCTGTCACTCTTTACCAGATCAGTTATTTCTGTCTATTTCGTTGCTTCATCCACACAGCTGCGCAGTTCTGGACGCTTGATTCTGGACGCGTGCCAATCTCTGCCACGTGCTTGCTTCTAGAATTCACATTGTATCTTGTGCTTTTGTCTCAGTTGTAGAAAATAGTCTTGTACAGTCTTTGATTTGAAAACTTTCTTTTTCTTACAAACCACAGTTCTGCTATGCTAATCTAGATTCTTTTTTTCTCTTCAAGTTTGTTTTCCCAGTTCCAAAATAGCTTTGTAACTCGATTCTTCTCTCTCCCCCCCTTGAAGTGGGAACAAAACTTGAATAGAAGACTGGCAGGCTAGCCAATGTAAAAAACTAGATGAATGGATGTTCATGTAGAATCTTCTTAATTTCTTCTTATCTTCAGTTGATTGATATATATACGTCTTTTGTATATATATTCTTGGGCCAAATGCTCGCCACAATAATATATGTCTATATTATTGAAAAGTAGTAATACGCAATCTGACTTACGGTTTCTTCAGGTTTATTCTTTGTTACGGATACATAATAAAACATAAAGGATGTTACAGGATTATGGACATTCAACAGCAGATGGTAATTGCTGGACTTCTGATGGGAGAGTTACATCATTGTACAGAGCCAAGACTAAGACTGAGAGACCTCGTGTCCCTCTGTTACTATATAGAAGTGCTAATACTAACGTCAGCATATAACTCTAGCCATATAAGGACAAAACCCCCACATTCCAGAGCTCTCGGACAAAGAAAGCCTTGTGACTTATTGATACCATCTGTTACTTATGTCAATCCACACATCCATATATATAATCAATAGAAACATAGAATATGCAATATTCTACAGTGAGCTGCTGTGTTCCCTCCAGTGTGAGCTGCCGTGTTCCCTCCCAGTGTAAGCTGCTGTGTTCCCCCCAGTGTGAGCTGCTGTGTTCCCCCAGTGTGAGCTGCTGTGTTCTCGAGCTGCTGTGTTCCCCCCAGTGTGAGCTGCTGTGTTCCCCCCACTGTGAGCTGCCATGTTCCCCCCAGTGTGAGCTGCTGTGTTCCCACCAGTGTGAGCTGCTGTGTTCCCCCCCCAGTGTGAGCTGTTTTGTTACCCCCAGTGTGAGCTGCTGTGTTCTCGAGCTGCTGTGTTCCCCCCAGTGTGAGCTGCTGTGTTCCCCCTAATGTGAGCTGCTGTGTTCCCCCCAGTGTGAGCTGCTGTGTCCCCCCCCAGTGTGAGCTGCTGTGTTCCCCCTCAATGTGAGCTGCTGTGTTCCCTCCAGTGTGAGCTGCAGTGTTCCCCCTCAGTGTGAGCTGCTGTGTTCTCTTCAGTGTGAGCTGCTGTGTTCCCCCAGTGTGAGCTGCTGTGTTCCCTCCAGTGTGAGCTGCTGTATCCCCTCCAGTGTGAGCTGCTGTGTTCTTCCCAGTGTGAGCTGCTGTATTCCCCCCAGTTTGAGCTGCTGTGTTACCCCCAGTGTGAGCTGCTGTGTTCCCCCAGTGTGAGCTGCTGTATCCCCTCCAGTGTGAGCTGCTATGTTCCCCCCAGTGTGAGCTGCTGTGTTCCTCCCAGTTTGAGCTGCTGTGTTCCCCCCAGTGTGAGCTGCTGTGTTCCCTCCAGTGTGAGCTGCTGTGTTCCCCCCAGTGTGAGCTGCTGTGTTCCTCCCAGTGTGAGCTGCTCTGTTCCCACCAGTGTGAGCTGCTGTGTTCCCTCCAGTATGAGCTGCTGTATTTCCTCCAGTGTGAGCTGCTGTGTTTACCCCAGTGTGAGTTGCTGTGTTCCTCCCAGTGCGAGCTGCTATGTTCCAGTGTGAGCTGCTGTATTCCCCCCAGTGTGAGCTGCTGTGTTCCCCCCAGTGTGAGCTGCTGTGTTCCCCCCAGTGTGAGCTGCTGTGTTCCCCCCAGTGTGAGCTGCTGTGTTCCCTCCAGTGTGAGCTGCTGTATCCCCTCCAGTGTGAGCTGCTATGTTCCCCCCAGTGTGAGCTGCTGTGTTCCCCCCAGTGTGAGCTGCTGTGTTCCCCCCAGTGTGAGCTGCTGTGTTCCCCCTAATGTGAGCTGCTGTGTCCCCCCCAGTGTGAGCTGCAGTGTTCCCTCCAGTATGAGCTGCTGTGTTCCCCCCAGTGGGAGCTGCTGTGTTCCCCCCAGTGGGAGCTGCTGTGTTCCCTCCAGTATGAGCTGCTGTGATTGTTCAATCAAATTATTAAAAGTGTATTTAAATTTGGTCTAAACGTTGTCAGATCCACTTTGTTAGTGTGGTGTATTACCAAATTCTATAAACACTGAGACCTGTGGTGTTGCGGCTCCATTATTCTTTACTGTGTTAAAGTTTAGAGTTCACAGAAGGAGGCCTGCACACATTTATCTACCTGTCAGTAGTGCTGGTCCCTCTCTATGCAAAATCTCTTTCATGAAAGTGATCTGTGGTACTTACTTAAGGTAAGAAAACAGCAGAGGGGAGGTACCACTTTCTTGCTCACCTGGGAGCTCACATTCTTTGGCAATGTGATTAGATAAACATTGAGCAAGAGACACGTGAAGCAGATAAGGTGATCTGAATGAGTAAAAAATGAAAACTCCTTAACAATAGGAAGGAAAATATTGACATAAAGGGATTAACGGCAGCTGTTTGCGACGTGTCAATCTCACGCTGCATTAAGATTCTTCAGAACTTCTAAGATCTTGTGGTTTTATACCCACAGACACTTCCACCAACTGTGTCAAGATGATGTTTCAAGGACCCTGAACTGTACTAAACAGTAATACCTAGAAATTCAATTAAAAAAATATTTTTACATTCTTTATTTTTGTAATGCATAACATAACAAAGAAGAGCACATAGACTTTTTCCCTGAATATAAATGCCAATAACAAGGTATAGACCTTTTATTTAGGAAATTAGAAGACATCAGGAGCACAATTCTATTATGTTAAACTGCGAAACAATTAGGAATGCTTTAGCATAGGACTGTAGATAGCTTCAAGAGATATAAACCATGGTATTATTAGATTTAACTCAATAGGATGTAATAACAGAGCAAAACACCTTAAATAATACCTGCATTGTGCACATTGAGATCATGAATAAAACAACCAAGCTGCAGGTAAGGTTTGTGGACCAATCAACAGATGCCCATTGATGGAGAGTCCCAGCTTTAACCACCATCATCTACTCCCATGGAGACCCTCCACCCAGCCCAAGCACTCACACAGTCCAGCACTAGCTTCCTCAGGATGACATCCCGACCCTCAGCTGGAGCTCATACCCATAACCTTTGGTCTTGCACAACTAGCAACATGAGTGAAAGGACTCTGTATCAGATAGAGTGTGCCTGATTGATCGGGGTGAGGTACAGGCACCTATCGCTCCTTCTCTTTCGTATGCCTCGCTGGGAACTTGTGGGGGATACCTATTTAGGTGACATCGGCTGGCAGGTGGGTTCGAGGGGCTGCGACATGAGCAGCAGGAGTGGAGGTAAGTACATCCTCACAGAGCTTTGCCCAGAAGGTTTCACAGATACGATCGAATGCCTTGATAAGTGGATCCACATGCATGGGTGAATGCGGGCAGGTTGATATCCAAGCCTCAACTCTCCTTAGCTGTAGGCTGTGTAGCTTGACGAGATGACCTGGCCAATACTTCAGTGGGGACTGGGATATCCCAGGCCAGTCCAGGCGGGAAGGGGGGACAGGGCTGCAAGAAAGCAAGCTCCAAATCAAGGCTGAGGATCGGCCACCTACCCCTTCTTCAAGTGGGAATGCAGGCTGAAGGAAAGTCGAACACAAGCTATAACCACTGGCTTCAGGCTTGGAAGTGTCAAATAGTCGTATGAGTGTTCCCCAGGATTACATGCAGGAGTTTTGCCAAAAAGAGAGCAATTATGTCCAATTTTAGGAATTCTGTTTAACCTCTTTTGAAGTTAACTGTTACAAGACTAATGAGTTATATTTATCGCTTTCTGTTCCAGAATAGGGTAAACTCTGCAAATATCAAGATTGATTTGGTACAAAATAACTATGTGGTGTCTGTTACTGAGAGATATAGTATTATAGCAGCACAGATAAGGGTATGCGGAATGCGCCGGGGAAGGTTAGTGTTGTAAAATACACAGTGTTATACATTGCACAATCCTTACACTAGGCAAAGTATAACAAATAAACAATACAAAATGTACAATGCTTTATATGAGAGTCAGTCTGCAGCTGTCTATACAACATTCATAATGGTAAAGGTTATGAACTGATTAACTAGACATAGATGGATGCTTTAATTTATCGGCAAGTTGCTGTGTTGGTTGTGATATTTTATATGAACAGTAAGAAGATATTTTATAGGAACAGTTAGAATATACATTTATTTATTTTCTGAAAACCAGAATTCTTGTGAGATTTGACTACTTTAAAGGGGACTTGATTTTAATCTATGCATTTTGTTAGCATTTCTTAAAGCAAATTAATAGTTTAGGAGAAAAATTCAATTTAAAAATAGTTTTCTTTTCCCACCTGTCAATCAATTCTTCAGAATAGGCTCTGTCAAGTAATTGACTGATAAGGGAGAGCAGAAAAGACAGGCTGTCCTTCTGTCCTTCACCCATAACTACCACAGTGACTGACAACTTCATTCAGACACCAGCTTGTTGGCCACCAAGCCAATTTGGTATTATGGAGGAGGTTCTTCCTGCTTGGGGAAGCAAATCAGTGACGACTGCAGGAAGCACATGAGCGGACCTGAGGTGTGTATAACAGAATTGTAGCAGAGTTGGGGGGAGCAGAGATTGGCAGGTTCCCTTTAAAACCTGTAGAGGAAGTGAATATGGTAGACACACGACAGGTCCCATTTTCCTAGTGTTCTTCTTCTGTCACATGCATGGAGGTGTGACTAGGGTTCATAAACAAAGGGATTTAACTCTTAAATGGCAGAGGATTGAGCAGTGAGGCTGCAGGGGCATGTTCTATACACCAAAACTGCTCCATTAGGCTAAAGGTGTTCAGGTGACTATAGTGTCCTTTTAAAGGTTTACTCCAACCTAAAAACTCAGCATTTTTAGAAAACAATATTTTTGGTCACAGTAAACCTTCTTATACTGTCCCCCTCCCCACCCTCCCCCCAATTAAACAAAAATAGCTAAGCCTTACCTCTGTTCAAGTGCTGTGGTCCAGTTCTCTTTTCAGTCTGATCTTCTTCAGCTGTCACTTCCCCTTGCTCAACAGATGTCAGAGAGGGTAAGCTGTGGGGAGAACTTGGGGGCATAGAGAGAAGGGTGTTTCACCATGGGCTATCTGGTACCAGCAAGCTGTGCATGCTGATATCAAACAGCAAATATTCACAGAATTCATATTAGTTTGTCAGGTTATTGATCCGGGCTGGCCAAGGCCAGTGCTACCACAAGGCATATTGTACAGCCGCCTAGGGCAGTGTCCGGTTGACCGTTAGAAGGGGAGCACACTGCACAGTGCTACCCATCATACCGGTCGCTGCATGTAGCATGACTGAATGGTGGATTGCGGTTTAGAGCCTTCTGTATCCTTTTCCAGGTCAGATGAGAAGTGGCTCATTGAGAGCAACGAACAGCTTCTGTCAGACTGAGTGGAGGAAACAGAAGATTCTCCACTGCGGTCTGCTCAGCCATGGTATATGAAGCTACAAAGAGCCACACAGAGGGGCTGGGGTTGACAAAGTGACACACAGAAGGGCTACGGCAACAAAGTGACACACAGAAGGGCTGGTTAAACAAAGAGACACATAAAAGGGGACAGGGGGATGAAGAAGCACACAGAGGGGCTAGGGAGAGAGAAAGAGGCACACAGAGGGATGGGGGTTGAAAAAGTGACACACAGAAGGGCTGGGGGAACAAAGAGACACACAAAGGGGCTGGGGGGAGACAAAGAGGCACACAGAGGGGCTGGGAGACAAAGAGATACAAAGAGACACACAGAGGAATGGGGGTGACAAAGGGACATGCAAATGGGCTGGTGGAGATCAATGGGACACACAGAAGGGCTGGGAGAACAAAGAGGCACACAAAGGGGCTAAATGACATGGTAGTTTAACGTTTTATACCTTTAACTTTTTTAACAAATCTGTTTTTAAAAATTCAAGTTGCAATTGTTTTGTGGGGCGAGTGGTGCCAGTGTCTAAGCGCCAGCCCTGCAATGTGCCTTCAAGGACCGGAGGGGAGATCAGTGATCTCCCTCCCCGGTCCACAGGCACTGTGCTGGCAGCTGGCGGGGGGAGGGAGAGAGAGAGGACCCGGGAGCTCTTACACATACACTGCCCCCCATACACACACGCTACCCACCCCATACACACACACACTGCCCCCCATACACACACTGCCCCCCACATATACACACACTGCCCCACATACACACACACTGCCCCCATACACACACACTGCCCCCCACATATGGCCCCCATACACACACACTGCCCCCCATACACACACACTGCCCCACATGTACACACACTGCCCCACATACACACACACTGCCCCCTCATATACACACACTGCCCCCATACACACACACACTGCCCCCCATACACACTGCCCCACATATACACACACTGCCCCACATACACACACACACTGCCCCACATATACACACACTGCCCCACATACACACACACTGCTCCCCATACACACACACTGCCCCACATATACACACACTGCCCCCATATACACACACTGCCCCATACACACACACTACCCCCACACACACACACACTGCCCCACATATACACACACACTGCCCCACATACACACACATTACCCCCATACACACACACTACCCCCATACACACACTGCCCCACATACACACACTGCCCCACATACACACACACCCCCCATACACACACACACTGCCCCACATATACACACACTGCCCCACATACACACACACAGCCCCATATACACACACTGCCCCCATACACATACACTGCCCCACACACACACCAACACCAACACACACACCAACCTTATACACACTACCCCCATACACTGCCCCTCCATACACACATATTGCCCCACACTCACACATACACTACAATCCTCACACACACACACATTGCAAATATCACACACAAATACTGACCCACACATACACTGCCCCCCTAACACACACACTGCACCCCTGACATATACTGCCGACCTAACATACACACTGCAACCTTCACACACACACTGTCCCCCTCACACACACACACTGCATCCCTTACACATTGCACCACTCACACACACCACTGCTCCTATGCCCTACTACAGCCCCATTTATTAAACGGTTTGACTACTTACTCTGGGAGGGGATCCCGGCACTATTGACACCATAACCGCTACACTAAGCTGTAGTGGTTATTGTGTCTGGATTATTTCTTTAAATAATCTACAAGTGCCCCTCCCGAGATCAGGCTCTGGATCCGCCACTGAGTGGTGCAAGTACCTGTTCTTGCCTAGTGCACAAAATAGTCTAGCACCGGCCCTAGAGCTTGTTAAAGATGGCTCAATGATGTTGCTGGAGGTGGAGTTACACCAGAGAGATTAATCTCCTTATTTTATAACAAAACACTGCATGTACAGACTCCAGGCACCATAACCACTGCAAAGCACTGAAATGATCATGGTGCTTAGAGTAGCCCTTTAATTTTAAATATGTCGCTGTTTAAACTCATTAAATGAAAATATTAACAAACTTGTACTCTAGCATAACTTATACATATCATTTCACCAACAGGTTTTATTTAGATTTACAAAAAGGACTGATGTACATCTTTTCCAGGATATGGTCAATAAATGTACAAAGCAAGGACAAGAAAGGAGGTCAGGAGTGGAATCCATCAGCCAATCAAAATGCTAATTATTTTTAAAAACCTTGATGTAAAGAGTAAACTAGATTTGTGTCATGTATAGTGATCACCAGTGAGATATAAGAAATACGAGTAATGTAGCAAGTCGTTGGAATTCTGGAAATCAATCATTAAAAAAACAATATGGGTAGTCATAAAATTTGGCAGATGTTTTAAAGTGTATAATTTTGCTGTGAGGTTTAAGTTGGTTATTTTTTTGAAAAAAAGTGAAATATACACTCTAAGCACATCATTCTTCCAATAAAGCGACCTCCCGGCATAGTACCGAAGGTTGTCAGCATGGGCTGATTCTCACTTTCAGAAAAAAAATTATCATCTGGATGGTTCTCATTGTTTTGTAAAATGAACTCACTGCCATCTTCCAGTATAACAACGTCTACGTCTGGCAAAAAAAGTCCTTTTATCTCCCTCTTACTGACGTCACTGTCTTCTTCTGGAACACCCCCATTATTTTTTTCCTTGATGCTCACAGTAGGATCTTGTTGAGTGAAACCCACACCAGCTTCTTCATGGTCATCCATGTCTTCTCCTGGTGCATGTTCTAGTTTGTTTTCAGTGACCTGATTATCATTTCCATTCCTGTTTGACTAAATGTAAAAAAATTAAATAAAATTACTTATATTACAGTACTACACTGCAAGTATACATACACATATATCTCTTCAACAAACTGACTATGTTGCAGACCTATTTATCATCAGGGATGCTGTTATTTCCAAAACTAGTTTCTCATAATCCATGGTTGATGATGTCATCCTGTGAATTATGAGCTTCAGGAATACAAACAAGCATGCCTAATGCTAGAGTGTTAATATAAACATTACGATGTTTGGGGTCCCAATAAATTAACTGAATATTTAGATTTATTTACCTTTAGCTCTCGCTGCACTTGTCTTACTGTGGTCACTCCACCTCCACTGGCTTAGACCATCAATTCTAATGATCTCAGCCAATCCAATGCTCCCCCATAGAGAAGCACGGGGGAGACTAGTGCGCATGTGTGGCATTTGCTGCACTGCTCCAATCAGCATCAACTCAATGCATAGCGGCTGCCTGAGTGACAACTACTAGAGGTGCTTTATATCGGAAAAGACAGTGTTTGCACTGCTCAGCCTGCAGAGACAAGAGCAATACCCCAGAACCACTGCATTAATCTGTAGAGGTTTGGGTGCCTATTGTATCTTATGGATCTGCTCTTTCCCCTCAGTAAGAACATTAAGAAATTTGGTAAAATATTTAGAATTTTAATTTACTATCTCGGTAAAAAACCTACTGTGATTATGACATCATTGCAGACCACGGAAAACACAGATTCGGGACCGTTGGTAGATGCCGTGCAGGTTTTGATAAGCTATGGGAAAATAAAATGAAATGTGGAATTACAAGGGTGGATAATACACAGAACAGAAGGAAGGCTGGAGATATTTTTAATTCTAAATCTCTCATTACCAAGATCCATTTTGTAATGTAGGATGCATAGCTTGCTGCAAGGAGAAGACGGCAAGGTGTATAAATTATGCAAATATACCTAATTAAACTTTTTCTTCCATTTTTGTTCATTCCAGACAGAATTAATTTGCAAGGATAAATTAATTAGAAATTGCATATTGTGATGATATGGTCCCGGCGTCTCTGGCATTAAAGGTGTACCAGTTCAGGTCTGCTGTCGTCAATGGGTTTCTTTGCCTAATCTGTACCACTAACTGCTCAACTAAGACCTAAGGTTACGTTTGCTTGGTATCGGACTCACCGGCAAACCAGGATATACTGTGGTTGTATGTTCCGGCTGGTATAGAGTATAATAACTAGCTTGTTCCACTAGCAAATCACTGAATATACTTCCTTGGTACGACTTAAACATGCATGATTCCAACCAAGACCTTGTTGATTCACACTTTATTCTGAAGCCCCCAGCTTTTCTTAAAGACCACAGCACAAATGTATTTAAAATATTGTACACCAATGAGAAAATTAACTAGGATGGAAATTAGGTTCCGCTAGTTATCCCCTTGGACATCCCACTGCGTCAACACAGGCTGAATTGCCACAATTCTCTGGCTCCTTCTTAGGGCATACAATGCAGCTGAGTGTATAACTAGAAAATATACCAAAATAACATGTTAGAAAGGCCATTTTGTCACACATATATTTTGCAATACTGCAGAATGGATGAAAAGTACAAATGTCTATGTCTTATAAGATAAGTGACAAAAAATAAATACAAACATTGCCGAAATTGATGTACAATTTTAAGAAATTAACTCCTTAAAATCACCTTCAGGATGTTAAATTAAGTTCTATATTCAGACTTAAAACGTATATACACTAATGATTCTCTGATAACTATTGTTTGTGGAATGCTCTCCCCTTTCTGGCTGCAAACAAACTGTTTTGTACTTTGGAGCCATAACCACTCGTGCACAGCGAACGAAAGAGAACGATTTCGCGAGGAGTGTTTAGATAATAAAAGATTAATGCTGTGATAGTGATTAGTTAAATCCATTAGGTAATGCAGAAGTGCTCTGTTCCTGGATCAGAATGTGTGAAAATAATATCCTCATTATGAGGTAGACAAAAAATGATTTTATAAATTGGTGATTAGTCAGTACAATACAATCTTATGACAATATACATCCTAATAACATGAAGGCCATACAGACTGGAAAATAGCATTCTTGTAGCACGTACCCCATTGCTTTTAAATTCACATTCGTCCATTAATCTTCTGTCTGATTTTTGGCACAATGTCTCTTTAATTGTGAAGCTTGCTTGTCTCTGACCATCTGGACTAGTCTGCATGAAATAAAAGTACAGATATTATATTTTACTAAATAGCTATTAACATCTAATCGTATATTGTATGTCCCATATACCATGGACAATAGCAATCACCACTAGAGCTATCTGGGGTGGTACTTTATACTTGTATGTTCATCCTGCATAAATTAAATTTCTCATTTTTATTGTCTCCTTCGCTCCTCTATTTCTTCCCATTATTATAAAAATGTGCACAGTTTCTCTATGTCACGCCTTTATATTCCAATGTATAGTTTATTTATGCTGTCATGGCATCGCAAACAAAGTCTGTAACTACTTTTTTATTCACAGAAAATAAAGATGGTAAAAAAAAAACAAAAAAACATCTGAGGTTCACAGGAATGGGTACGCTGTTCAAACCTTAAACACAAGAAGAGGGATTATGTATAAAATCATCACATTAGTTTTGGTGTTTGTGCCAGTAGTGTGTGCACGCACCTTGTTCTTATATTTATACATTTTACTCCGCCTTTAACGCATTAGAAACATTTTCCCACCTTTTTCTCTAATGTGATATTTTTTCCTGATGACTTCATCGTTGATTACATTCACAAAATAAGACAAATGAGTAATATTATTAGGGGGAAAGCTGTCACAGAAAACCCCCCACTCTGACAGCGGCACAAAGATCTGTCAGAAATAGACATGCTTTTACCTCTGTTTAATATACAATGCAAGCGATACATTTGTCAGCCGAGAAAACAAAAACAAAGAATTCTGAAATTGTTTTGAAAATAAAATGAGGCAAAAGGTGCATTGAGGGATATTTTGGACAAATGAGGAATTATTTGCCACAAAGTGGAAAAGTGCTAGAAAGTGTGAATTAAAGGGACACTATAGTCACCAGAACAACTACAGCTTATTGAATTTGTTCTGGTGAGTAGAATCATTACCTTCAGGCTTTTTGCTGTAAACACTGTCTTTTCAGAGAAAATGCAGTGTTTGCATTACAGCCTAGTGATAACTTCACTGGCCACTCCTCAGATGGCTGTTAGAGATCCTTCCTGGGTCATGGCTCCCTAAAACGCATCCAAACATTCAGTATCTCCTCCCTCTGCATGCAGACGCTGAACTTTCCTCATAGAGATTCATTGATTCAATTCATCTCTATGAGGAGATGCTGATTGGTCAGGGCTGTGTTTGAATAACGCTGGCTCTGCACTGATCTGCCTCTTTGTCAGTCTCAGCCAATCCTATGGGGAAGCATTGTGATTGGATCAGGCCACCACTTCTGATGATGTCCACAGACTGCTTGTTTTTCTGAGGCAAACAGCATGCAAAGCTACAGTTTCAGGCTTGAATACAAGTAAGATTTTGCTATATTTAGGGAGGTATGAGGGGCCCAGGGCACTCGCCTGCCATTGCGGAGTGGTGAGGGGGGTATAGAGCCTGTCCAATTGTGGAGGGTGGAGCCTGTCCAATTTCGGCGAGCTTTCATTACGGAAGCTCGCGAAGGTGGATCCCGGCAGCCTACACACCTTGGCGGTACTGTTCCCGGTGGTAACGGCTCCTAATCTCCTCTGTTCCCCTGGGTCCTCTCCTCCAATTGTATTGCATGTATTTTGTGTTTTAGGGTAATTCAACCCTGGGTTTTCTGTCCTTTACCTAGCTAGACCTAGCTTATCTTGCTAGACACTCCCTCACTAGGTTTGAGGCCTATACCATAATTTCCACTGCCTTCCTGGGTGTGCTTGATTGACTGGCTTTAGCCAGCTCTGACGGATTACTTTGGCTGCACATTAGTGCTGACATTAATTTTCCCGGCCTACAGCTGCTGGCTCCATTGACCCTGTGGTGTTACTACGTGCCCATGTGCTGTCCTTATCATACCCCATTATGCAGGCACAAGGCGATGGACTGAGTGGGACTCTCCAGAACACATTGCCAAATACTTGTTACACATGTGTACCCCCTCTTGAAGTAGGGTAGCAGCAAGTTATGGGCAGAATGCCCTAGGCCCTCCAGGGGCAGATCCAGAGCCTGATCTTGGGAGGGACACTTGTAGATTATTCAAAGATATAATCCATGCACAATAACCACTATAGCTCTGTGCAGTGATTATGGTGCAAGGAGTGCCCGGATCCCCTTCCAGAGTAAGTGGTCAAATTGTTTAAGAATAGTTTGACAACTTACCTGGGGTCTGCTGGGATATGGGGCTGTAATAGGGCATAGGAGCAGTGGTGTGCGTGAATAGTGCAATGTGTGAGGGGTGCACTGTGTGTGAAAGGTTCAGTGTGTGTGGGGGGGTGTTGTGTGTGAATGTGTAGGGTGTGTGGGACAATGTGTGTATGTGGGGGCAGTGTGTGTGTGTGGGGGGCAATATGTGTATGGGGCTGTGTATGTAAGTGTGGGGGGCAATATGTGTATGGGGGGCTGTGTATGTGTGTGTGTGGGGCAATAAGTGGATGGGGCTGTGTGTGTGTGAGTGTGGGGAAATGTGTGTATGGGGGCTGTGTATGTGTGTGTTTGGGGGGCAATATGTGTATGGGGCTGTGTATGTGAGTGTGGGGGAAATGTGTGTATAGGGGCTGTGTATGTGTGTGTGTGGGGGCAATATGTGTATGGGGCTGTGTATGTGAGTGTGGGGGAAATGTGTGTATGGGGCTGTGTGTATGTGTGTGTGGGGGCAATATGTGCATGGGGGCTGTGTATGTGTGTGGGGGCAATATGTGTATGGGGCTGTGTATGTGTGTGTGTGGGGCAATAAGTGGATGGGGCTGTGTGTGTGAGTGTGGGGAATGTGTGTGTGGGGGCTGTGTATGTGTGTGTGGGGGGGCAATATGTGTATGGGGCTGTGTATGTGAGTGTGGGGAAATGTGTGTATGGGGGCTATGTATGTGTGTGTGTGGGGCAATATGTGTATGGGGCTGTGTATGTGAGTGTGGGGAAATGTGTGTGTATGGGGGGCTGTGTATGTGTGTGTGGGGGCAATATGTGCATGGGGGCTGTGTATGTGTGTGTGGGGGCAATATGTGTATGGGGGGCTGTGTATGTGTGTGGGGGGGCAATACGTGGATGGGGCTGTGTGTGTGAGTGTGGGGGGCAATGTTTGTATGGGGGGCTATTTTTCCATAAAAGGACATTCTGAGCACCAAAATAACTTCAACTTTATGGAGCAGCTTGGATGTATAGATCATGCACCTGCAGTCTCACTGCTCAATTCTTGTAATTTATGAGTCAAATCAGTTTGCTTATGGCAACCCTCTACTGGCTGTGAGTCACATAACAAAAAATGAAATGGTGAACCATTAAGTAGGTGAACCCCTCTGAATAGCGAGTGACCCAGATAAAACGTAACTTTGAATAATTATTATATATATGGGACGTTATTTAGAATGGTGTTGGTACAGATGATAAGGGGACATGCCTTGACACCATTAGACAATACCACCCATACAAGATGTATTTTATCTCTTTTTTCACCATTTCTTTACTTATTATTTTTGTTTTTCGTTCTTTGATTTTTTTTTACTAACTGCATTTACTTTACCAAGAGGAGGGGAAGGGGTTACCAGCATTTTTTAAGGGGTGCCCTGAAAGGCACAGCAGAGTAGGGAAGCTAGTTTTTCCGTTATTAGCTTTCTCTCCTAAGATAAAATTACGATCTTCTGCGGGGCTTCAAGTTTGCTCTAACACAGTCTGTAATCGTCTCCCTCCTTCTGGTTAATTAAACAAGCATCATATGTAACTTCCAGCCTTTAGTTACATTAACTGCAAACTTTATATCTACACCTGGCAGTATCTGATTTAAGCTTCCAACTATCACTGATTCACAGTGAGACATTATTGGACATTAACTTTTATTTTATTTTTATTCTTTATTTTTTATTTGTCCATTTACTTTTTCTGTATATTTATTTAGATAATTTTACTTACTTACTTTATTTTCTTTATGTTATTTTGGGGAATTTATTTCTCCTATTTAAGGCAGAAGTTATACTTACTCTGCTAACTTCTAAGACTTTATAAAAAAATTATATAAAATAATTATTAAAAGTTATAATTTATCTGGGCTACTCGTTATTCAGACGGGTTCACCTACTTAATGGTTTAGAGTAACTTTAGAGTAACCTGACACCTTCTCCCTGATAGGTTTCTTTATCTCAATATTTTAACATAACAAAAATGGTTTGATTTTTAATCAGATCTTACAGCACAGTGTGTTTGATTTAGACATTCTTATTTCCTAGTCTATTAATGTAACTTTAATCACACACCAAAAAAAAAAAAAAAAAGGAAAGGAAAGAAAGAAAGAAAGTAAAAAGGGGAAGTACAGGTATAATACAAAGCAAAACAATAACAATAATATTAAATAAAGTATATTAGAGGGAATATATTGAAATATAAAAAGAGACAAATTAAAAAATATATCATAATAAACCAATTAATTTTTTATACATGATATAATAGTCATTACAGAAAATCATAAAAAAATATAAAAAATAAAAAATTATTAAAACATTTTTTTTTTAAATGTGTAAGAAAGGAGTCATAAGGATACAATATATAAACCGATCAAGCAAAGTCCTATGGAGGGGGGAAGATATATATTTGTCTCTTTACAGATAAATTGAACCTGTGTTGCTTTGATACATTTAAGTATATTCTGCGCGTAATCACTTTGGGTGTATATTGTGTTGTTTTTTATTTAGTTCCTTAAAATACCTTTGAGTTGATCCTTCTCTGTAGGTAGTGTAGCTCACAGAATAGTTATACTATTTAAGCAATTGGAAACTTTCAAACAAACTGCAACTTCAAAGATTACTAACTGATTATTAACTATATGTAACTATAAGTCAATATGTGAGATAATGTTTACATGGGGTAATATAACAAATATTCAGATGAAAAACTTAAAATATCAGAGTTGGCTGAGATAATTAGCCGAGAAGAAAGAGCTCCATGCAAAACTGGTAGCAAGTAAAATAATAAACATTTAAAAGGGAATTTCAAAATTCCAAATAGTTGAAGTGGAATCATTGTCCAAGTCAGCTATTTTTCCAGTTCAGCTACTTTGGTCTTAAATTTGAAATCACTTTGAATTCCTAATATTTTCACTTCACTAAATAACCCTGTTAGTGTTTCAATTACCTCAAACTAAACGTGGGATTATGAGATTCTCGGTTTTGATGAAACAGTCCCCATTAAAAATTACAGAATTTTATGTCATCTTCATTTTATTGAAGTTGTTATAGTGCCTGCAGTCTTTCTCCCACCACTCAGAACCCTTTATTTCACTAATTAGAAAATTTGGAAACGCAACTGCAAGCCACACCTCTAAGCTCTCTAGGGGTGAGAGGCGGAAATCTTACTTCCTGGTTATCACACTGTAACATACACAGGCGCACTGCTGTCACGATCTGAAATAGAGTCATTGTACGCAATAATTCTCTATGGCAGAATCTTAGGTGCATTATGGTAAGTGCTACGCATGCACCTAAGGTCCTCAATGCTCCTCTATGATGACGTCACTCGAAGAGGAGGTCATGGCAGCTCCGAAGCAGACTTGGCAATGGATAAAAGGGGAGTATTTTTTTTTAAACCCAGGGGTGCCATAAACTAAACTTCCCCATCATGACTACAATGTTTGGATTTGCTACAGTGTTCCTTTAACCCCTTAAAGACCAAACTTCTGCAATGAAAGGGAATCATGACATGTCACACATGTCATGTGTCCTTAAGGGGTTAAAGAGGTTATTTTCAGTATTCCATAGAGATATATTGTTTATGAAATACTGATCCAGACAGGTCTGGAATATCACTGAATACCCCCAATACAATCCAGAATTACCATGGGACAAAGTAGAGACTTCTTTTTCTTTTGGACAAGCCTGAGGTTGACAAGCCTAAGATGCAGTCGACTTTTGTCCAATCCCAACAGCCATCACAAGTTCACAACCCAATTCTGGGTTAAAACATACCTTAAAAAATTGGTCTCTGAATAAGTTGAGCATGTGTTTTTATATCTACATCATCTATCTATCTGTCTTTTATATATCTCTTTTAAATCTCTTTACAAATGTGTAGGCCTTATTATTTTCTTCTGAAATCAGCAGGGCTGCACTCATCCAAACATCCATATATTATATGTGTACTGATGTGGCCAATTCCTACAATATACAAAGTCTCGGGAACTCAGTCACTAAACGCCAATAAGACCCTGATATTAGGAAAGCACTATTTAACCTTGCACTGCAGAGAGCCCCCAGAGGATGGATTCCCCAAGTCAGTGGGTTATATACTGTAACTAAATACCTATTAACCATGTGTTAAAAAAAAAAGATTACATTTTACGAGCTTTGCACTTTCTGTTTAGTGAGTAAGTGAGTGCCCTGGATCTAAGTTGTAATTATTTTATTCAGCACAGAATGTATCAAACATTGTTTAAGAAAAGATTAACAAGCGCTTACCGCATACCTATTTAAAATATTAAACCTTTAAATATTAAATCATGCATTGGGAAATTTATATCCAGAACAAAATTTATCTTTTCCAGATATTCCTACTAACTTGAGCTATTTTTGTTTTCAGATAACCAAAATGTCTTGATTTGTGAACCTATTTAATTCATAAGGATAAACCACAAATAATGATACTAGTGTATTCCTACTTTTAAAACATATATAAGATAAATTCATAAGGAGCTACCAGTGGGCAATGAGGTAAGTGTAAGTAAGGTAAGTAAGGTAAGTGTCATATATGTCAGATTAAATAGCCCGACCTTTACATCTCTATTCTTCTCCACTCCCTGTTATTAAACATTCAAATTACCACAATTTATCAGTTTGGTACCTCTTTTTCACTCTTCAGCTTATTTATAGCTATGAATCCCCATTATTTTTTTTGTTTAATGTTTTTGGAGAAGGTTTCCAAATGATTTGGTATTGGTGGATACATTTAGTGAATAATTTAATAGTTTATAAAATGTTTTAATATATTGATACTTTTGTGATGTATTGATATATTTTTATATACAATATATTTTTTGGTAATTTAATATTTTGAAAAAAATATTTAGTAAAATATATCCATAAATATTAAATCAGTTTGAAGAGCTTATCCAAAAATATTAAATCGAGGCCTTAATAAGTAAAATATATATTGAAAGAGAGAGAACGAGAAAATAAAATCAGCTAAGCTGGAAGAGTCGAAGTCTGTGTATGATTCCAGTATCTGCCCTTTCCAATTCTATTGATTTCGGCTTCATTTTTGCATCTATAGTTTAATTTCCTTTTTGAGAATCTACGTACTTGTCTGTTTTGTTTTTCCAGCCATCGCCAGACTGTTTTACTATTATGTGAACTTTTCATTTTGCTCCATATCGTTTCCATCTCAGAACTTCAGCAGATACATTTGTATTATTCTAATTGTTTATTGCTCTTTATAATTTTTATAAAGATAATGACACAAATAAACAGTGTATATACTAAAGAATAAACTGAATTATTTAGTATTCTTTTCATCCTCCAGACTCACCAATTTATATCCATGGTCATCTTTGAACAGTTTAAAAACAAAGTTCGAATTTGTCTCTTGATTGAAGATATCGATAGCTTTTGATACAGTGGAATATTTCATGTCCAACAACACGTTGGATATTGAGGCTGATTTCATCATAGAGATTCCCAAGGAAAGAATGACGAAAAGATGAATTTGAGGCTCCATCCTGTTAGATTTTCTTTTCCACTTATGCTAAATCCGAGATTTGTATTTTAAGATTTCTGCAGCAACTGATTACCACTCCAAGCTGTCATCACATTACAAGCAACACAAACAGGCAGACAGATCATTTCATATTCAACTGACCGAGGCACGGTTTATGGGTTGACTAAAGAAACATAGCTTAGGGATTAAGAAAATATATTTATCTCCCGTGTGTTTGTGCTTGGCAAATGAGCCAAATATCGGTCTGCAACAGACAAATCAATAAAACAATCCTTCTCCTGGAATCTTGTAAGAGAGTGTTACATTTATTTATACGATGAGGATTACATTAGCAGAATGTTTACTGATTAGTTCCAATGTAACAGGTTTTATGTGCACACACCTGTGTTTGCAGGGCTGATCCTGGGTGGGTGCACAGGATCGACCTGCAAACAGGATCGGCCCTGCCTGGGAGCCTAGGCAGAAAGTGGGCACCAAGGCACTGGCAGGCAGGGCCAAATTGGCCCACCTGGATACCGGAGAGTCTCCCATGGGCTGCGGCACCTGGGGAAGGGCAAGCAGCCATAATGCCATTTAAATTATTTTCCCCTCAGAATGTGTTAAGGAGGGAGGTGCTGGGGGTTGGTGCAGCAGAAAGGAGCACTGTAAGTCTCCTTTCACAATTCCTAAGTGCTTTTGTGCCTCTTCTCCTCCACTCCCACAGCGAAGCTTCACCCCCACAGCGAAGCTCCACTCCTACACTTAAGCTCCACCTCCAGCCTCAGACAGCTATCCTCACTGGCAGGTAGAGGCTGAAAAATGGCAACTTCACCTCCCAGTGCTCCTGCAGCCATCCATGCCATATAGGCTTGAAATACTCAGAAGCCCAAGACTGAGAGTGTGTCTGCCAGTGAGTGAACTTTTGTGTGTGTCTGTTAGCTTGCCTGTAGTGAGCATGTGTGTGTCAGTGAGCCTGTGTGTCACTGAGCTTGTCTGTAGTAAGCATGTATATGTGTCAGTGAGCTTGTCAGTGTCAGTGAGCTTGTCTGTAGTGGGCTTGTATGTGTCAGTGAGCTTATAAGTGTAAGTGAGCTTGTATATGTGTAAGTGAGCTTGTCTGTAGTGAGCTTGTACGTGTCAGCAAACTCTGTACGGAGCTGCAATGTGTGTGTCAGTGAGCTTGTCTGTAGTGAGCATGCCAGTGTGCCTTGTGTGTGTCGGAGAGTTTGTCTGTACTAAGTTGGTGTGTGTCTACCAATAAGCTTGTCTCTGTGTGTGTGCCAGTAATATTGTGTTTGTCAATGAGATTGTCAGTGAGCCTGTTTGTGTGTATCCGTGAGCTTGTGTTTTTGTGTCAATGGGCTTGTGTGTGCCAATGAGATTGTCAAGACGCCTGTGTATCGGTGAGCTTGTGTGCTTGTGTCAATAAGATTGTCTGTGCCTGCATGTGAGTATGCTTACTGTATAACTTAATTTTTCACCCTGAAAGGACCTATTTTTTATTTATATATACACACACTCTTCAGTGATAAAGTTAAATATTACTTTATAATATATATATATATGCCTTGCTATCCCAGATGATTGAATAATTTATAAACACACACACATATATGTATATATATATATATACATATATATATATATATATACACACACACTCACTCGACATGGCATTATGACTTATAGGACAGGCACACTACAACCCTGAGTTAGCCTCCAAAAAGCCCTTGGTCTGAAATGTACTATTTATTATTATTATTAGCCACAGGTGTCCTGTTCTGCGCCTGGTTAATATATAAATAAAAAGCACTGTCACTTCAATTAACTAAATAATTGTGACGTAAAAATTCAAAACATAACTGTGGTGACTAACTGATTCTGGCATGTAAATCCTCATTCCTACTACAGGGGGTGATCTATAGATGACCGCATCTAAGCTAAACTGTAACCTATAATTGAGACCACACATAAAATATACATACGTACATATGTCAATAGAGTCTTTTTTTTTACTACACAATGTCAGGTATCTCATAGAGAAAAAAGAGAAACAATAAAAGTGCAATATATTCTATAAAATAAGTGAAATAAAGTTCTGTAATGAAAGCTCACTCACAATTTATAGAGCTGCAAATAGCTCTGCTGTATTAAGCGTGGACGGTATAATCCCCATCTTGGGATATGTATTCAGCAGGGATAATAGTAGACTTTCCAATGTATCAGATATGTGGAGACGAGTAAAGATATCCAATAGTGCAGCATGTATAATAATGTGGTTGTGCATACAATAAAAATAAGTATCCTACTCACATGGAATAGAGCATGAACCTGCTCTAGTACTGAAGTGCTATGGTGGTACAACCCCCAACTGGGATGTATATAATTCATGAAGCCAAAATAATTCAAGTTGCAATGCAAAATAAATCCAAAATAAAAAACAAATCCAAAAATTATTAACTTTATTACAATAAACAGAAAAAAAGCCCCAGGTCTGAAATGTGTCATTTATTATTATTATTAGCTCCAAGTGTCCTGGTATGTGCCTGGTTAATATATATACATAAAAACACTGTCACTTTAATTAATAAATAATTATGACATTGTAAAAAAAATAGAAAACATAGCTTAGTGACTAACTGCTTTTGGCATGTAAAACAACAGTCCTACTACAGGGGACAATCTAGGACCCTAACTCACTCAATATACAATTTATGTTCTAATGGAATTCAAACTTGCATTTTCATATTACTTTTTAGTTGATTAGATGCTAGGATATACATAAAACATATGTTAAATATACCTCTCCTGGTGAAATAACTTAGTATTATCATTATTGAATTGTTTTTGATGGAAAAAGCAAGTCAGACATACAGGAACAAAAAGAGTGGACAGAGCATTGTACAAAAGATTCTAATTAAAAAAAGAACAAGAGACTTACTCTCAAAGATAGGAGTGATCCTACCTGGTGATGGTCTGATCCCTAAATAGAAGAATTGCACACAAATAACTGATGTGCAAATTAATACTGATAACTGTCCTGCTACCCTCCTCGTCTATTACAGCTCTAAATAAATCCCATAACGGGTACGCAGAGTGAGGCTTTATTCACCTATAGCCAATCGTACTACCCACAATTAATAGGACTGGTATGTAGGCATCCATGAATATACTGTAATGCCCACAAGTAGCCAGCAGGGGGCATACATTAATGTACAATGTCAAATAAAAAGGGGGTATAATAGTAATGAAAAAAGGAGGAAAGAGAAGAAAAATATGTTGATATGTGTCTCCTAAAAATGATATTTAATCAATAAATCATAGTTATGTGTATATGTATATATATATGGTCACTTTCAATAGCCATACAATGATCTATAGCACCTCCAATAATGGGGCCTCACTAGAATAAAATGCATTGTGGAAATGTGTAGATGAAATGGAGGAAGGGACAGAATTCCGTATGAATGGACCTTAGCTGGTAGTGCTAATAAGCTGCCAGCCTACATACATGTAATGTAGACACATATTCTGGGTAGTACGATTGGCTATGAGTAAATAAAACCTCATGCTACGTACCCGTCATGTGATCACTCTAGAGCTTTAACAGACGAGGATAGGAGCAGGACAGTTATCAGTATTAATTTGCACATATTTATATTTGAACTCGTATGTCTGTTTTTCGACAGGTATTTATCTGATTTGTGTGCAATTCTTCTATTTCGGGATCAGACCATCACCAGGTGGGACCCCTCCTACCTTTGAGAGTCTCTTGTCCTTTTTTTCTGATATATTAGGGTTAAGCCCTTGGACAGCCGTGGTCTGTTCAATATGGTGGTTTGGATCCGGTTGTTCACAGATCCAACATTATCTTTTTCTTATATTTGTTATATTCTAATAAAATATAGTTATACCAGTCTGCTCTAAACCAAGCCTTATTACACACAATGTGAGAACCAAGAATACTTTGCAAAATGAATACAGGCTTTAAAATAAATCCGTGAACCGTGTAAAACAGGTAACAATAGACACGAAGAGAACACAACCACAAAATATAAAATAAAACACTCCCTGTAGACAAACTGGGCATGGATGGGAATGATACCTGATCTACCTGTGAAAATACCAATATTCTAATAAAGAGCTTAATCTCAGGTACAATCTGTCCCGGCACCCAGAGGGCAGACACGAGGGTACCCAGTAAGTAACTTCCAAAACGCTGGCTGCTAGAGGACCATGGGAGTATATTGCTTTAATCGGATCAGGGTTTATTTACAACATGCAAGCAGTATGATGTATCTTTCAGTTCTCAGTAACGTTAAATGAGATAAAGAACGCACTTTTTGTTACATTTCCAAATTTATTTTCCAGGGACATAATGTATCTTAAGGTTTCCATAAAAAGTTACATTGCTATAATAAAAACAGAGACACTGACTCCAGGCTCAATTCTCTAAGCACCATCTGAAATAAAGATTGTTTCTGGCTGTAAAAACCTCCTGTTTTATTTTTACCGGAAGATTTACACCAACAGAACGCAGCTTAGTAATACCAGTCCTACATCAGGAATGAGCCACGGTTACTGTGTGTGCCATTCTGTGCCACATCCAAGGCCGTGTAATGCCCTGCTGTCTAATGTGCCCCTGGAAAGACTGCGTAACTCAACACAATTTTATGAGGGTAATTCACTAGTCTGGCTGACAGTTATCATGTAACATACTGACAGAGTTATTTACTGAAGAGAAAATTCAAAGTAAAGTCAAAGGGAATTTAAAACCTTTAAAAAGGTCAGAGAAAAGCATTACCGATTTAGAGAGATTTAGCAATATGGCTATTCTGACCTTTTTAATTTAAAATTCACCTTGAATTCTCACTTTTGTGGATAACGGTGATTGGCTTCTCTTTTACAAAAAGTTATACAATTTTAGTGGACATCTTACTTGTAAGGTCTACCATAGTCAATAGTTAACAAAGTTTTCATTTTTCTTCAAAACGTACACAGTTTTAGGCTTTTCATTATAT